AGACAGACAGACAGACAGACAGACAGACAGACAGACAGACAGACAGACAGACAGACAGACAGACAGACAGACAGACAGACAGACAGACAGACAGACACACAGCTACACCAATACACAGAAAGATACACCAATACACAGATTAATGAATAAAACCTACACATATACATACATATACATCCCACCCATCACCCTATCCTACCACACGATTACCACTTCCTACTCACTCTTCCAAGTCCATACTAACTGCATACTAACTACATACATCAATATATAGATAGAACGTTATAAATGTACTGACACAAGAGTGGTTGATTCATTTCATTCACTTTACTCACATCACATCACATCACATCACATCGAAGGTCGGGGTTGAGAGTAAAAGGCTAAGGTCAAGATTAGAGGTTATGGTCAAGGATAAGGTCAAAGGTCAAAGGTCAAAGGTCAAAGGTCAAGTAAAGTGAACAAGAATCCCAGCCAGCAAAAAGCCAGCAAAAAGTCAGCCAGCCAGCCAGCCAGCCAGCCGCATCACTGATTATTATCATCATCATTGTTTCCGACTATCCATGTGACGATGCCATTGCTCGTACCGTATCCCTCTCTATGTACAGAAACATAGCGTCAAAGCTCCCTCAACGCACAGCAACATGTGTACAATACAAAAAAACGAGGGGGAATGCTACAGCGAGCAAGACCACAGGTGGTGTGCTATGCGAAAGTTTTGGATGGTATGGTGGAAAAGGGGGTTTGGGTATATGAGTACAGAAAAAAACAAGGGACAAAATGCAGGTTTTTTGGATGTGATGATGCTGATGACGATGATGATGCTGGTGATGATGCTATGCAGTCGATGCCATGCCATGCCATGCAAGCTCGTGCCCGACCAATGATGGTGTATACGCGGGCGTACAGGCAAAAAACCAAATGACTCCATTCGCTGATGCAAAATGACAGTGTCCAAGTAGGGGTGGAGATGCTTCCGCATCGTGGTCGCAACAAAAGTCGACTGCAGCGGCGCGGTATAATGTTATGACCCACAGATCACATATACCCAAGGCCCTCCAACAACTTCTTGCTCTCGGACACACTGAGACCGTTGACGCCGAGTGATCGGACTTGAGTACCCTTGCGGAGCTTGGCGATACCCTTCTGGACCTTCCAATTCTCCTCCTCGGGCAGGACAAAAACGTACTTCTTGCCCTCCGGATCGCGGATCGAGGCGCGCAGAACGTGACGTGGACCTTTCTCGCCGGTCTATCGAAGAAGAATATTAGCCAAGGTCAACATACGGAGAGAGTCACCACCTACCTCGACCAGCTTCATAGTCCACGCTTTGACATCCCACTCGCGCTGGGGCACGCCTCGAACATCGTCGTCAATGAACAGGCCCTCTGTCGTGATTCTTAGGATAAGGCCATCAGTGACGTGTCCAATGCCAGATACGAGCTGTGCGATAGGTTTTGGGAACAAGTCATTGAAGAGGTAGACGCCCTTGATGACGATCTTGTCGGGGTCACTCGTGCTGTAGGCTCCTCTCTGACTTGGGGGAGGTGAGGTCCGAGCAGTTGTTTGAGAAGGCGCATATGAAGACTCTGAGAACATTGATCTGGCAGCACTCGGTGCAGCTCTTCTGGGAGCTCGCGGTGCTTGATCATAAGGCCGAAAGGAGTGTGTGTCTTCTGTTCCCAGATACGACTTTGCGGACGGCTTTTCGTAATTGCCCTTGGTGGGAGAGCCGCTAGAGTAATTACTGCCAGCGTACGGATTGGTCCGCTCTCCAACGCCAAACGTGTTGCCGCCGGATTTGGTGCCCTCTTTAGCCATTCGCTCGACACGCTCACGCGCAGCTTTCAAGCGTTCAGCACGTTCACGATCAGCCTTCTCTTTCGGCGTCTCTTGTGGGCTATTCTTCTTCTCTTGCTCAATCTTTTCACGAATCTCCTTCTTAAGCTTGGCTTGTGCATCGCTAGCCGCCGAGGGTTTCGGCTCTGCCTTTGCATCCTTCTCTGCCTTCTCCTTTGCGAGTCTCTCTCTCGCTTCGCGTTCCCGGGCTTCTTTCTCGCGTGCCCTCATCTTTTCCCATTTTTCTTTCTCGGCGGCAGCACGAGCTTGCTTTTCAGCTTCTTCCTTCTTCTTCTTTTCTTCCTCTTGTCGCCGTCTCACGTCTTCCTCGCGTCGTCGTTGCTCCTCGCGGCGCTTCGTCTCGGCTCTAGCTTTCTCCCATTCCGCAGCTGCATTCGGCCGGGGCGGGTCAGGTTTTGGGGCTGCTTGCGGTTTCGGTGGAGCTTTAGGTTCGGGTTTTGGAGGTGGCATCTGAGTGGGCTGAGGTTTTGGAGGTGACGGTTGAGTGTGTGCAGGTTTTGGAGGTGGCGGCTGAGCGGGCTCCGGCTTTGGAGGTGGTGGTTGAGCGGGCTCAGGTCTTGGAGGTGGAGGTTGAGTGTACTCAGGTTTTGGAGGTGGAGGTTGGGTGTACTCTGGTTTTGGAGGTGGTGGAGGTTGGGTGTATTCGGGTCTGGGACGTGGCGAAGGAGGTGATCGAGGCGGAGGGGCATAATTATGTTGCTGGTAGTTGTTGGAACCCCAGCCTGGCTGTGGTCCAGCTCCACCTGGATGATGTGAATGTGGGGGTGGCGGGCCACCGTTTGCAAAGCCTCCTTGCGGAGGGGGGCTGGATGCTCCGAAACCTGGCGGTGGAGCAGCTCCGGCAGGACCACCAGCAGCACCGCCAGGTCTAGCATGAGCATTCGGTTTGGCACCTGTAAATCCGCCTTCCATTTGAGTCTTGCCCAGTGCCCAGCCCAAAACTCCGACTCCTATGACCAGGACAACTATGCCAGGACCGCCAGATGAGGTGGCTATTGTGGAGAACCATATTTTCAGACTGGGCTCTATCATTGTCCATATCCAGACAGCTATGAAGGCACACGACACGCCAGCAATGAAGCTATTTCTGTGGCATTGTAGCGAGGGCAAGTAGAGGAAGCCACTACCAGACGAGTGAGGAGGGACTATGAATATGTCATAGTTGCCTGGGGGCAGGCCTGAAGTGGTTTTCGGGTTTGCACCGTGAGGAGGAGGTGGCGGAGGCGGTGGACCATCCATCTCAGACCCTCGTTAGACACACACAAGGTCCAACACTGGTCTGAGGTGTGGTGTGTGAAATCTTGTGCCGAAGAGGCTGGGGCAGGTGGCAGGATCGAAAGTGTCAGGTCTGAGAGTCAATTGAAAGTTGTTTGAGCGGCAATAGATAGTGATGGTATACCAGATGCATTGCCAGGTCGTACGGCAGCTTCTTGGGTGTTGCAGTAAGCGGTGAGAAGGTAGTGGTGGAGAAATGGTGAGAATGAAGCAAGCCTAGCTAGGTGGTGAGCAAGCAGGACTTTTGGAAGGCTAGCCGACGGACGGATCGGGGATAGAACAGGAGGAGCAGCAGAGATTTATCAAAAAGGCCGTTGCAAATAAGGCCGAGAGTGGTTCAGTTGCTTGCAAGTGGCAGGGATTGACAGTCGAGTGTATAGTAGTAGTGGTAGTTGAAGAGTGAGAGTGGGTGACGATATAGGTGTAGGGAAGTGTGTGTTGACTGACACTAAGGAATTTGTTGTTTGACCGACCAGACCAGGATCCAAGCGTCGGGCGGGAACTTGGGCGGCCCACAATGCACACACAGCTGGTAAGCGGAATCCCTGTCAGCCGTTTTGACGGACGTTGAAACTCTTGCGGTCAGGCCGTTGGAGCACGAGGAGAGAAGAGTCAATATCTCAGGTGAGGCAGCACGAGCATATAAGACATGGAAAAGCGGCGCTGTGTGCGGGTATATTGGAGAATAATAATTATCGCGCGCGACCAGGGGGGAGGGGGGCTGCAGTGTGTGTGTGTATAGTATATTAGTATAATTAGTGTAGAGCAAGCTGGCACTCACTCTTTGGCTGGCTAGCATACTCCACACTCTCTCCCGGGCAACGGTCCCCCAGCAAATAGAGAGCGCCAAAAAGGTCCCTGACTGTCGCTATTGGCCTCGCTAAACAGTGGCTGCGTAATAATTGGGTATGGAGTGTGTGATATAGTCAGGGTCGACTTGTCTGTGTGCAATTCGCCAGTCGGGAGTCGGGAGGAAGCGTGGGGAGGAGGCAATTCTCTCCTATCAGTAATTACTATCGATGAGGTCCAACAGTCTGCTGTTCACTGTGCATATGCAGCATCCATCGATATGCAGCACGCAGCACACGACACACCAACGACATGTTGACGCTGGCTTGCTCATGTAAACAGAGCACTGTAAACAAACAGACGCGACAGGACGCGTAGGCAGAAATGGAGTTGTGATATCACACAAGGTAGTCACCCAACACTCAAGTAATTACCACCAACTCCTGCAGTACAGTACTGCTGGGGTGCGCGAACGACTGATCTGACCGCACGTCAACTTGATGCCATCTAATCAGCGTGTCCTGATATCCCATCAAACAAGACAATCCGTTGAACAGTGTCATCTAATTTGCTGAACAGACCAGAAAAAGGTTTTGTACTAATTTAGAGGACCGCCTCAACTATCTCACGAAATTAAGGGTAACAAGATAAATGCCTAATTGACGAGAAACGTATCTTCAGTGTCAAAAGATGCACAGCTATTAAAAGTTATAGGATACTGCCCCTAGGGTCGGCATTGCGTCTTGGCACGAGAATTTAATACGCTTACATGATGCACTGTAATGAACGTAATCAAGGCCTAAGGCATTCATTCTTTCATTCTGGAATCGGAGTTTTAGATATTCCTAGCATCTCCAGAGTCCAGAGTCGTGACAGGTAATTAATGCACGGCGTATCAGCACCGAATGGTCTACAGCAGCGACACCCACTCGAAGACCAAGAACGGGGTAATCCTCTGTGTTACTGGCATGTACATTGTTACCAGCGTCGCTTTCCCAGACCCCTTGCCGTGCTAAAGGCTGGCATTTGGATTAGCACCTGGATTACCTCTCACCACAGCTCCTATCCGCCATCTGCACTTCTCTATAAAGTCAAGTGTCATCTCTGTCTTACATAGAACTTTGCTAATTGATTGCGTATAGGACGAGGACACCAAGCAAGAATCTTCCTTCCAAGCACTCTTATCCTTTTGTACCAACATCGAACGCTGCGTCTCGCCCTTCTTCAAGAAGCCATCCTTCTAATCATCGCTAGTCGTTTCCATAATGCAGGAGTCTGTCATACAATGGCCACTTGGCTTAGACATCAAGGATGTGGCAGGCGCAGGCGTTACGGCAATTGTCGCGCGCCTTGATGCTGTTGTCAAGTTCTTTGGACCGTCGGAGTCGCGCTTCTTCGAACGGGAGAAGCTCGTCTACCAGCGTCTTGGCCGCGACCACGGTGGCATCATTCGATATTATGGCTTTTTGGAGAATTCCCTAATCTTGCAGTTTGCGAGCCAAAAATCCATTAGGCAATATTTTACAAAGCAGAAACAGGTCCCACTCTCTGTTAAGATTCGCTGGGTTGAACAACTTTTCGATGCTGTTCGGTTCATCCATTCAAGAGGCGTGCTCCATGGCGATATATCGTGCAACAATGTTTTCCTCAATGACAATCTCGATGTGAAGCTTGGTGATTTTGCCGGCTCATCTATTGACGACCTTCCACCACTGATCTGTTATGAGACCACTCACGAACTTCCTGACGAAGACATTTCAACGAGAACTGAACTCTTTGCTCTCGGGTCTACTGTTTATGAAATCATGACTGGCTCAAAACCATACCGAGATCTACCTGATCACGAGGTATATGCTGCTTTCTCCGAGTGTTGCTACCCTGATCTCGAATCTATCTCCGCATTCAGGAATACGATTATGAAATGTTGGAGGCAGGATTATGCGACCGTAGAAGAAGCCCTTCGAGATATAAAGCTAGAAGGTACGGCTAATTCTTGAGCGAAGTAACAAAAGCTGATTGTTCGTGCATTCGCCACCATGAAAGAGCTATAAATATTGCGTTTCTACACTCTTCTCCGCCATCAAACAGTTTTATTTCCTTTCCTCCTAACCGCTGTTACTTTAGTTCCATTTGTAGGCTGGATAAGGCGCTGGAGGTCACTTTACTGAACAGTGACAGCAGAATCTATGGCCAACGGCTTCCCTCAGCTTACCGAGCAGGGTAGAGGTGGGCACAACTTGGGAGTCGCGCATTCGGCTCTTAAAAAGGGCTTAGAGTGGTAGCGTCTTCCGCATCACGAGTCTCCTAAAATTCTATGAAACTTGGTACCTCTCTCTTCTCGCCGCCGCTCTGAACGCCTGAACAGTATTAATTCGAATTCGAGCTGCGATCTAAATCTACGATGGATCACGGGATTATTGGCCAATAGCTATTCAGAAACTATCTTCTAAATATAGTATTATTTAAAGAAGATAGAGAAGGTATACTTATCAAGTATTTTAAGATTAAAGACTAGAAATATATATAGATATATACTTAATTTATATAGTTTATTAGTAGGGTGGCTTATTAGTAGGTATACTAACGTATATCTAGTAAGTAAATAGAGAGTACCGGAACGCTCTACATTCATAGCTGACTGACGCCTGCGGGGGGAGCTGACTTGGACAAATGACGTCGGATCCCAGCAGAATCAAGGCCGTTAGCCCAGTTGTACGCAGCCGGTACCCGAAATACCCAGTCTAATCCCCGGTAGCCGGTAGCTGGGGGGGGGGGGGGGGTAATTAGCCGACAGCAGCAGTAAGTGAATTATCTCGGTGTTGTTTGTTATTGTGCAGCCTGAGCTGTCCTCCATCACTCACTAATTACTCACTATACCAGTTTATAGCTGCTTCTGAACGTCTGCCTGATGCATTCACTTACATGATGGAGCCTCAACCCATGATTCAGACCATGTAAGCACGTGGTGTGAGCACGCGTGCACTGACTGCTTCGGCTTGCACTTCATGTCGTCTCTTCACCGCCAACACCTAGTCCACAATGATCAACAACACCACTTCCAATTACATCCAATCCCACCACTCTACTCCCCTTCCACCCAACACAGGCATGCAGACATCACTCCCCCGTACAACGAGGCTCCCATGTCTGGCACCTTTGCTTCCTCGCTCGATGAGGATGCGCTGAACAGACGCACCCTCTGGAAGCTCGACATCATCCTACTACCTTTCTTGTCCCTGCTCTTTCTACTCAACTCGCTGGATAGATCAAATGTAAGCCTCTCCGGCTTCTTGCTATCACATCGCTTGACATCTCCCATCTAGATTGGCAATGCAGAGACTGCTCATTTCACCACCGATGTCGGCTTGGAGAAGAAGGACCTCAACACCGCCGTAGCCCTGTTCTTCGCCTTCTTCGTCACCCTACAACCCATAGGTGCTGCACTGGGCCGTCGCTTTGGCATGCCCATATGGGTCCCTATAACCATGTCGCTATGGGGAGTGTGCACAGCTTTGCACGTCTGGGTCCGCTCAAAGTGGCAGCTATACACCTTGCGCATAATCATCGGCATACTTGAAGGTACGGACTCACAGAAACAGACCTGCGTTTGTTCGGAAGCTAATATTATTCCGCAGCTGGATTTTACCCGACCACCGTCTCATATCTCTCCCTCTTCTACACCCGCTATGAGTTTGGACGCCGACTGGCTCTCTTCTATGGCCAGTACGCAGTCGCTGGTGCCGTGGGAGGCCTGCTCTCCTTCTTCGTCTTCTCCCACTTCGGGGGCCAGCCGGATTCTGATGGTCCAGCTGGCATAAGCAAAGACGGTTGGGAGTCATGGCAGGTCCTCTTCCTCCTAGAAGGCTGTGGGACGATTGTCGTGGCTCTCATTGGCTTCTTTTGGCTTCCCAAATCAGCAGGCTCGGCGTGGTTCCTCAGCCACGAAGAGCGCAAATGGGCAGATACTAGGATACAACGTGATAGAGATGACGTCGAGCACAATGAAGACATGAAACCACGCAGCGACGAAGAGGGTCCGGAAGATGAGGCCGATGAGCCCCATGCACACCATCACGCGTCTGAATCTCGCGGTCTACTGTCCTCTACACAGTCCCTGGCCCGGTCGCAGATGTTGACCGACTCCCGCGGTATAACAGCTCACGACGTGCTCAGTTCCATCTCCAGTCCAAAAGTATACCACCTACTCCTCTGCAACATCCTATCCTCCATCCCAGTCACCTCCTTTTCCGTCTTCCTCCCACTCGTCCTAGCCCCCTTTTCACCACACCCCTCAACCGCAAACCTCCTCACCGTCCCGCCCTACATCTGTGGCGCCGTCACCCTCTACGCATTCACAATGTGGTCCGACCGCCGCCGCGAACGCCTCCTCCCCATCCTCACCAGCCTAATCCTCCTCCTCGCCGGCCTCCTCGCCGTAACCACAATGCCAGCCACAAAACAATGGGTCATACCCCGCTACATCTCCCTCTGCATCCTGCTCTGCGGCACCTTCATCGCCTCACCCCTGACCGTTGCCTGGATCTCCGGCAACACCCCATCTCCCGGTAAACGCGCCCTCATGCTCGGCATCAACGGCTGGGGCAATCTCGCCGGCATCTTCGGCACTTTGATCTTCGCCCCGCGCTATGGGCCCTCGTATACCACTAGCTTCTGGTTCGCGACTGTCTGTGTCGCTGTTGCCGCGGCTGGCTATGCCTCTTTTCGCGTCTTGCTGGTGCGTGAGAATGCGCGGAGGGTGGCGTGGGTGCATGCTGCCGAGGCTGATGATGTGGCTGCTGAGGAGGCGGAGGGGCGTGGTGGTGGGGATGGTGGTGGTGGTAAGGATGGGATGCTCCTGGATGTGGCTGCGTGGGTGGTGGAGAGAGTCGGGTGGAAGGGTGCGAGGAGGTGGATTGATAGCGTGCGTGAGGATGGCAGAGAGGGCGATGAGCGCTGGACGTTTGTGTATGGTCTTTGATGCTCAAGGGGTTGTGTTGCATGGTGTATCTGTGGGAGTGTCGCGTTGATAGCTAGAGAGAAACACACAGACGACCATTCGCTACATATAAAGATTCAACTCAGCACACAAGCATCCTCACAACCTCAAGCCCCCACCTCCTACGTCCTCCCCACCCCAACCATCCCCCTCCTCCTCTTCCCTCGCACATCCCTCCCCTCCCCAATCCGCAGCACAGCCTCCCTCTTCATCTCCCCCACAACCTTCAACCCCTCCCTCACCACCCTCCCCTCAACACTCACCCCCTCCTCCACAAACTCCTCCATCTCCCTGCCCACCCTCTCCTCAATCGCCAACACAAGCTCCACATCCCGCTGCCCCACAAACGTAACACACAACCCCTCCCTCCCCGCACGCGCCGTGCGCCCAACCCGATGAATATAATCCACTGGGTCGCGCGGAACATCATAGTTGATGACGAGCGCGACGTCTGGGATATCGAGGCCGCGGGCAGCGACGTCGGTGGCGACGAGGATGCGCGCTGCGCGGGCGCGGAAGCGTGCGAGGTTGGCGGTGCGGGTGGGTTGCGGGAGGGCGGAGTGCAGGGCTGTGACGCGGTGGGCGAGGAGGCGGAGGGTGTGTTCTAGTAGAGTTGCGGTTGCGGTGCGGTTGACGAAGATGATTGTTGGTTTGGGGGTGTTTGCGGGGGTGGAGAGGAGGATGTGGAGGTGGGCTTCGCGGTGGGTGGTGGGGACTTTGAGGTATGTTTGGGTGAGGGAGTCGGGGATGGCGAGGGCGGAGGAGGAGGAAGAGGAGGGGTCGGAGTCGAGTTCGCAGATGAAGAGGGGGGGGCGGGATGAGGGGCGGGGGATGTTTTTTAGGGCGCGGACTTCGGGGGTGACGGTTGCGGTGAAGAGGCAGGTTTGGCGGGCGGTGCTGGGGGGCAGGACGGCGAGGCAGGTTTCGACGTCGGGGAGCATGCTGCCGGGGCCGGAGGCGAGGAGGCGGTCTGCTTCGTCGAGGACGACGATGCGGACGCGGCGGAGGCCGCAGATGGTGTCTTCGCCGGAGGTGGTGATGTGGTCTGCGAGACGGCCGGGGGTGGCGATGACGACGTGTGGGCGTGCTGCGAGCTCGAGGGCCTGCTTGGGCATGTCGGAGCCGCCGGTGATGAGGATGGGTTTTAGGGACTGCGGTGCGGAGATGGCTTTGAATTGCTCGAAGATCTGGAGGGCGAGTTCTCTTTTATGGAGGGTTAGTTGTTTGGATTTTGTCGGGCTTTGGTGGGCGCACTCACCTTGTTGGCGTCAGGACAACGGCAAATATGCCGATTGGGTCGCGTGCCCATTGCTGGAGGATGGGCACTGCGAATGCTACTGTTTTTCCGGAACCTGTTCTGCTTCCCCCGATACAGTCTCTTCCCTTGAGGATCTCGGGGATACATCCTCGCTGGATTCCAGTCGGTCTTCGTATAGCCATGTTGGCCAGTGAAGAGACGAGCCATGGGTCAACATTCAGACTGGCGAAGTCGCCCTTAGTGTTGTGGGCGATGGACGTCTCGGTCAGCGTTCCATCTGATGGCTTTGAGATAGCGGCGTGCTTCTTGGGCTGGATGCGAGATGCCGTGGTTGAGGGATGTAATTCTTTGGCTGGACCTGCCGAGGCCATGCCCTCCTGATCGGTAGTATCCTCAGCATTGAGTGAAACACGTCTTCGTTTCCTAGATCCCTTTTGCGCAGTCTCTAAATCGGAATCGTAGTCGGACTCATTCTCTTCGCTGGCGACAGGTGACGCCACGAAAGTGCGGCTCGTCATTTGCGTTCTGTGACGGGCTAAAGGTGATCAGAGCTGATAGAGACAGGTTTGTTATGGTGAAAGTAATGGTGTCAGTGTCGGTTTGAACGCCCACAATGCCCTGGCTATCTCTTTGCTATGCAGCGAAGTTGAGACAAAGTTTGTGATAAAATTTTAGTGGGTCGGCAAGCTGCATTAACTCCGAAAGCCGGGGTTAGCGCGATACACGCGACGCGTCTAGCCAGACTGAACAGTAGCAGTCCTCGAGGTAAAGGTAGAGGGGTCGACAACACCACTGCCCCTCACTGTCATGGCACCAAAAAGACGCGCAGTACGTACTTGTCATTCTTGCTAGACGTGAGATCCGGCTGACGCTTGTCCAGGAGCGCGAGGAACCGGAATCCGACGAAGATGGAGCGCAAGACGGCGACACACAAAACGATGACGATGCCCACCGACAGATGGTCAAGAAATTTGTGCGCTTAGCGATATCGTCAGAGTATTCCAGAACGCCTATACGGCGCCAGGACGTCTCGCAGAAAGGTTTGCGCCGCATCAAGGTATCTGATGACACAGCTAACAGATAGATGCTTAGTACTCGGACCGGATAAAAGGCAGTTCAAGGCCGTCTTCGAAGCAGCCCAAGAAGCCCTACGACGGACATTCGGCATGGAGATGGTGGAGTTACCACAGAGAGAAAAGGTCACCGTACGCGAGCGGAAAGGTCAGTCATTATGTCGTGTAGAAGCCATGTCTTGCTGACTTTACTAGCTGAGGCATCGCGAGAGAAGAATACTGCCACTTCAACCAATATCTGGGTGCTCGCAAGTGTGCTTCCGCAAGAGTTCAAGGTACCAGAGGCCATACGACCACCGAGGGTCCCGACACACGAAACAGAGAGTGCCTACATCGGCCTGTACAGTTTTGTGATAGCCACAATACTCCTCTCTGGTGGCACAATCTCGGAGACCAGGCTACTTGCATATTTGAAGAAGGTCGACGCGGATCAGACTACCCCAATCGACCAGACCGACAAGCTCCTCAAAAGACTTCACCGGGAGCAATACATTGTGGAGATTAAGGATAGTGAAAACGAGATTGAATATAGGGTCGGGCCTCGAGGCAAGGTCGAGGTTGGCAAGACTGGTGTCGCAGCGCTTGTGAGGACCGTTTACGGAGAAAATGCACCCGACGACCTGGAATTGCGCCTTCAGAGGACTCTAGATTTGAGCAATCAAGGCCCACATACCAGGATAGAAGACGGTGATACAGAAATGAATGAGCAATGATTAATCCCGTGTGTGTTTGATGAATGATTATGAACAACTTTGTGTTATTGGTATTGTCTGGGACTATGGTAGTTCAGGCATCATCAGGCTTTTGCCTGATGAACCCTGCACTATCTAAAGTGCAGCTAGCGCGGCGACGCGCATCCAATTGCACTCCGATTGCAACGGCGGCAGCATTCTTCATTCTTCATCTTGACGCCGTCGCTGAATGCGCCATTCCCAGAACTCGAGACACGAGCGTAAAGTTCTGGACAACTCATCTGTGACTGGCCTACAATGTCTTCTAATCCCGCAAACCTCCTGAACCCTACGCTCAAAAGTGAACCATCACAGCAGTCCTCAGACACGGACGGAACGCGACACAACAACGCGCCAGACGCCGAAGTGAACAACACAGCATACGATGCCGCAGACGCTCTCGCTAGCAATTCACAGCCGGGCAGTGATGTCGCTCACACCAGCTCGTCAAGCGTGCAGATAGCTGCTAATAATGACTCCCCGTTTGGTCGAGCTGCCTTCCACAATCCATCACCTCTGCATCCAACGAGTGCAGTAGATACACTGCGAGAACCAGGCTACGACCGCGACGAAGTCCTGTCAGCACAAACACGCTTGCCCTCACCGCTCACCAACAACCCTGACATTTCACTACAGCCTGAGATTTCAGGCTGTTTGACGCCCACAAAGATCAAACCTGAACCTTCCAGAGATGACACGCCTACTATAGCAGACGACGAAACCCTGCGGACAGTCACAGATCTACACAACGAGCACGGTCTAAGAGTTGGGAATAAGGATACCCCGACTACAATACCAGACACAAAGCCAGCCATGGCTTCCGCAACTTCCAAGAAACGACCGAAGTCGTCCAAGAAAGGACCTGGCAAGAGACCGTCAAAGAAGCAGAAACTCGATGTTGACGGCGCCGGTACGAACAACATCCCTCTCAGCCGTTCAGCGACGCCGTCCCGGGGATTCAAGGGTGCCGCAGCCAAAAGCAACAAGACCTCTCAGGCTGGAACACCTGCCGGGGCTTCACCAGCATCGTACTCGAACCAGCTCTCGTCCGACGTAGACGCATCCGACACGACGGAGGACGACTTAATATACTGCATATGTCGCGGCAAAGATGACCACACATGGATGGTCGGCTGCGAAGCATGCGACGAGTGGTTCCACAGCCGCTGCGTCGAACTACGGAAAGAAGACCACGAACTCCTCCTGTACAAATTCACTTGTCCCGCCTGCGAAGCCGAAGGCAAAGGTCACACCATCTGGAAGCCCATGTGTCGACGCGAGGGTTGTAAGCGGCCCGCATATGAAAACGAGAAGGGGGAGCGGAGCAAGTACTGCTCGGAAGCGTGCGGTATCGAGTTCTTCAGCAACGTTGTCCGCGCCGTGAGCAGACTGCACGCCCCAAACACAGCGACGCAGAAGAAACGTGCCTTGGCAGCCAAGCGCAAGGGCAACGCGACAGATGCACTCGATTTCGACCTCGACAACTCAGACGACGAATACGAAGCTCCACCGCGGGGAGGCGTCATACGCGCCCGCGATCTCAAAGCCCTAGTCACCTCCGTCCCAGACATATCCGAGTTCCAGCGCCTGGGCTCCGGCATCCTGTCTCCTCCAGCCACACCATCAGGTGCCATGAACGACGCCAACGGAAAGGGAACTTCCGAAACAACAACAACCTACCCGCTCACCGCCCACGAGTCCACAAGAGTATCCGAACTGCGCAGACAGCAAGCCAAGCTCACCAACGAATCCTCCCGCCTCAAAGACCGCGAAAAGTTCATCTCCATGATCCGCGAGCGCGCAAATCAGTGGGCCGAAGGCGAGGGCATCAAGACCAAAACCCAGATCTGTGGCTGGGACACGAGGCTGCGCTGGAACGAGGCAGAATTCGAGTTGTGGCGGAATAACGCGTATGGAAGGGCATGTCTGGATGGTAATACATGGGATCCCTCCGCCGAGGACTTGGAACGGGCTCGCGTTGCTCATGCGGCAGCTGTCAAGGTTGATCATCATGGAGATGTCGATATGACTGACGATGACGGGGCTAAGCCTGCGGATTCGCTATCTCAGGAATACTCTGAACCAATGGACGAGTCGGCGTGGTGTCACAAGAAGCAGTGCACGCTTCATCGCGGTTGGCAGAAGCTGCACACGCACGAACTCAGATTCGAGCAAGGCGAGATTGCACAAGGTAGGAAGATTCTTGCGAATGAGGAAAAGGAAATCAGGGAGCGTGCTATGGTGCGTTGGCGCAGGGATAAGGTGGGCGAGGGGTTGGATCGTGAGAGCAGTACCACTGAAAAGAGGAACCGTGAGGGATGGGCAGAAGTCGTGGGATAGTGATTCATTCTGGCATTGGGTTATAGCTATTGCCTCATGGAATGCATTGGTCTATCGGGCTTGCCATTTTGTGACATTGCAAGATTTTCATTCTATCTTTTTGTGACTCCATACCGAGCCCTGCACCAAACTACAAGAAGACCTCGAGATTGATTTCCAGCGCGCTCACCGGGTATCTAGATTCTGGTCAGATTTGGAGACTTTCATGTGGATGATTCAAGAAAGGAACTTACGGCAATTCATAGTGCTTCAGCACACTGGGATGCAATATCCCGAAGCTACCAATGACATGCTCCTTCCCACCCAGTCTCAAATGGATCTCAGCGCCATGACCGTGGAAGAAGGTCTTGTCCTCGACCTCTTCGATCCAGAATCCCTCCAGCGCGTCGGCCTTTTGTCCGCCGGTTTGCTGCTGCGCGTGACTTAATTCGGCTTCTCGGGTGATGAAGGTGCTCTTCAGCATCAACATGATGCGATCAAGCAGCCCGTGCACTACTTCGAATCCGGATGTCTTGCCATACCATGCAGCAGCAAAGTGGCGCTCATTACGTGATTTCCGCTCAAGAGACAGATCCTTGAAGGCTACATCGGCGACCTCGAAGATCTTCATTGGTACACTGTGATGCTTGTTCTCACGGATGGTCTTGAGCAGTCCTGGGAAGAGAGACGTGCGGACGACTTGATACTCCGCAGTCTTGGGGTTCTGGAGACGTACGGCGGTGTTACCATCGTCTATCCGGTTGAGCCAAGCAAAATTCTCGTCGTGTGAGCATAGAATTAGAGGCATCACTTCTGACCAGCCAGCCATAGCAGCCTCCATGCGGACAATGTCTCCAAGCTTGTTGATCGCCAACGGGGCAGCCACAGCGGCGGTCTTGTTTGGGTAGAATCGCGGCAGCTTATTGAAACCGTAAGCGATACCGAGATCTTCCATGATATCAGCCTGATGCAGGACATCGGCTCGCGTGACTGGCACATTGACATCTAATGTGTCGTTTGGTGATGTAGTCGAAGGTTTAGCCGAGTGTCCCATGCGTGCGAGCAGGCGGCATTGTTCGGCTGGTGAGAGGTCTAGGCCACAGACATCGTTGAGATAGGACACTTCGGCAGGCATGGAGCGGGGTGTGAGGTCTGGGACCTCTCGTGACTTCTTGTTGTGTTCCGAAACGATCTTGATAGGCTCGATGGCGTCACAATAGGGGCCAAACATGGCAACTAAGATATTGTTGATAATCTCCACTTTCGTTTCGTCAATAGCAGTGATCTCTACCAGAACATTTTTCGTATCCAGAGTGATTTTAGAGTGGTTGCCGTTGATGATTGGGGGTAGCGAGAGCACTGTTCTGTTTGCATCATATATGACTGGGTAAAGCGGTTTATCCTTGATGATGTGCAGGTACCGCCCAAGGTGCTTGTCTTTCTCGTAGAACTCCATGAGCTCTCTTGCGTTCATTTTCTTTTCTTGATTCAGGGGAATGAACTCGATCTCCCCAGGGGCGAGAGCTTCGTAAGAGAAAGGGCCTTTAATGGTGTCTAGGTCGTGAGTCCCTATCGATACCAAGGTCCTCTGCCGCGCGAGATTTTGGTGCAGTTTGTCCTGTAGTGATATGAAGGATTCATATCTCGCTTTCGTGAACTTGATGTTCCGTAGCACAGCGCCAGAGAGAAGGGGCCGTACTGTCTCCGTCTTGTCATTGTAAGTATGCTTCATCCCTTATCGAATATAGAGTCCTCGCTAACCTCTTTAGCCACGTTTATAACTTGAAGCTCGCCGGAAGTCGGGGCCGTCAGCGTGTAGTTCGGTGGACTTTGCTGCTCAAGGAAGACCTTGAGGTTCATTGCGATACCCTCAAAGCAGAGCATGTCATACCTAAAAGCTATTAGTCTGGGCCTGCAGTTCTTCCAACGGTAGCCTCACCGATTAGCAGGTATTTCGATCTTGAGCTGTGGTGGCTGCTCGACTCCATTCACAACGGCAAGTCCTGTTTCTGATGTCTAGGTAGTTTAGCTCTTGCCTAGCGATATGAGCCCATGACACTGACATCCTCGTCCAATTCAATTCCTGAGGTCCTCTTAGCATTGGAACTTTTTACGCACAAAGGGACCGATTACCGAACTCGAAACAAAGTTCATCGAACTCTTTTGTGGTATACCTGCATCTAAATCAATCCGTGCTCTTCCAAAGGATTAGAAGATCCGTACTCTTTCCCGAGGGACTCATAGAGCTCTGCCTTATCGACGGTAATGGTAGGCATTTTCACACCTCTGCGCCTTAGCTAGGCGCAGTGCTGATATATGTATAGAAGCTATGGAGATGCTAACAAGGGAGGCGTGATGTTGCTGATGTGGTATAATATGAGGAATTGTAGAGTCTGAGTCAAGCCGCGCGCTGGATTGCCGATAGGAGCGTCAGGCGCAATTGTGTTGAAGGTGCTCCAGTCAGTAGAGTCATCGCTAGAAATGTGGAAAGTTACGTTTCTTGCAGGGAGGAGGAGTAGCCCCACCAAAGCCACAAGGCCCTAGCCACTTTCCCATCATCGCAACCCTCCTAAGCTGCAAAGCACACACAACAGTCTTGTTCAATACCAACGATCAACCTACGCACCCACCCAGCAGATCCATTCAAGCCAGCACGCTCTCCCCTCCAGTATATTTCCACTACAGTACAGCTGTGGCACACCTTAGCCTCGCCAGCTGTCTGCACTACCGCTGTTTGCACGAGTGTTCACCGTCTGCCACGAAAGAATCTCCAGCGCAACAGCAATCCCACAACAGGACAGCTGAAATTTTACCAAATCTAAGAAGCCCTATCTATCAAAGCCAACATGGAAGGCGGAGGACAGAGCGAAGAGCTATATCCCATTGCCGTCCTCATTGACGAGCTCAAAGTAAACCAAACCCAGGTATTCCACATGCCTCAAGGACTGACGTAGTGCAGCACGACGATGTTCTCCTTCGCCTGAACGCAATCCACAGACTTTCAACCATTTCGTTGGCGCTTGGAGCTGAGCGGACCAGAGATGAGCTCATACCCTTCCTCGACGGTAAGGACCCCGCTGTGCTACTGCGTAACCTTGAGGCTGACAAAATGCAGAGTCGGTGGAAGACGAGGATGAAGTTCTGACTGCATTAAGTGAGGAACTCGGAAATTTCGTCGAATACGTAGGAGGACCTGAATATGGACATGTTCTCCTATCGCCTCTGGAGAACCTGGCTGCGATCGAAGAACCCCTTGTTCGCGAGAAGGTACGGCGTGTCTTGCTATATCGAAATCACCAATCCCCTTTGCTAATATATACAAACAGGCTGTCGAGTCTTTAAATAAAATCTGCGAGCAGCTATCTCCAGAGCAGATCGAATCACACTTCATCCCTCTAGTTGTCAGTCTGTCCAAAGCCGATTGGTTTACCTCAAAAATATCAGCTACCGGGCTGTATAACGTTCCATATGCCAGAGCTGGACCACCGTCACAAGAAAAACTTCGTCAGCAATTCGGTCAGCTTGTTCACGACGATACACCCATGGTCAGACGACAGTCGGCCAACAATCTTGCCAAATTCGTCAAGGAGATGCCAGCTACCATTGTCATAGAGGAAATGATTCCACTCTTCCAGCATTTAGCAAGTGATGATCAAGATAGTGTTCGGCTGTTGACAGTCGATATCCTCATAGCCATCGCTGAAGTCGTCCCCAAGGAGCAGCAATCGAGTCATGGTGTTCTTCTGACCGCACTGAGAAGCCTGTTCGAAGACAAGAGCTGGCGAGTCCGGTACATGGTTGCAGATCGATTTGAGAAGGTGACAGAATGATGAGACTCATCGCGAAATCATGTCTAACAGCTTATAGATCGCCAAAGCAGTTGACGAGGAGGTCGTAAGCCGAGATCTCGTTCCTGCCTTTGTGAAACTTCTCAAGGACACCGAGGCAGAAGTGCGAACAGCCGTCTCAGGACAGATTCCAGGCAAGGCTCAGAGTTCCCCTCTCCTAAAACCATTGAGACTAACTCTCCCATAGGATTCTGTGCTCTCCTTGATCGGGAGACTCTCCTGCACGAGATCATGCCAAGTATCGAAGAGCTTGTGACAGACCAGTCTCAACACGTGCGAGCTGCCCTAGGTACTCAGCTTAGTGGTCTCGCACCAATTCTAGGCAAGGACGAGTACGTTCAGTGTATCCGTGGCCATTGTGCAACTCTAATTTTGGCGCAGAACCATTATACACCTCCTTCCCATGTTTCTACAAATGCTGAAGGACGAATTCCCTGATGTTCGATTGAACATAATCTCCAAGCTTGAGCTCGTCAACAATGGTCGGTTTACTATTTAATTAGGTGGTATAAGGCTAATACCCGGTTTAGTTATTGGTATCGACCTCCTGTCACAATCGCTTCTTCCTGCTATCGTACAGCTTGCCGAGGACAAACAGTGGCGTGTGCGTCTAGCCATCATCGAATACGTCCCTCTCCTTGCAAGCCAGCTGGGTGTAAACTTCTTTGACGAGAAGCTCAGTAGCCTATGCATGAGCTGGCTTGGTGACACTGTTTTCTCGATTCGAGAGGCTTCTACGCAAAATCTCAAAAAACTGACGGAAGTATTTGGTGTCGAATGGGCCAACGACGCGATTGTGCCGAAGGTCATGGCCATGGGCCAGCACCCAAATTATCTTTACCGCATGACGACATGCTTCGCAGTCTCAGTCAGTATTGCGTAATTTTAGGATCAAGGAATATGCTAACCATGAAATAGACCCTTGCACCAGCACTTACGCTCAGTGTCATAGAAGCTTCAATTCTTCCCATGATGGACAAGCTTGTTGCTGACGACATCCCAAACATTCGCTTCAATGTAGCGAAATCATACGCCGTCCTCATTGATGTGCTCAAGAAAGTCCCAGAAACTGGGACATTGTCGGCTCTCGAGAAAGCTGGAAAGCCCACAAGCGGTTCACAGAAGGGTCAGGACCTCATTACCAAGCAAATACTGCCGAACCTCGAGAAGCTACAGCAGGATGATGACACGGACGTCAGGTACTTTGCAACAACTGCCGCGCAGAGTTTTACGGAGGCAATGCAATCATAGAGCATGTTTTACCGGTCCGAATGGGGGAACAAACGCCAAGTAGAACACGAAGATTCAATATACAATTCATTCGTCAGTATGCAAGGCTAGCACCCACCACCGACTACAATGAATGGAACGACCACAGCTACGAACAGCGCTGCAATGAAGCTAATACGAAGGGGTCTTATAGCTGAATAGGTTTACGAAAAGCAGCAGGGTAACGCTCCTCCCCGGTCCGCATCTCGTTGTATCTGCTCGCGCCTTGGATTGCTGATGCATTGTGTGTGAGGAGTGCGGTAGTGTAGGGACGACTCGATGCGCGAATAGAGATATATACCTTGGGAAACGGAATCCCTAAACAATTCATACTTCTTCCTGTTTAGAGATCGGCTGCTGATGTGGTGAGTGCCGGGAACGACCATGTTTTTACGCGTTACCGTTCTAGGTCTCGGTCTCCTTGGCGCGGACCCAGTTCGGGTCTATCTATGACTTATGCCATCATCACTACTATCCCACGTCCAGCCATAACCCATGCTCTGTCGTGTCTTGGTGTCTAAAAGTCCGCAAATAACCTCAATTGAGACTTCCTCGGGCATATTCTAACTTCTGCTTTGTATCATAAGTCCTTGATTGGCTTGGATTTCTTGCATACTCAAGATAACAATCCCTGCTCGACAATCCACACGAGTACTTGGAACTAACAAAACAAACGAAACTAAGATCAGTACACGATGCCGTCTCCACGTGTCATATATTGGTTTCGGACTGATCTCCGGCTCCACGACTCGCCTGCTCTCCAGGCAGCATTAGACCTGGAACCAGAATGCCTATTTCCGGTATGGTGCTGGGATCCGCACTACGTCTACAGGGCCAGAGTGGGTGTGAACCGATGGCAATTCCTGTATGTGGCTCTGTGTCTTTCCCCCCCTTGTTTGATATATATCCCTTTATATCCATGAACAAAAAACTGGAAAAAAGAAAACTAATTCGAAAATAGGATCGATTGCCAGAACGACGTCTCGAAATCAATCACGAAGATCAATCCAAACAGCAAGCTCTTCGTCGTCCGCGAGGCACCGCAGACTGTCCTCCCGAAGCTGTGGAAGAAGTGGCGGATTACGCACATTGTCTTTGAGAAGGACACGGATGCGTATGCGCGGGACCGTGACGAGGCGGTCAGGGAGCTGGCGAGGAAGGCTGGCGTGGAGGTGATTGTGAGGATGGGCAGGACGCTTTATGACCCGGATGAGTTGGTGCGGGAGAATGGGGGCAAGCCGACGATGAGTATAACGCAAGTGCAGAATGTGAGTTTTGTTTCCCCCTGTTGGAAGGGAGTGTATCTCCCTACCTAGCTACCTGGGTAGCAGGGAAACTGATCAAACGATTCCATACAAAGGCAGGCAAGAAACTGACGATTCCACGTCCCATCCCGGCGCCCACGAGCCTGCCCGACCCGGGCGACACAGATCTATCCGGCATCGAACCAGAACCCCCCGCCGCAAACCCCGACCTCAACGCCGCGCACCGCAACAACCCAGACACAACATACCACGCCCTCGCCGGACCAGCCGGCACCTTCGCCGTCCCAACCCTCGACGAACTCGGCCTCCCACCCGCCACCACACCGCACCGCGGCGGCGAACAAACCGCCCTAACCGCCCTCGCCGCCATCCTCACAGACAAAACCTACACCGCCACCTTCGAAAAGCCCAAAACCGCACCCACCGCCTTCAGCCCACAATCCACCACCCTCCTCAGTCCACACCTCCACTTCGGCTCCCTCTCCGCCCGCGAATTCTACTGGCGCGTCCAAGACATCCTCTCCGCCTTCAAACACTCCAAACCCTCCCGTCCACCCACCTCCCTCACCGGCCAACTCCTCTTCCGCGACATGTACTTCGGCGCCCAAGCCGCCCTCGGCCACCCCTTCAGCCAATCAATCTCCAACCCCTCCTGCCGCTTCATCCCCTGGCACCTCCCCTCCACCCTCGACCCCACCACCGCCCGCCCAACAACAGGCCGCTACACAATCGACCACCCCGCCGCAGAAACCTGGTTCAAGCGCTGGAAAGCGGGACTGACAGGCTACCCCTTCATCGACGCCCTGATGCGCCAACTCCGCACTGAAGGCTGGATCCACCACCTCGGCCGGCACGCAGTAGCATGCTTCCTGACGCGCGGCGGGGCATATGTCGCGTGGGAGCGCGGCGCAGAGGTCTTTGAGGAGTGGCTGCTTGACCATGAGACGGCGTGCAATGCGGGGAATTGGCAGTGGGTCGCGTGCGCTGCGTTTTCGGGCGCGCAGTACTATCGCGTTTATTCCCCTGTCGCGTTTGGGCGGAAGTGGGATGCTGAAGGTGTGTTTGTGCGGAGGTATGTGCCTGAGTTGGCGCGGTTTGATCGGCGGTTTGTGTATGAGCCTTGGAGGGCGCCGGTGGCGGATCAGAAGAGGTGGGGGTGTCGGGTGCTTGGGGATGGGCGTGGGGGTGCGGGTGGGAGGGTGAAGGAGGGGGAGGGGGAGTATCTTGTTTATCCGAAGCCGATGTTTGATTTTGGGGAGCGGAGGGAGGTGTGTGTTCGGGGGTTGAAGAGTGCGTTTGCGGCGGGGTTGTATGGGGCGGATGAGAGTGTGGTGGATGGGAGTTGGAGGGGGAGGTTTGATGATGCGGGCGAGGGGCCGACGGAGGGGAGTGAGGGGCTGCCTTTGGGTATGGCGGAGGGAGAGGAAGGAGATGTTGATGTGGATTGGGAGGGGATGTCGCTGGTGGTGCATGATGGCGGAGAGGGGGAGGAGGACGTGGCGCCGAAAGGGGTGAAGCATCAACGAGAGAAAAGTCAGAGCTCGCTGGACAGCCACGTGAAGAGAAGCAAAAAGTAGGGCTCCCCCCCCCCCAATGCAATTGTCATATCCGTGACAAAGTTCAATCATAGATGCACAAAAGATCATAAGATGTAAGCGGCATCATTGGTCAGGTCACTAGAATATAGAGAACATGGTTTCATTCCGCTATCGGACCCGTCAGGGATATTGCATTACTTGCACTTTTCCAGTCCAGTCCAGTCCGGTCCGAAACTCCAATGATTTTCCGACTCCTTCACCTACGCACACACCTTCTAGTACTCGGTTCCAGCTTGGGGAAACTCAAAGTTGACGCCCTTGCCGGTCAATCGCTTGTAGACCTCAGAGTAGGTGTCTAATCTGTAGTCCACACCGCCACGCTCCTTCTCGTCGAGGACAATCTTCAGGATCTTGGAGCCGTCCTCACGGGTACGCAGACGCTTGCCAACGATCTCGACCGGGTAGACAAGGTCGTGTAGGATAGCGTCGTGAACAGCAGTCAGGGTGCGCGAACGCGGGCGCTTCTGCTTCTGGGTGTTGCGGGAGCGGTTGGAGCGCTTAGGACGGGGGAGAATGCGGCGAGAGGCGACGATGAGAACGTGGCGGTCGGAGAACTTCTTCTCGAGCTCACGGGTGAGACTAGCAAGGCCTGTCGTCAGTCAAAAGCACTTTAGTTGTTCGGGGTGGCATACTTACCGCTGTTGCGACTTGTGCCAGCCGGGAAGGAAAGGGACGGGGACGAAGATGACAATCGCCTTCCTGCCATTACCAACCTCGATCTGTAAGAATCCTGGTGTCAGCGAAGCTGCCCAGTGCCCACCGCCTCTTCGTTTCCAACAGTTGTATATTGGGAGAACCAGGTCGGGCCGGTGGTTGTGTCTTATCTTACCTCGCGGGCGCTGGTGAACTGGAGAGGCCTCAGAGCGCTGCGCATGTCTGGGATGTTGGTCTCGAGGTCGTAGAGAGCATTGGCAATGCTCTGCTCGATCTCGGACGGGGTCTGCCTCGAGGGGCTGTTGGCCGCGATCTTGTTGAGGGATGATGCCGTCGACATTTTGGCGATTGTCGGTTTTGTCGGATGGGTGGTGTAGAGCTGCTGTTGTAGACGAAGTCGTGGAGGTTTTCGAAACGTGTGGTGGCAGCGAAAATCGCTAAGCGAAATGCACACGCAGGGTCTAGCCCAATGTAGACTAGCATGTCTTGGGCCCAGCCAGCTTCAATATCCTTGTAAACGCTCACCAGCCAGCCGCATTGACACATTCACGGGCCAAAATCACGAGTTCTTTTCGACTAATCTTAGTCCAAACACTATATTAATTCCCTCGCAGGGAGCGCCGAGTACTTCACTACTAGGTATATTATGTACATATATATGAAACTCTGGATGCGGGAGGGAGCACAACACAGCAGGAAACCCGGCGAGGAATAGAACAATTACAAAAAATATACATATGATATCAAACAACTATATCACGACATGCTCGTATACAAGTAGTCCCCATTCCCATTCACATATACATACTCATACACGGGCTCCGAAGTACATGTGGAAGGGCTGCCAACCGGAGACCCGGTCGGAGCCTCGTACGACGACCCAGGGGACGAATCGGCAGGGGCGTCTTGCGAAGGCGAACTATAAGGAATGGGTTCTTCGCTCGAGTAACCGGCAGGTTTGTCCGCAGTGATCTCAGGGTGTGTTTGGATATCGCTATAGGTTGGGAAAGTGTTGGCGGTTGCGACGGAGTCAACCTTCTTCGAGATAACACCGATGGTGAGGCTAGGAATCTCGTCGGCTGTGAGAACATCGCCGGTGGAGATGAGAACCCTCCAATCAAGGTTCTGCTTCAGATATGCCTTGACAGAGTTCTCCTCTAGGGACTCCAGTAGACCTGCGTCATGATGGAGTTGAAGTGCGGGAAGAAGCTGAATTGCCGCGCTTCCGATCGAGGATTGGTTCATCTTCGCAGTTGACGACAGCACACCGTGCATGCCAACGTAGTTTGGAGAGGACATGAAAGTACTGGCATCGTTGGAATCGAACAGACCAATATCAGTATGGGAGGTCAGGTTCTTTCCTGATATGGTAGAGTTGGAGGACTTGCCGCCGTTGAGGAAAAAGTATATGGCATATGATCCGTCAATTGCGAATTTGTCATAGTTCAAAGTTGCAATGTACTCTCGCTGGCCAACCGAGGGAGCATAGCCTTCCCATGCCTCGTTGGTGCGCTCAGAGAGCTGGCGGAAAGAACGTTTCCAGTCGAACAGGTTGAATGAATTAGACTTTGGCTTGGCGGTATCTTTATTCTGAGTAGGTGGCGTCTGAGTTGGACCGTAAAGATTGTTCACAGCAGCCTTTGCGCTGTCCGAGGTAGACCCAGGCCCGGTTTCAGGATAGTAGTAGCCAAAGGTCGTCGTGTAGCGTGCGGTGTTTGGTGTCCACATGGTCCCATCTGTCTTCTGTGTAAAGGGGACCAGCGCTGTATCCCCATTAGTTACCGAGTCTTTCATCAAGACAGCGTTATCGCGAGTAGTTCTGCTTTCAACCACATAACTGTTAGGGTTGATTGTCTGCCAAATTGCTCCCAGTCGATCCATGTTACTAGTTATTGTCAGTATCTGTCGTGTAACTCTAGATTCTTTTTCAGACCCACCAGTGATGCAGCCAGAAGATGGGGTCAAATGCAGAATAGTCCAAAAACCACATGTGGCCGTTGTTGCCATTACTTCCAGACCCAATGATCATATGCGCAGAGTCGTGTACACTTTCCAAGCTGTCGTGGCTCTCTTTATTGCCGGTGTTACCGCCAGTAGCCTCAGTGCTGAACAGACGATACTCCTTTTGTGAAGTCATCAGATCATAGATTCTCTTCTTGAGCTTCGGTTGCTCAGTGTTGAGATCGCTCTTGAGCTTCGAAATATTGCTTTGCGCATCTTTGCCGCCTGTCGTGGGCTCTCGGTATGTGCGTTGCCAATCTTGCCACTAGATGCTATTTAGTTTTTAAACCTGACAGATGGCGAGCGATTCAGACCTTCTGAGCACCCAGTTCAGAGGTGGAGTTGAAGCGGTAGTAAGCCAACGGGTTGGGAACGGATCGTCTGCCAGTCGGAGTGTCCATGGTAACGGTTTCATCGGTGATGATCGAAGGCAGAGTCTCTCCTCCGGAATCTCTGCGCGCAGTGTCCCAGTACGGTAGACGGAAGCAATTTCGAGCTCGCTCCCACCTGCTGCGTTGGTCTGCTGGAAATTGCTGAATTACAAACGGAATTCTGTCGTCGATGGCTTTCTATAGGACATGATAAGTTTATGTAAAGACGTTTGATCGGACCACTAGTCGCACCTCATACGCGGCCAGATATGGTCTATGCCAAGGCAAGAACATGTTTGAGATGTGGAAGCAATAGCCGGCGCCGCTGCCATCGCTTCTCGACTTTCGAGCGACGTCATTCCAGGGAGTGAAGGGGCGCCCGTGGACAGCTATCAAATGGTAAGAGTGGTCATTCCGAGGAGCTGAGGAGATGGCCACTGACCTGATAATTGATAATAGGAGAACTTATCCTTTTGATCCATGGCCTCGAAGTTCTGCATAGCTAACAAGAACAGGTTCCATTGGTCGGGGTTGTTCTTTTGAAGGTCACGCACTTCAAGACGTGAGCATGCATTGCCAGATGGACCTGTAATGGCAGTGTATGCTCGCTTGACGAGAGGATCAGACGACTCGGCTGGACTGGCAGAGACACCATCGGTAAAAGAAGAAGCAGCCAGGAGCCAAGTGAGGCTCGTGGTGAGATCGAAGCGCATCTTGCACGGAAACGCTCAAGAAAGAATGTGAGGAAACGATGTAGCTGATCGCAATTGTTCGTCTGCGGGCCCGGTCGAAGCAGATACTGGGAAATTGGGTATGGGTATTTGTTGCCAAATCAGACCGGAAAATACATGTAGCAGACCTTGACCAATGAGTGGATACGTTGAAATGGCAACAAGGAGCAGTAATGAACGAGTTGACAGGAGAAAAGTCCCCGAGGCAGATTGATGTACACGGGGGGAAGAAGAAGAAGGAGAAGAAGTGGAAGCAAGAATGGCAACAGAGGAGAGAGAGAGTGCGAGAAAGAGAGAGAGAGAGAGAGAGAGATGCAAAGTCGCCCGGGCCTTGAAGATGTTGAAGAGCAAGCAGGACAGAATGGGGATGCGAGCGATCTCAGGAATATGTATCTAGTTAGCCAGAACCTTCAAACTAAACGTTGGCAGCCACTGGCAGGGGCATGCCCAAAAGCGGAAGATGCATGGCGGGGATCTAGACTGGCGTTTCGCTCGTCTCACCAACCAGAAGCTGCAGCGGCAGCCGAAAGCCACATGCTGGGGGAGCGATAGGCCGGACAAGTGATGACAGGAAAAAGTATAGTCGCCGTAGCTGACAGGAGCTGGCTGGCCACACACGAGAGAGACTGCCGGTTGGGATGCAACAGATGTGTGTGTGTGGATCATGTCTTGAAACACCTCGTTCGTGTCAAGTGTATTGACAATGATCATCCGAGGGTTCAGGACCGCGACATGCCGTGCTACAGTGACATGCCCGTAGCTTGTGACCCATGGATTCGTGAACCGCAATCCTCTCAGACTGTATGCGGAACGAATGTCATTGTCCGAATAGCCCGTCATGTCAGGATATGTGTTGTGGGGTCGCCGAGGCGGTGTACAGTCTATGGATGGATGCTACATGCATTATAACATTATAACTACAGTACACACTGTATTAATATGTTGATAGTACCACTACCAGAGCGGAGGGCCGGTACGCAAAATGGGTTATATATGGGCCATTGGCATGCAACGGGCCGCTTGAGCCTCGGTCGTTTTCTAGAACACTACCAATCAAATGAAATCAAATGCTGGGCGGCCCCTATTACTACCTCAACCCTCGACTGCTACTTGAACGTTATTAGTAGTAATTAGTGATAATAATAGTGAAACCAGCTCCCATGAACAACATCAAGTCATTAACAGGAAGAACATGCCTCTGTATGTAGATCCTCACCAACTCCAACCCCAAGGGCTACAACTGTTTGTTTATCATGTTTCAAACCCCAAACGATGATACGATGCATCTAAGCAGAACGAATCAACAGTGGATCTAATGTTGTTTCCTGCCAGGACAGACCCCAGTAATCTTGCATACAAGCAACAGCAGCATTCGCCATTCGGACGTCCGCTCGCTCATTGCGTGTCCGGCGGAAGTACAGCCAATAGAGGCGGCCAAAGCGCAGCTCAGCAAGCCCGTCCGTGGTTAGACTTCAAAAAGTCAGTCCGGACTTTTCAGCCCTTCATTCAAACTTTCAGCTACTTCTAATTGGATTCCCGAGGGGGCTTTCATGCGACACCCACTCTGTCGCATTACTGTCAACATCTCCGGTGCAAGGCATTTATACTTCGCTAGGCCCAAACCTTTTCCCCCTTTGCCCGTATCCTTCAATTCAATCTCCATGATCTGTCTGTCTGTCTGTCTCTTCTTCATCGTCCAGCAACGCACAACGCTGCCTGATAGAAGATGCGGTACATTATGATGCCAGTGTACACGCGGCCTGCACGTCTTCGCGAATAATTAGTCCAGCTCCTTTACGAGCGTTTGTGGGCTAGCGAACATTCGACGTTTGTCATCACATGACTATTGACTGTAGCGTGCTGCCTACTCCATGGCGTTACAAGGAACCTGCAAACGTATTAGACACTCGCACTCCTCCTTTCCTGCCCTCGCTCGCAATCTGCTTTCGTTGGAGCGAGCACAAGACTCGTATCGATTTATGCAGACACGCGTGGTGGGACATGGCAGTCCTATCACCAGAGCAATCATCAAGAAGCGACATCTTCTACACGCCCGCACTGCCACGCCTCTCACGGTGTTACCATGATGACGAGCTGCTTTCTGCAGTTTTCCAGAAGATTGTCTGGGCTTATTGCTGACTGGGGGCGACGTGAGGATGCGACATTGAACAGCCCTGGTCGTGCGAGCGCTTCCTGGTCCAGACACGTGCCCTGTACTATTCTTGTACGAATGCAACACCATGTTTCAGGCACGCAAGACCGGCTGTCTCGTTTGACCCGTGTCGGGTATAGCGCTCCATCAACCCAAATGCCCTCATAGTGAGACGAGAGAAAAGTCTCTCGCGTTTCTCACGTAACCATGTACGAGTCGTAGCCACTGGAATTGGTAGATGCGTGTCAGAGTTTGGTGAGCATGATTGTAGAGCTCTCACATCCTTCGCCTGTCTTCCCTCCTCCCAGATACACATTAGTTGCAACGAAGTCTTCCTGTATAGCCTCACCCTGACACCTCTCCATTCTCAAAAAATACGGCTCGTCAATGCAGACGACCGAAATCGTCCGGGGTGAATTGAGATTTCTGACCTCTACAGCGTCTGGCCGTCTGGATGTGAAATAATATGGCCGGTTCCTGGGGGCCAAGCAAAGGCATTACAAAGTATCTCCGATACAAGTTGATAGCCCAGAAACACGAAGACAAGGCATTCAATTCTCGCTGCCACTCCGACTCAGAAGAAATCCAGTATATGACGCGCGATGATTGAAGGTGGGAGCGAATTACGAAAGTGTGTGTCCGGGAGTAGGAAGGAAGGCCCAATGACTGCTAAAAACTTCGGTGCTACCGTCTGGTCAGTCTGCTTTATATTGTAATTAGTTACAGTGTGAGCATCGATCGTGGACGTCTGAGATGTCATCGGGATGATCGTGCCAAGATGACGAGTCTGCGCAGTCGGAATCGGATGGGAGGGTATATCAGCATCATGTAAATAGGGTAATAGGGATAAACCGACGAAGCACTATTCCGAGCAAGACCAGGGGGCGGATTGCACGCCGTTCTTCACGGACGGGAGCCACAATTCATTTCCGCCACGTATCGCGGCGTGTGGCGCAGTGAATGGGAATATTTTTGGGATTATGATCGCATCCATCCATCCATACGAGCACGAGCATCTCCCATCATCCTTTTGCGGCTGTGTGAGCTTGTACTCACAAAACGTGAGCAATCGAGTCGTTTTGACTGGCAGCGAAGACAAGGCGAAAGGCGCGACTCTGGACTGCGAATGGTGTCGAGAACACAACTGGCGAACAACTGCACAACTCCATCGAGACGCAGTGGATGATGCAGAAGATCTAAATCTACGATTCACGACGATGTGCGATGTGCGATGTGCCAGCTCAGTACATAATGTTGATCTGTTCAGTGACCTCTGTGGGGCAGGATGAGGCTCAAACATAGCGTGTGCACGGGTTGAGGATCTTTTCATAAACCCCCCCCGATCGCAGCCCCTTTCTGATAAGCCGAAACACACAAGGGAGAGAGATTCACGTCATGCTGGCTACTGTACTCTGGGATCGAACAGAGCTCACGAACCATGTCAAAGACTCCAGACTTCTCACATCAACGCAGATTATCTACAGCCATCACTGACGAAGTGAACAACATAGCAATCGTCCCCGATGACGTTTTGGTGAGAGTTTAAAAAAAAGATCGACTATGAAACAGATTAAGATAGACGGCAGAGGAAGAAGAAGAGATATGCCATTTTCTCCGGTGGACAGCACAGTGCAGCTTGGGGTATCGGCGGCCGCGCTTGGATCTCTCACAAAGGGGGGGGGGCATCTTTTTGATGGCGAAGCAAATCGATAAGGATAGAGATGGAATACCCCTGACTATCAGAACTTGGCAGGGTAGCAATCGCAACGGATCCTCGCGCCATGATAGAGAGAGAGTGTGTGTGAGGAAATCTGCCGAAATGTCGCGCGCGCACATACACACAAGCGCACACAGACGCACACGGTCGAGGCGTCCAGTCACGTCAATTAGTTACGAGACACATGAGAGAGAGTAGGACGAGTATCGAGTTCTGACAGCAGACTGGACAGACAGATGTAATTACATCACCTGTGTTCGCATGACGCGAGCGCAAGTGAGGGAGGGAGAAGTAGTAGTAGTACATGCTACTACTACTGTAGGCGCACGCCCTGAGTGGAGGCGGCCGCTGTTTTGGCGGCAGGCTGGTGGCACCACTGCGCGGATTGGCGTCGGGCTAGTCAGGGGTAAGGAGAGTGTACCTGCGTTAGGGCGAGGGTGCTGGTTGGCTGGAGGAATTGTAGGGGCCTCGAGTAGAGCGAGAGCCAGTTGGAAGATAGGATGTACAGATTGGCAACAGGACGAAAGGAGATTATGATTGCTGATGTGTTGATGTGTTGATGTGTTGATGTGTTGATGTGTTGATGCAGGGACTGGACTGGCTGTTCTGGCTGGCTGTGCTGGCTGTGCTGGCTGTGCTGGGCTGCCCAGTGTTGCTGCTGAGAGAGAAGTTTAGGGAGAGGAGACCCCACACTTGGCCTGCAATGGGCAGTCAACTGGTGAATCAGCGCCCCCCTTCCCTCCCCTCCCCCCCTTGCTTTGCGCATTGCCCGCCCATCCTCGTCCTCATCGTCGTCGTCTCTCCAGTCTGCCGTGACATACTTGGGTGCAGACACATGACTGGCCACTCTCCCTATCGGCCCGTGCGCCCTCTCAATCTCCCACTTCTTATATATCCATTCTTCCAACGCCTCACTTCCCCCATCTCTTCTTCACCAGCTTCCAACCTTACCACTCAACACCACTTCTTCACCCTGCCAATCTCTTGACTTCGGTCGTCCGTTCTTTGAACCAGCCAACTCACTCTCATTATTCCACGCTTCTCTTTTTTAACATCTTAACCAAATACCCTTTCTACCGCCCTCAACAGCCAAAATGCGTGCCTTTGCTGCTTTCTCCCTCCTCGCTGGCCTCGTCGCCGCCCACTACGGCCAAGACGGCTACGGCTCTGACGAGCACGAGTCCGCCGCTCCCTCCACCGTCGTGCTCACCTCGACTGAGTTCAAGACCATGACTCACTGCGCTGGCGGCTGCGAGAAGCCCACCAACGTCCCGGCTCCCCTGCCAACCCCGGTTGTCCCCTCGCCCGTCCTCCCAGAGACCTGCGTGCCATCCACCATCACCGTCACCGTCACTGTTCCCCCATCGCCCACCGGCGCTGTCCCGACCGGTGTCCCGTCTGCTCCTCCAAGCTACCCATCCGCTGGCGTTCCTTACTCCTCCGGTACCATCCCCAAGCCTTCCGTTGGCAAGCCATCTGGGTAAGTTGTCTCTGAAGATCACTTGACGAAGATCCAAACTCACACACATGCACAGCTACTACCCACCAACCACCCCTACTCCCTCTCCCCCAGCCTTCACTGGCGCTGCTAGCCACGCCAACGCCGGTCTCTTCGTTGCCGGTGCTGGTGCCTTTGCCGCTTTCTTCTTGTAAACGGAAGCAGTCATCCCGTTCCAATGACGATCTCTCGCACCCTGGGAGACTATGGCTCTTGATGAATCTGTTCAATCCGGGAAAGGGGGCATTTTTAGCGATGTTGGTGGCATTGGGAAAGACGTCGGACTGCAAACGATCTGCTGGAGGGTCTTAATTGCTGCTTGTGCATCACTTGCATTTTTTCTGCCGTCGTCGTATACGTACGCGATTCGTGCACTTTTGCATTGTAATTATTTGAATGGAATCTTGGTGGTAAAACAAACGGTAGGATGGGGGAGATTGTACTCGATCGAACGGCCAAATACATTGAGTTATCCCGTGTCAAGCCGATACTTGTGTGCACTTTCATCACCTTTGCGACATCTATTCTCAAGCTCTTTTTCGCAGTGACGTAGTCTCTGCCAGCACATGCGCGGATTCCTGGGGGAAAAACGCCTCTTCCACGACCTGACATTCTCCCCACGAAACAAACAGCCAAACAAAAATTGCACGCGGCACACCCTGAAACACGAACGGGCCCCCCCCTGACAAGCTTACAAGGGCCGTTTTGTTTCTTGGAGCCAAAAAGAAATATGCCGCATTATTATTGTTATTATTAACATCATTCCCTCTTCCCTAATTACCTACTGTACATGTACATACCCATCCATGCTCATCGCAATCTCCCGCACGAGTCATTCCATTGGCCGCCCGGAAATGGGCCCCCCAATTACTAAACTCCGTTCGGCCTTGCAACAAACACGAATAGGAACGGGAATGGAGGACAGTGAAGAGAGGACAGGCAGGGTATATACTTGACGGGTACTTGTTTCGTGCGGTGAGAGGATTGGGATGGGATTGGATGGGATGGACTGGATTGGGTGCGCGTGATGTTTATTTTTCTGTTTTTGCTGATTAGGAGGGAGGGATGGGATGGGATGGGATGCAGTGCTTGACTTGGTCGATGCCTTATCTAGGTCGCGTTGTTGATGGATGTGTGTGTTGTATGTATGTGCTGTATGTGATAGTTGCCTGATATGCTGGCTGATTCATTATGCGAGGCGCGTGGTTTCGTTTGTATTCTATGCCATGCGTGCGTGATGCATGTGGGAGATGAGAGATCTATTGCCTGGCGCCTGAGGCCGGGACTTGGATGCCTGAGACATACATACATGGTGTGGTGTGGTGTGCTTGGCGTTCTGCATGACTGTCTTGCTGAGTAAGTTCTCGTTCATTCTCGCTACTAGGCACCTAACTACTCGTGGATTTAAGTGTGATGTCTCTGCGCGTGTTGTTGTGCGATGCTGGCTGGCTGGCTATCTGGATGGTATCTGTGTGTGGGAGTGGTGGGATTGGTGGGTGGGATGGTATATGGTATGGAATGGTGGTGGTGTTGATGTTGTTGATGTTGATGTCGATGTTGATCTTGTCGCTGTGGCGTAATTACCGTGGCGTGCTGTGCCGCATGATTGCTATGCTATGCTGCTATGTTATGCTGCCCTGCCCGTCCGCTCACCGTACCACATTCGTCATTCTCGCTCCCATGGAGAAGATGAATAAGCTTGGATTCTTCGTCATGGAGGCGTGGCGTGGGCGGCGTGGTGTGGCGAGGGAAGCTTATGTTGACGACGAGAGAGAGTCAAGGAGAGGGGTGGTTTTGGTTGTGGTTAGGAGGTAGATGTTAATATCAGACGGATCAGGACCTGTCATGTTATGGTGGAGATCTTGGATGTAGCTTCAGCCAGCCCTATGTGATGCCTGTATCAAAGTATACTAGCTGCTTTTGTTGATAGTAGCTTGGTAATACAGTGGCTAATAGACTCTCCAAGTTCGCAACAGAAACATCTATCCCGCAGAGTATTACATATCGTGCAAGCCAACCTCGGTCTGTCATGCCGTTCCCACATACCAGGTCGACGGACGGAGTCCCATTGAGGCACGCTGTCCGAATGACTTGATTGGGTAGTGCACTAACTGTCCACGTCGAACCGAGGTTCACGATAGACACTTATTAATCTTCAAGGCGTTCCACGAAAACAACTTTTCTGTTCAGGTATAAATACCGTATACCGCCACAAGCAGTCCTACCTTTGAAGCCATGATATAAGTCCCATCTACCCACACCCCTACATACCTCCCCACCTCGCCATCCCCTACAACTCCCTACTCCATCCCTTTCACCACCACCATGGCCACCACCATCGCCCAACAACTCGCCATAACCCCCCTCTCCACCCCAGACACCTTCCAATCCACCCACCTCCCCCAAACCATGGGCAACACCGCCCCCATCGCCTACGGCGGCTGCGCCCTCGGCCTCGCCGTCAACGCCGCCACCCACACCGTCCCCAACTCCCACTCCCTCTACTCCCTAACAGGCCACTACCTAGGCCCCACCCTCCCCGACCGCCCCCTCACAATAACCATCACCCGCCCGCGCTCCACCCGCTCCTTCTCAACCCGCTCCGTCACCCTCAGCCAGCTCCAACCCAACGGCACTAATCGCACCTGCCTGGTCCTCCTCGCAGACTTCCACGCGCCCGAGCAGCACAGTCGTGTCATGTTCGAGTATAGCGAGGGGCCGAGCATGCGCTGGCCGGCCGTGGAAGCCTGCGTGGGGAGTAGGATGGCGTTTGAGCAGTGTGGTTTTGCGGAGGGAGTGTATGCGCGCTATGGGGTGCTGTTTGCGCTGGGCGAGCGGTTTTTTGATACCCGGCATCCGGTTGGGAGTGCGTTGGTGCGGAATGGGTATGGGGTTGCGGGGCGGACGGGAGGGGGGTTGGTGTCGCTGGGTACAGCTACGGCTTCAGCTTCAGCTACGGCAACAGCTTCAGCAACGGAGACGACGGAGACGGAGACAGAGCGGAAGCAGACGACAGACAGCACGGAACTAATAACAACGCAGCGAAGCGCGCAATGGGCGCGCGTCCGGCCGGCGCACGCAGGCGAGCTGACGGACGCGGGGACGCAGATGGGCGCGCTAGCCTTCTACATGGACGGGTGCCTGTCATTTTTGCCGCTGAGCCATGCCGGGTTGGGGCTGGAGGCGGCGGCGGCGTGTTCGAGTTTGGACTTTGCGATGAGGGTGTTTGTGCGGGAGTTTGATTTTGGGCGGTGGTATTTGAAGGAGATGGGGACGGTGCGCGGGGGTGGGGGGAGGACGTTTAGTGAGGGGAGGTTGTTTGATGGGGAGGGGGTGTTGGTGGCGCATATGAGTCAGCAGTGTATTATGAGGGGGTGGGGGGAGGGGGAGATGGAGAGGTTGTAGGTTTGGAGGTTGGGTGGTGTGGGAGGTTGTGTGTATAGGTGGTGTGTGTCTTGGGAGGTGGTGTTGATGTGTGGATGTAGGGCTTTTGGGATGGAATATAGATGTAGATATAGACAGGTGCTTAGAATAGCGCTTATAATTGAAGTGAGAATAGACTTTATGTAATCCTAAGCGAGCACTCTCTTTATCAAAATGTCTGGAATATATATTCAAGTCTAAGAGAAAATGGTAGTATGAGTTGTTGCTGATTAAGAGAGAAGCGGAAAAGATATACGTTTCTTACGACCGTGTAGGAGTCAAAACTTAAAGAGAGAATGTATATACTAGAAGATTGTATATAGCGAAGAGAGTACTAGGGGAAAAAAGGAAACATTCGACAAGTATTTCGAACACTTACACTACTATAGACGTAGACGCTAATTGTATAAAGATCCTTATATACTTATACCATCAGACCCGAAAAGGGTCTAGTAAATTACTATAGTCTCTCTCTCTTTAAGTCTACATCTGTTATACGCTATTATGTTACATGTACCTAACCTAGTAGTACGAATTGTAAGCTCCTTAATGATACACTTGTCTTTCTAGCCACTAGACCCGTCTCTATCTCGTACTCGTAACCATCTAATCTGATCATGCTACCAGGAACATGGAGTATTCGGTCAGAGACCAGTACGAGCAGAAGCTTGTAATACGACGGCTACCACTGCATCTGCTAAGAACACTGGGTATATCCTTCTGCCGGATATTGACACGTAGCCTCCATTACCGAGTCGGGAGGTGATGGGCGCGGAAGTTGTTGTAGAGGATAGAGGATACCGGTAGAAGGGTTGGAAGGATTCCAATAGTGTATTTTCTACGCTCTTCCGAGACCCTGTGATTTCGGGGGTTTGCTGTTGATACCGGCATTTATTCCGTGCTAGGCGTCGTTCGGACATAGGCGAGGGGCTGGATAAAGGTTATTGGCTTTTTGGGTTTATGATTTTTAGGTGGCGTGATGGAGCATGGGCAAATTAAGTAAATTGGGGGTTTATCTGTGGGGTGAATGTGTTGGACCGTTGGAGAGCGGGGAATTAGGGGTCTAAGGTGTGTGTGTGTACTGGGACGTGCTTGGAGCTATACATAGTAGAGATACGGTTATTGTAAGATGGGTCGATGGTGTTGTGTGCTGATATGGATATCTAAGAATGGCGTTGTCTCAAGCACAACGGCAGACCCTGCGCAAAGGGTGGAACCACCTCTGAATCACCAGGGGTCAGACAGTCAGCATATCCTCGTCGACCTCCCAGCCCTTCCATGTAGGCTCGTCGAACCCATTCGGCCGACTGTTCCTCAAGAAGCCATTCCACGTGCCCTCGACCTCCACGACCGGCCTCACAAACTTCAGAGGCGCCTGGAAGCCCCTACTGTACCCCTCGTGAAAATGCCTATCATCAAACAGCTCCGGATGCACCCTCTTCATCGTCGCAATCGCTCGCTTCCCCACCTCATCAACACTATCATCATGCCTCAGCTCGTAGAAATTCTCGTCGTGCATTTGCCGCAGCGCGTCCAACAGCCGCGGCTCGTACTGCCCCAGCCGCATGAGGTAGAGGTCATACTGAACCAGTGACGTCGTGCAGTGATACGAGCCCCCGAACTTCGCGCGCTGGTAGAACGCCGTGAGCGCAGCAACAGTACCAATGCACCCCGTGCCGTAATCACTCATGGGAAACGGCGGCACCACGGGCTCGTCCAAGCCCATCGACCAGCCCTGCAGCCAGGCGACGCCGGTCACGCAGTCTGCAATCTGCTGCCAGCCGGGCCTGGCGGCCCATTCGCCCACGTGCCCGAAGCAGTTCTCGGCCACGTATATGATGCCGCGATCACGGTGCTTGGTCAGCTCGACGAGCTGTTTGGGTCCGTAGCCGAGACGCTCGAGTGAGCCGGGGCGGTAGCCGTCTAGGACGATGTCGGCTTCTTGGAGTAGTGCTTCGAAGATCTGGCGTTGCTCTGGGTTGCGGAGGTCGAGGTCGGTGGTGTGCTTGCCGAGGTTGCCGTCGACTTGGAAGAAGGGCACGTCGGAGAGGTTTGGGGAGGTTACTTTGAGGACGTCGGCTCCGTATTCGGCGAGGCCGCGGCCCATCGAGGGACCGGCGATGATGCGGCATAGCTCGAGGACCTTGACGCCGGCAAGGATTTGAGGGGACTTGGACGGTGAGGGAGACGAGGGGGGGAAGCCAGCAGGGGACGAGCTGGTTTCGATGCGGTCGATACGGAAAGGGGGTTCGTTGTCGAGGACTTTGCCATGGTTTGTGGCACTCCATTGATCTGGTTTGAGTGCAGGTACACCGGCTTGTCTCCTTTCCGCATTCATTTTCTCCAACTCTTCTGTGGTGAACTTCATCACGTGACTCTCTATCAACTCCAAACACTGCCGGTAATCCGTCATGTCCGGTCGGTGGCCTTCTAGGCCGATCATGTTCAACGTTGTGGTTGCCTCCAAAGAACCGTGGATGTGGTAGTATTCGCCCGGATTCTTTGTGTGGTAGAGATTAGCTGACAAACGACGATATTGTATCGCTTGTGCTTTGAGTAGATCCGTCGGCTTCAGAAGCTTTTTCACGTCTGGGTCCTGTTTTCCTAGACCTACACAAATTAGCTTGCATACTCGTATCACATGTATACAAGCCTACCTGCTACGGTGGCAGTATATGCTGAGAACAAGAAGCAGGACGCCCGCTCAAGATCGACATGTTTCCGTCTTGGCTTGGCGCCATATCTCTCGTCTGCTATACAACCTGCAATACCCGCTTCGACGGCCTTCAGAGCAGAGATGGCTTCGGTCTGCTTGAGAGGACATGGGAAATATGGTGTATCGGTGTTTGTGGTGGAGAATGTGGTTTCTAGGATGTGTTGACGAATCTCGGATGGCAATTGACTCTCTATCAGTTGTAGCAAGACATGTAAGGCTTCCTTTGTCCCATTGAGCATTGAATACTCTGAAGAAAATTTACTCTGGTGGATGGCCATAGCAGACTGCTTCTAATGCGGACTATGTAGAGAATGAAGGCGCTGTCAGTCGTATTGTAAAGAGAAGATCATCGGCTGGTGTCGACAACATGGCATCGGCAGACTTATTACAAGCCTCGATACTGCTAATGCAAGGATAGGCGTCTCTCGGAGGTCGGATTTGGCATGAATGCGGAGAAGATTATTATGGGTCAGGCAGCACGGCGTAGGGCAGTACACATGGCAGGGACTTTGTGGGGATTGTATAAGGTATCGGCTGTGAGGTTATGGTGTATGAGGAGGTTGAGGAGGATTTCTCGAGTGGGGCACCTATTACTATAAAACGTAGGGGTGGTTTTCAATATACGACGTTATACGCGTGTAATATATTTGAGTGTAACTTACATCATTCACTGACTATAAATAGTTAGTGTCTTCAGGCATTCTAACCTTATCTTGATCGCAGATCAGCCTAGCCATTTATGCCTCAATAGTGATTGGTCCATGGGTCTTATATGCCCAAGCAGATAGGCTTAGTAGCGTCTGACTAATAGCCATCTGTATGTGACTATGCGAATTTCAAACAGCGCGCACCAAAGAATGGCCAACCCTATCTATTGCCACGGCACGCTGTAGGGAGACAAAGCCGCAGTGCTCGGATCGGGACCCGCATGAGCAGCAGCGAGAAGCCGGGTCCGTAGCCGATGATCACAACATACAACCCTATAATACACAGCACAACAACACAGACAACTCTGAGAGCTTCATCAAGTCAAGCTACTGCAAGGGACATTGGCACCAGCACATACCACCTTCTAGACTCTCTCTCTCTCTCTCTCTGTTCCCAGCCTCTAGGTATTGCCGCTGCAGCATTTAGCTTAGCAGTATGTAGATTATCCAGATGCGGTATACATTCAGCGCAGGCTGTTCGCTCGGAAGGGCGCGGAGGAGGAAAGCAGAGCAGAGCAGTCCTCCTCCTCTTTCTCCTGCTTTCCCCATCTCCCTCTCCCACTGCGACTCCCACGCGACTAATTAGTTGGGCCAGCAATTCGTCACCATCGCTCATCACTCATCGTTCACTCATCACTTTCCCTCTCTTCATCAACATCCTTCGTCCTTCATCATTGCTCCAGGTTGGCGTCGGAGCCGTCGATTGTGCTACTACTACATCCTATCTCCTTGTCCACCACCTTGCCATCGTTTTAAGTTCTGACCAGCCAGCCACATGCACACGGCCTGTGCCAGTGCCATTAGTCGCGTTACACTCTTTTACGGCAAGCCTTTCACGGATCTGCTGCCCAATCGAGCGGGGCTGCTGACTTGATTGCTGGCTACTGACTCTTTACACACTTGGCCGACTGTACATGAAACTTCGCTCGCCATCCGATGCTTCTGTCCTTCTTCCGGATCCACCTTACACCATCCGATGCAACGCCTGGACAGCCTTGCAGTGCCAATCTCTGTTACCTTTGCCTAATCCGGCTATATCGTTATGACTCGTCCGAAGGTTCCTCCCGAGCAACGACAGCGCACCGCTCAAGCCTGCGAGTCTTGTAAGAGAAGAAAGCAAAAAGTGAGTCCCGATTGTTCTCTCTTGGCACTCAGCCCATCTGTCTGTGCTTTCCGCCATCGTCGCCCGTTGGCTGTCAGTATCCGCTCCTGTCTGGGATGTTTAGTTGTTGATATTGCGCTTGTGTGTTTATATCGACTGTCGTGCTGAATGGGTGATGATAACTTCAAGTTTGCATCCATATCACGTGCTGTGTTACTTTCCCTCTATAATTGTCATGGAAACCTCCTCACCACAGACAAGACACTGACAATTCCTTAGTGCAACGGTCTACAGCCATGTAATACTTGTGGAAAGGTTCATAATCCTGTTCCCTGCCACACCTCCAGCAAAATGCTGACTGTTGACAGCGGAATTTCTCTTGTATCTACAGTGAAAGAGATCCCGAGTCACCCAACAGTACTGCTCCGCCCATCAAAAAACCTAAACTTGGACAGCCACAGTCTTCACCCACGCGTAGCAATGCTACAATCGGCCAATCCCCAGCGCAGAGGTCTGATGGCTACAAATCGCCACCGGCGACACTACCAAAGCCCATTAGTCGACTTCCTCTTGCCCCTGTCGCTAAGAGACAGACCAGCTTCGAGCTGTCAGTTCGAAATGGCGGCTCAGAGCTGTTGGAGACATCTCTGAAACAGTCAAGCCAGTTTCCGGCTGATATGCCCAATGCCAGGAACATGTCTTTCGCTACGACTCAAAGTGCTCCTGATGAGGAGGCAATTGTGTACTCGCAGACGAGAATGCTGCAAGATCCGACTGGCCGCTTATGTACGTGCTTCCCATGTCTGACTAGTCTTGTGTCATCAGATTCTGCATCATCAATATGTTGCTGACCTCCTGTAGTGTATGTTGGCGACTCTGCAACATTGTCTTTCCTTCAGCTCGTGAGAATGATGGTCGAGAACATCACTGGCCCGACTCCATTCACTACAGATCCTCGAAGACACAGGATACAAGAGAGCCAGTTCACCCTTTCACCCAACACCCGCCAGACGCAGCTCTTGCCAGATAGCAGGACTGCTCTGGTTCTGGTAGACTCATTCTTCACCAATGTACGTAATTCACTACGAGCGTCCCATGTACAAGGCACGCTAACCCTAAGCAGACGCATGGCATGCTCCAAATATTTGACCGAAAGTCATTTCGTGCATCCATGGAAGCATGCTACTCTGATCCACTCAACGCTCAACCATCGTGGCTATGCCTGCTGAATCTTGTCTTCGCAATCGGCCTGACCTTGGCTACACCTCGTCCCAGTACTCCCGAGCAAGCTATCATTGAGAAGCTGCGTCGCGAGCCCCAAGACAGAGGAGAACTGTTCTTCCTCAACGCTAAGAACTTCTGTGATCCCGTGAGCGGCTTTGAGGACGCCGACTTTTGGTCCGTTCAGGCGCTGCTTTTGATCGCATACTATATGTTGGCAAAGGCAAAGCGAAATGCAAGTTTTGCATATCTAGGTATGACTTCGTGATGATAGCGGCGAGAAACATAGAAGGTTGACACATTATAGGCATGGCTGTGAGGTCTGCATATGCGCTTGGACTTCACAAGGAAGAGACTACTTCCATCTTCTCGGCTCAGGAGCAAGCTGCACGACGGAATACATGGCGCTCGTTATATATTCTTGACCGCTTCATATCTTGTCATCTTGGCCGGCCGGTCGCTATCTCGGAAGATGAATGCAGCGGTAATTGCCTACGCCCCGGTCAGGGGGAACCAGCGGCCAACGGTAATAGAAAACCATCCATATCGGACGGAGATGGGTTTGATAGAGTCGCTGGCTCTGCCCAGGAAGCAGCGGTACGCAGCTGCTCTGTCATAGGGTCCATCCTCAAGCGTGTTTATCAGCAGCGCAAAATCAACACCTCACTTGCCACTGAATTCGCAGAGATCCTGAAGCAATGGCCTGTCGCTCTCTCGCCAAATCTACAGTGGCGTCAAGCACAGCAAGCTTCTCCAGCTACTGGCATGGCAATCTTGCATGTCAACATTCTTTACTGCCACTCGATCATCCTCCTAACACGACCATTCTTTTTATTCATCCTAAATCGCGAGACAAGAACAGCGCCAGGGCCTTCCTCCGGGCCAGACGAATCTCGAAAGAATACCAAGATGGAGAAGTTTGCCGAGTCTTGCTTGATTGCTTCCGTGCACACAGTTGTACTGATACACAACGCTTTCAAAGCTGGCTATCTGCCTCAACGAGATCCCTTTGTCGTCTATTTCCTTCTGGCCGCAAGTCTTGTCATTCTGTCAAACGATTTTGTCGAGCTATATGCCAACAAGTCCGCAGACGAGTGCATCCAACAAGCCATCGCTATCATGGCATACTGTGGTGAAGCCGACCCTCACGCAAATAGATTGATCTTCATCATCACTTCATTTCGCGACGAAGTAGTCAAGCAGCGCCAAAAGCGCGTGCAGAAGGCCATGCAGAAGCCTAATTTCAGTCACATACAGCCTCAAGCGGTACAAAATGCAGCTAACGGACAGCACAAGAAGTCAGACTCTCAACAACTTTCGCCTCATACATCGATCAACCAGACTACAGAAATACCTGGGCAGCCAATGCAACGTCCTACAGAAGCCAACACGGACTGGAACAACACCCATTATAAGTTTGCCATGCCCGCTCCGCCACAGCCTCCCCCCAACGCTCTCGAACCGAACATCACCACACATGCCTTTGTGAATACCACCTTCAACAAGCCATCTCCACTGTCGCCAGTCACATTCTCCCCACCCTCAAATGTCTCAGCTTTGAACGCATCCCCAGTCAGTCATGCGATGCTCACGGCAGTATCCGCAGGCCTTCCCGGCCCGCTCGATACGCACACGTCGCTATCAAGTTTCCTCGACATCTCTGCGCTCGACAACACGGTCATCCCATACCTAACCAGCGAAGACGGATCTTGCATCGAAGAGAACCTCGACTTTGACACATTATGGACGTGGCCTGGTGCAAATGGCACCGGTGGCGAAACGTGGAAAAGCGATGTGCAGGGCGTGAGCGATAGTAATGTGCCGCTGTTTGGTCTGGTCGATACGTAGCTTTCTGTAATATGTGAGGGAATATAAGATTTTTCTAATGTCAGTTGGGCGGTGAGTCTAATGGATTTTGGTTGCGGCGTTTTCCATACCCCGTTTTTTTGAAAGACGATTATAACATTCTATGTACTACCAATTCTTCCGGTTTTTTTTTGTGTGGCGGCGTTGGATAGGTACGAGGGAAATGGTTCGCTAAAACGGTCTGGACAGACTTAGATGTACTATCATATAACCTCTTTCTATACTGAGTAAATAGTGTTGGGAAAAGTTTTATACACCTATGATAGATAGACAGTATATACATATATATTTCAAGAAAGATGGAAGGCAGGCATATAAATCATGCTGACTAGATATGTAGTTGTCCTTTCCTCGTATAGCTTGTTTTGATAGTAATTTACATGATGCATTTATTCCATCCAGGATATTGCCGACTCTCGGTGATGTAGCTTCTGGGTTGAGGGTTGATGGTACTGCTGGCGAGAGCATGATCTGTGATGATTGGACTGGTGTCGAGCGGCTCATCAGACCTACCCTGCCGCAATATAGCTCAAGCGTGCTTTCACTTTTGCATCCCAGTGTCGAAACTGGGACTCCAGGCTCCGAGCTTCTAGAAGACGGGTACATAATGGTTTGAAGTATTAATTTGTGACAATGTTACTCTGTGATGACGGAACCGTAGATTCGAAGGAACGCGGAGGTTTGAACTGTTAATGGGTGGGTGACACGTGGGAAAGATGGAAAGACTATTTACCAGCAACATGAAGCTTTCGATTCATTTGCCTGACTGACTGTTGAGGTTGAGACGGGGAATGTTGGGAGTCGATGATGTCGGGTTTTGACTTTTTGCGATTTTCGTGTAGAATTTAATGTAGGACGTTGATATGACGAGGATGGTGTGCTCTGGCTAAGGGAAATGCTCCTTGCTTACCGTTGTAGTTGATGTGATATCGTTCTACTAAAAGGTAGCATGGAGTGTGCCGCATTTTTCTGGGTTTCTCTATCTATAGCTAGCTACAGCTCACTCGGGATTTAATGTCTTTGTTAACTTTTCAAATTTTTTTCTTGACGTCGTGAGAGCGATGGGATGAGAGGGTAACATATCGTCCCAAGGCCGTTCCATCATACATAGTCCGAGCAGGGAAAATATAATATATGAGGTTCACAACTACTAACAGCCTTTTCTAGCTGTGACACATTTCCGCAGTAAGACGTCCCTAGGGGTGCTCTAATCAATCAAGCAGGAAGGATGTCTACGTCGAGATACTAGCTCGCTCTCGCTGTTTGCGCACGGCGTTCTCCTCGCTGGGACGTCGGGCATGGATTTCATCAGCGCTTTATCTGGCTTTGTTGAGATATAGAGCTCTTCCTTCTAGTATTGCATGTCCCCTCTTTTGCCTGGCTAGATGCATCTGCACAGACAGTCTGGTGGGCTTTTTCCTCCTGATGATATCTGGTTGTAGGGCTATCTTAGATAGAGGGGAGAGAGACTGTCTGGTAGTTTGAGGAAGTGGTGTTGTGTGTTACTTTCTAGAGGTGTTTGGTGTACGGATTTAGGTCCCGAGGTGTTGATTTAGCCCTGTTGTCAACTCAAGGTTATCAGGAATGGGATCTTTCGACTCATTTCTCTTGACGTGGGTTGTGGTAGACGGCAATGTGTGTTTGTGAGAGGACGTAGGAAGCTCGATACGATTGTATGGTCCTGACTGCTTGATAGAGGTGTTCACGTACTCAGTGATGAGACGCGGCTTAGTGAAGTTCAGGAGGCCCAGTAGTGATATGCATGGAAGAAATGAATCGTGGTGGGGTAGAGTGATCCATGATGGATCCATCGGTACCCCACACTTTTGACAAGCCGGCTAGCTAACTTCAGGTGGATATTCATCCTCATGGATCAACATCCTCCCAAGCCCTTTCCGTGTCTCTTTGCCATATGTGCATTGCCATGATCCTAGCACTCGATCCAGCGTACCGCCATCAGAATGGCCCGGGTCATAGTTCTCCCGGTATTACCAGTTGCGCGATACCTCGACATCTTCAGCGCTGTCGCACCAATCGCAGTTTCATACAGCGTTGAGCACTACTAATGATGGCAGCCAGTACCAAAGATGTGACTAAGTAGTATAGTCTTCAAAGCTTCAGAACCTTCTGAGCACATCGGTCGGACCAACAAACGATGCCGCGAATCCAATACCGAGCAGCGATACACGAACTCGACCAGCGGTCAAGTATATGTCTTTTGCGAGTTATCGGAGACATCAATGGACACTCCCCTAGATTAGCTCAGTCTATCGAAAATGCATAGATCTTTATACACTAGTACCGAAACATGTTCATATAAACCATACGGCCTTCTCGCAAACCAGACTTCTACATCAAAGCGAGTTATCACGACGTTGACGAGCTGCGAGCTGAAACGTCACTTGTCCCCTCGAACGAGTCGAGAAATGCACATCCTTCCTTTGTCCATGCGACATTATGCTACAATCAATGGCTACAACCAGGAAGAGTTACGGTCATTCGATCGACTTTATGTGGTTCAAGGCGGAACAATGCTCGATAAGAATACAATCTGTACGTCAATTAAAAGGATTTCTGTGATTAGAGAGGGTATTCCTGGATCTTCCTAGGGAGATTATAATAGTCTCGACGTTCTTTTCTCGAATGTGGACATCTGCATGTGGGATAATGATGTCCTAACCTTACGATATGCCACATTCAATGGAATGTAGGCCGCTCAACGGGAATATTGCAAGTAGCTTTTTTGACCTGTGTGTAGGGCAGCCCAATGCATTATGCAACCTCAATGACATGCGTGAGATAGAGATTCAAGACCTCAAAACAGACCAAACATATTCACTCATTCAGATACCACAAGCTGTGTGTTTGAGCAATGGCACCGCGCTCCATAAGTATAACTCTTTACCCTCTGGAGTTATATGTGATCTGCTCCGAACCCAAAGCTAGCTAGATATATAGGTCGTATAATCTGCTAAGAAAATACTATAGCGTTCTAGGTGTTGCGAAGCTAGAGTATCAGGAGTCCATCTTGCGTCTCTCAAAAGATCCGAATTCGCGTTGTCCAAGCGCTCTTGCCTGTAAGATATATTCGCATACCCACGTCTGTTACATTCTCTTACAGTCTAAAGTCCATATAGACATGACACAGCCTTGGTACGCGTTGTATTCCAGACTATGAAGCGTCGATCGGAGTATAAAAGCAGCAAGGGAATGAGCATATACACGTCTCGAGACACGCTGCGAAGTCATGCATTCGCTAGATGGCTGATAGATACTGAGCAGGGTAGGCCATCTACTATCGTTTGCTAAAAGCCGTTTAGTCTCGATAAAACATATGAATTGGATGTTAAGTCTCACCAAGGCCTTGATTCCCCTCGCAAACTTGAAAACATTTAGGACCCCAGGCTTTATGTGTGGTGAGCTACCAACATTTTCTTCGGGTTCATACTCGTACGTTGCGGACAGGCTTCTCGCGGGTGGTCAGAGGTGTGTTAGAATAAGAAGTCAAGATGTGAGGATATTGGCATTCAGGGGTACCTCATACCGAGTCAATTCAGGGGCATCGCTCGCTAGACAATGTCATATCACAAAGCCGTTAAGTGTAATCTTTTGATTCTGGTGCACTCTCCTATCACTGTTTCGTCACCTGCAGCTAGCAGCAATTAATACGTCCGTGAATTTGCTCACGTGTGGCGGTCGGCGATTGTTAACGAGGCGCAGCCGGTACATCACTTGAGCAGTAAAGTCACGTATGTCGCATTCACACATAAATACGTTCAGTTGAAAATTCTCTCCTCCACTTCTTCTGGTCTTACTCTTTCACGCCGCTTCCCAAATACGGTTTCTTATCCTCTAGGATTCGTCCTGTTGGTGTCCTCTTAAAGGTTCTTATCCACCATTCATCTTTGATCCCTTCTCTTCGTCTTGTCGACTTTGGCATCCCAATGTGAAGCTAGAGGCGAACGATTAACTTGTTGTAAGTTATAGCTGTTTTTCAAATCCTCGCAAAGAATCTCTACTCGTGTACGCCCTGGGAGAAGGTTTATTCGGCATACTGTACCAGCTAGCCTTAAACTGTAGCCATGCGCACAGGGGCCTTCGACAGGTCTTCTGGAGCTGACTCCGATCCATATACCCCCGATTGTGCTCTTCTGACTTATTGCCGAATACGAATGCTAAAAGACACTAGAGTAGTACGGATATCCTCTCGGCTTTAGGCCGATCGCTGTTATCGCCATTTCAAAAGCAGTTGTATGTCTTTTGCTGTCGGTATCTTAGACCATTAGCAACGGCTACCAGCATACCAGAATGATAGGTCAGTGATAGCATGCCTTTGACTGTATTAATCTGTGGATTTGAGAGAGTGTTACTATCGTTTCGTTCCGCTATACCAGTGGTATAGTACTGCATAAAAACATTCTCTGATTGAATCCACCAGGTCCCCTATAGATCATTCTTGACACTCAACGTACATTCCAGTCATTTCAAAAGCTTAAAACTCGCCTGTTTCGACAAGAAAGAAGTAAAATTTACCTTTATCACAGCATCATATCATGGCTACTATCGCAGGACCAAGGGCTGCAACATCTTTTGCCAGTCTGCAGTCTACGACGGGGTCTAACCGAAGTGCTGATAGCTCCAATGACTCGGGCAGCACCAATGCTACTACTTCACGAAAGTTTCCACGCTACAGAGCTGTATCAACTGGAAACGTTCATATTCCTGCATGGGAGCCGTCCAATTCTTGTCCCACCGCTGTTACCCTTGCACAGGCTATCAGTTGGGATACACGCGTCCATGAGAGATTGAGCAACAAATGGGTCGACTCCATCCCACCACTCAAACGTCTCGATGCTTACACCTTGATTGAGAGGCTTGTTTTGACATTGAATAATCCAGCATACATCCCCTACCCAACGGTACACGATCCCATCATCATTGCTATTGACCTCGAGCACTTTCCAGTGCGTGAAGACCGGCAGACAGAGGTCGGACTAGCTATACTAGACACAGCAACAATCAAAGGAACAACACCCGGTCCATATGCAGACTATTGGATCCAACAAGTCCGAGCACGCCACTTGCGAGTCTGGGAGACTGGTACTTGGATCACATATGCGAAGAACAAAGCTACCGGAGAACGTCTCTGGGCTGGCAACAAATTCCAATTCGGCACTTCCGAATGGCGCCAGGTCCCTGACATATACAAGGAGATTGAAGAAGTGTTACGCGTCAGTATCCAGGGCAGAAATCGTCCCGTCATTCTCGTCTCCCACCACTGGTCCCAGCAAGAGCAGTTCCTCTCCAACCTCTTCGTCGACCAAGGCCACCTCCTCAAACGCTTCCGTCTCACAGACTTCGGCTCGATTGCCTCCGTCATCGACACAGAGTCCTTAGTCTCCAGCATAGGTACCCCCAGAGTTGACCTCTCCGGCGCCCTGCACATGAAAGGCTACAGCGAGTTGATCCGCCACAACGCTGGTAACGACGCAATGTACACGATGATCCTGCTCCTCCGCCTGGCAACCGATACAACGATGCCCCCTAATCGTCACGCAGCACAACAGTACCTGATCCGTCACACTCCCCAGGAACTCCTCCGCCGCCTCGTGCTCCAGCGCCTCAAATACCGCATCCCCCTGAACGACGGCCGCTGCTCTGCCTGTGGTCGTCTCGGTCACTCCGACGTCCACTGCGTCTGGCTCAACTGCTGCGCCGCCTGTGGAAAGAACGGCTTCTGCGCCCATCGCCCAAAGCCAAAGGACGGACACGCTCATAGCCCTGTTCCGCCCTCGCGCCCAAACTATGGCCTGCACATCACAAACAACAACCACAACAACGCAAACCACATGAATAACAACAACAACCACAACAACCTAAACCACATGAACCACAACAACAGCAACATAAACCACATCAACAACATCCACAAAATGAACACCATCATCACCTCCCACCGCAGAACCACCCAAGACAACCACCACACCGTTCCTGCCCCTCCACCCCGCTCCGCTCCACTCCACCACCTCCCTCCCTCCCCACTCCCCCTTCCTCCACCAGCACCCACACCAACAGCAACCCCGAAACCGAACCCGAACCCGAAACCCACACCCACACACGCCCAAATCCACACCACTACCACACCAACCACACCAACAACAACAACAACAAAAGACCTCCGCGCCGAAGCACCCATATTCCGCCCAACCACCACGACCACCTCACACCAAAAGCACCACCCCCCAACCCCCCAACACCGCCGCCTCCCACCCTCCCACACCGCCGCCCCCCCTTCCCAATCACCACCACGACCCCTAAGCCCACGCACCCGCCTCCAGAACCACGCCGCCGCCCTACGCGCCAAAGTGCTCATCGAGCGACGCATCACGATGCAGCGCCCGGCCTTTGCCGAGAGCGTGACGGAGCCGAACGAGGCGTGGGGCGCGCCAGAGGGGGGCTATAATGCGTGTTTGCGGCATGTCGAGGTGGATCATCAGGTGCGGTTTTGTCCGCGGCGGAGGGAGAATTATGGGTGGTGAGGGGAGGGGAGGGGGCGGGATTTGGGAGGATTCATACGGGGAAGGGGGGAAAAGGTCTGGAGGATTTTGTGCTGGATGGGGCAGAAGTGGGAGGAGGAGGAGGAGCAGGGGGAGCTGTTTGAGATAGAGACTATGGGTGATTTTTTGGAAAGGTTACGAATTGGATGATTCGCTATTGTATTTCTTACCTCGTTGGAAGGAAAGAAAGGAGAAAAAAAGAAAAGAAAGAAAGGAAGAAAGAACGAAAGAAAAGAAAAACTCAGGGCTTCAATAGACCACTGAATTCTTGTATCTACTTTCATACTGGATCGATAGTCTTCGATCCGATCGGAAGTGTGGTATTATGCATTATCATACTAATACAGGTACCTTTTTCTGAGCTAATACAACCTCTATAGAACAGTCTATTACACTTTTTCGGCCCCCATCGGCTTTTTTTCGGCCTTCAACCAGTGAGCGGCTCTGCCCCTTTAACACCGTCAACTATGCATTTTGGGGGCCACGACACGTCGTAGCCTTGCTGAAAGACTTTTTTAAATTCTGCTCTTCACCTTTTTTTCATGTCTTTTGGTCACGCACAGCATGCGCCCATCACACCCTGCCAAACTTGGCTCTGATCTCCTCCTCTCCAAATGCTCTCGTCTTTCTTTTCAACAGCTCCGCCGTCTCGCTGATGGTCAGGTCCATCTGGCGGCCGATCGGCACTAGCCGCTGCGCAAGATGCACGTAGTCCTTCATCAGCAAGCGGATCGTGATCATGATGTAGTCGATGTCGTGGAAAACAAGAGCTTGCTCGTCGGCGTATTGCTGTTTTTGCGAGATGAAGGCGGCTGGATGGTCGCGCCAATGGCGCCGCGGGTTCAAGTGGTGCGAAGTGTGGTAGCCGTCGTTGAAGCAGTAACGGTTGGACTAATGTGAGATGTCAGAGGCATGACAAACCCTAGCAGGGCGTAAGACTTACCGGGACATCAATGAGCGTTATACTCGACCTAAAGTCCGAATCCGGCTCCTCGTCATCGACAAATGCATGCTGCCCCCAATTCCCGACCATCAGGCCGATACGCATGAACGCCAACGGAAGCACAAACACGAACACCGCTGCACGTTTATTCACATATGCCGCCAGCAGGTAGATTGCGAGATAATTCCCAATTTCAAAGAATGCCGCCTTCGCAGCCATGGTCGTCTTGCCTTTGCGCAGAAAATACCTTGGCAGGTCGAACCAGATCAGGAAATAAAAACGTCCGATGTAATGCAGAAAGTGCCACACGTCGTCGCGCTGATACCGCAGTGTGCTCGATAGGTCGTTCGGGCCGTTGCCTTCGACATGGTGGTGCTTGACGTGGTGGTAGAAATACGTGTTCCACGTATGTCCCATGAGAGGATCCGTGATGTACGGGAACACGGTATCGAACAACCAGAATCGCTTTGAGAGGATGCCGCGTCCGTGGATGTGCTGGTGCATCATGAGTGTGTAGGTGCCCATGTAGTAGCCCTGCATGATCACGTGGGCGAAGGCGTGCCAGTAGTCGAACGAGTAGAAGAGATAGAGGGCGCTGGGGACGGAGGTGGTGAAATACAAGATGAGATGGGTAATCATGACGACGTCGCTTTCGTTACGAACGGCATGGCGGGCCCATTTGATGTATGGTGACAAGACGTAGCGTTGGAGGAACTTTGGCAGTTGAACATCAGGAAGGTCGACAGACACGAAGACGGTTGGATCGAAATGCGCATCGCTGGGGTCATTTTTGGCCTTGAGTGCGTCGAGAGTGGCTTTCGTGCGGGTGGTACATGGCTTTTTGGGGGTTGACTGCGGTGCGGTGGGAGGCATGTTTGGCTTCGACTTCTCGCCTTTGGGGGATCTTCTTTCGACCGGAGAAGAGTGGGATTCGTCATCCGAAGAAGAGGCCTTGCGATGCTCTTCGAGGTCCTCGGCCAGATGGGTGAGCACAAGTCGATCGTGGGTGGTCAAGTCCTTGGCAAACACAAGGGGCCTCTGCTCGAGCGGGGCCACGACTTTGTCTGAGCTAGCCGCAGGCATCTTGAGATACAAGACTTGAGAGTGGAATAGCTGACAGTCGGTGTTGTGGCACGTAGCCCTGAAGGCTAAACACGGTCAGATTGGTTGGTCTCATTGCACCTAGATATATGCAGACCAAGGTAACGCGATCGTGACTTGTTCAGGGGCTAAGCTCAACAGCTCCAAAGTTGAGACAGCTTCGTCTGGGTCGAATTGAGTGCTGAGGTTATGCAAGCTCCGGACGCTAAAGTAGTTTATTAGTCGAGGAGAACAAAGCTACAGTAGATGGCAACCATGGCAGCGTCTGATGAGGAAAAAAGCCAAAGAAAAGCTGATGTCTGTATTGCTAGAAGTTATATGTAGCGATGGCGATCTAGATGGTTGTACCCTGTCGATCAGTGCAATTTCTCAGGCCCGCTCCGACATCCTACCGAGAGCCGAGACCCTGGCTACTTTGATTTGATACGTGCGCTTAGCACAAAAGCGTAGCTGCTGACGCATTGCAATATACATCAGCTACTGGAAAGTTGGACCGAAAGCGAGTCGGGCGAGGACTGAGAACCCTCTCTTCCACGTACCATGTGATACAGTTTCAAGCAGGTTTAGTAAGCCTGTTTCCTACTATAGTAATGTTTGTGTATTGTGTCAATGCAGAGACTAGCGATGGAACCCCTGCTAGCCGTAAACCCTGATCAGCCTTGCCGTTCTGTCCAATGCAATGTCTTCACCATGCATCTCACAACAGGGGGTTGTTGCAAAAAGCCGTGGATCACTTTCTCTTAGGCGAGCGCCTCACTAATCGTATATTTGACTACGTTTAGATTCCCCATAAACTTACAGAGAGTTAGAGTTATGGAATTGTATTTCCATTCTTTAGTTCTACTGGTATAAAGCTACTATTCGTGGTTATAGAGACGGGTCAGATGTGTGAGTTTTAGTGAGAGGCGATCTACGCATTTGCAACCCCTTGTTGCTAGACAAAGACCACAGCCGCAGCTAGAGCCGCCAACTGTCGTTGTGTCTTAGCATGCAGATTAAGTGATGTTGCCTGTATATACAGTATTATCCACATTGAAGTTTATGCCACGCTGGTATGTACATGCTTTAAACCGACTAGCGCAAGATGGTATATCAACAGGCATCTTCATGCCATCGTGCAGGCAAACTACCCCCGCAACACCAGTACATTCCCCTAACTAGCTCGTCTCAGCTCCAAGAGCCCCGCAGCAATCTTCCCCTTGACCACGCTACTCGTTAACTTATCCCATCCAGACTCTTCCCTTTTAGCATTGATCTCTTCGTCTAGATCAGCACCCAGTCTCAAACGTTTTGCAACCGGCGTCGCAAGACTGTCCTCGTTGCTCTTTGCCCTACGTTCCTGGATTCCCGCATCCACCACTGCATCCGCATCCATTACCGCACTTGAATACCCAGCTTTCACAAGAGCTGTGGCGCGCGCGGGCGGAGACGATGGTAAGTTCCACGCCGCGACTGGGTCGTAGGAGATGTGTTTGCTAGAGTATGCGGTAGGTCGTAGGATTGGAGCAGTACTCAATTGTGGAACAGAGCCGATGCGAGTAATTTGGGATGCAGTCTGACGCACAGGTGAGGTGGATGCTCGGTCCGCCGACTCCGCGGGTAAGCTACGACTGCGTGGTGTCGTCTGCATGGGGGAAGGCGTACGCGACCAGACTTCAGGAGTGATCGGCTTAGGTGCGGGAAGGGTCAAAGCATAGAGAGGAAGACGCGTCTGGTTTGTCTGGACCTTATACATGGCGACGCGGAGGCGGAGACGGAGCATCTCTGTTTTCTAAAGCGAAAAGTCAGCCAACTTTACGGCTGTGCCAGAATTTATGGACGTACAGATTGTATGCTCACGAGTGCGGCGGGGGCTTCGCAGGTTGTGCAGTCGGTCGGAGAGCTGCCGCGTTGGCTTGAACCACGGGGGTCGTAATCAATGAGGGAGGAGAATGAGCCACTGATCTTTGAAGCAGAGCTTTCCTGCGGGGTGATTTGATTGTCTGGTGTAGGCGTTGATGATCCCGATCTATCATGTTCATGGGCTGGGTGGTGTTGGTAAATGGTGCTGGTTGTCTGCTCAATCGTATTAGCATATTGACTCCCTCGAGCACAATGCAACATCCAATACCTCTATCTCTGTTGCCGCAGGCATATCTTCGCTTGAACCTCTCAGTAGCACAGGGCTAACGACTTTTGCTTCCTCTGCATAAACGCCATTGTCATCTCCAGCTTTCCTCTTCTTGCCCCTGCTCTCGATTTCTGGACCGCCCGAAGACTGGGTCTCCGCTAGATAGGTCTGTTTCAGTGGGCTACCGGGTCTGAATATCTCGACTACAGCATCTTTAGTTTTGAGGAAGTCTCTGGGTGATCTTGGTCTGGGTGAGATCGCGTTGGGAGGAAGCTCGCCCAAAGGGACGCGTTTAGTTGGCGACGGAGTGGTCATCTCGACCTATCAAGCCGATTGACGTATACAGATCAGTAGCTGTGTATCTGAAGAGTTCGATATACGAATCAGGGTTGTGTTGAGGCGTGATGATGGAGTTCTCGAGGCGTTGATTTCGTTGATGTTTACGTCGTAGGAGCCCGGTAAACAGTTTTGTAGTCTTCGACACGCGACAATCTACGTGATGATAAAAGACAAAAAGTGGCCAAGATATGAATACTCTACGCAGACACGATTAGCGATATTATCATATGATCACAACAAGCTGTCGTGATGGCTTGTCACGTACTCAAGCCGGAGACGCGAAGTGGAAATGCACAAGGTCCGATGTATCGGCGTTCCCATGACTCGCAGTATGGAGATGGCGCATGGGCCACTACTCGGCCCGGCCAAAGTGTGCTCATGCTCGGGTGCTTCTGCACTGCGCATACCAAGCAGGGTCCAGTTCAGGACGCCAGGAAGTGTGATCTGTAAAAGTATATGCTTTATCTAAATAATGTGTAATGATGCCATGCTACTATAACCACGTATGTCTCAAATGACTCGATATGACCATCAAACTCCTGTATGAATGCCCGATTCTAATATAGTCCTCAACTTATTAGCACAGGGCATGCCATCCATGAAGCGAGCGAATCCTAGCGATGCTCTATTGGATCTTCGGCAAGTAATGGCTGCGTCGCGCCCCCGTCGGAATCAGCCGAAGTTCGTCGATTACCAGTCATGCACATTTGTAGGGGAGGGCGGATAATATCGTTGAACAAGAAGGTTCCATACACAAGAAGCGCAAAGCCGACGACCTGCAGCCACTTAAATGTCTCCCAGCCCAAACCAAGAGAAACAATCCATATGAAAAGGGTTCGGCAGGTGTCGATAGTGGACCTTGATGTTGCTGAAACGGTGCGAGTAACTGATAGACCGAAGAAATTGAAGCCTCTATATTATGATTAGTATCGTGAAAGACCTAGAGAGGGAGAAGCTATACCCGATGCTTATCATGATCAATATACTGCTGATAGCAATTGATCGAATCTCGAAGAACTCCCTAAACCCTTCCCTGGCGTCAAAGTATCCGTATCGTCCAGCGTCAGTCTGTCCGACCACTGCATGCAAGATGCCCATGACGATACCAGTGACTAAGAATCCAAAGATACCTTCCCATCCTACTACCTTCAGCGGTTCCATCTCATACTTCTCCATGATAGATTCTTCAAGTACGAACTGGGAGGCAGTGAATATCTGCGCACCAGCAATACAGAGGATACCGATGATAGTCATCACCGCTGGGTCTGGCGAAGTTTCGGTCAAAATTCTGGTTGGAGTTGCCTTCTCGTCTCTGGTGATTGCTCCCGCAAGCCCGACAAGTGCGACACCCGCAACGACAATAAATAAGGCCAGCCATTTGGCAGCCCCAAGTACTCTCTTCAAAAACAACACACTGAAAAGCCCAACGAAAAGCACGAGCGCGCCTCTCGTCATCTGGTATATACTGGCCGCAACAAATAGCAGTCCAACATTCATTAGCGTCGTTCCTGTAATATCGCAGACTGCAGGTGCTGCAAGCAGGAAGATCTTCCAGCCAACAAGAGGGATTCTCTCGATCTCTTCATGCGATAGTTTCAGCGGATTTGCAACAGGCGGCGTAGCAGAGCCTGTGTCGTGCGTCAAAATGTCCTCTTGATCTCCTTCGACACCGCGTGTGCTTATCGGCTCATAACCTGCTTTCTTTGTAGTGTATCGTTGATAGAGGGAGAATCCGCCAACGACGAGCCAGCAGCCCATCTCACCGATAAACATTTGGAGGGTCTGTAATACGGGCTGTTCAAAGTGTTTCCGTTTGTTGGGATCTGTCGAGTCGCAGTCGCGGACGCATACCATGTCCTGAAGGCCACTAATATCAGTTTGACTCCAGAGTCGAAGATACTTGACTGACCTGATACTTAGTCAAGAGTGTATTGCACACTCCGGTGAGCAACATCATGGCCACCAGGAGTGGTATCGCAGCTTTGACGGCCATGCTAGGATGAGCGAGCTGAGAAGCTCAGTTGGGGAAGGACTATGGCTGTGCCGAAGATGGTGGATGTGTGAATAATAGTGGAGAGAGGGAATAATGTAGGAGTATAGAGGTCAAGTCCTCTCTGTTTCGAAAACGAAGAGCAGTCAGATCTGTCGTTCGATGGTTATAGTGGTTCGAATACAGAGGTGCTTTACGTGAGTCGTGACATGGGCACGAGACTCGTACCTAGGCCATGTTGCTTATCTAGCTTCGGATATTAGCAAGGATCCTGGAGCTTGGGCCGCTTTGTACTGCAGCGGGCTCAACACATACATGGTGGACCAGTTCCAAGAATGTGCAAGACAACTTCTGTTGAGCGCTAAATGGGCACAATGCACGGTTCAAATTACTTTTGGACAATTGTATCTAGTAGTCGACATTCATCTAATTTCTCGAGTTGTGTATGACGATATTGCTAATACGCCGCCACGAGACAGCGGCTTGCACCTCACTCGAATCCAGTAAAGAAAGGGTATTCAGTTGACCTCCTATGCAATACAAGTCTGCCATCCCAGCGACAACGCCAATGATGGATTGTTCAAAGCACCCGTACAACACCGTCCTGTGAAAACCGAAAACCATAATGCCGCATAAGGTGGAGGTATTAATGCGTTATCTCAACCGAATGTTTAATCGTAAAAGCGATGGCGAAAGGAAATTGTATATGCAACCACGAAAAGTGAGACTAATCAAGAGTGCGGACTTGAAACCTGTTTCCCAAGGCGCCTTGTAAATAGTTGGGTATCAATGTCAATCGAATGGTGGAAAGAACGCTTGTCGAGTAATGCAGCACGCTAGAATACGTTCATTTTGGCCCGAAAGGCGTTCCCTCCCAGCCAGGGATGCCATTGTCACCAAGACCAGCCTCGGCGTCGAAGTAGTCCTCAAACTTCACATCGTCCCATGCATTATCGGCAGCTGAGAAGGTGACCTTGTCTTGTAGTTCGATCCCCCAGTCAGGCGCATCACCGCCCAGATCAAATTTTTCGTCGAAGTTAAGTATCAAATTCTGGTCAATGTTAGAGTCAAGCGCGACATCTATGTTGAGGTTGTCGAATTCGCTGATGTCGCTCTCGCGGGTCGAAGTACTCTCTCGACTACTCTCAGGGGTCATAATATCAGCCTGGATTCGCGGTTGAAGCCATGTAAGGCCTTCTGGATCGTCTCCAAGCACATCATTGCCAGCCCAATCAGGAAGCTGGCCAGGGATCTCAATGCCGCCGAAACTCGCTTGAAAGTCGGCCACGGAGAATGGTGCATCGGCCCATGGATCCAGTTCTGCGTCAGATACTACTTCAGCCTGGGCAGGTACTTTTGCAGGTTCCTTGCCAGTAGTTGTGTAGGCACTATTTGTACCAGGTGTCTTGCTTGTAGGCTGTGGTGTTTTCAAAAAGCTTGACGGAGAGCTCTTGATTCCCTGCTGTGTTGGAATGCGGTTCATAGGTGTCGAAACAGAAGCTGGGGTTGCGGCTTCCTGTTTCATGGAACTGGTGCCGATAATTGGTTTGGAAGAACGGTCTGCAGCATTGACACTCTCCTTCGGAATCTTTTGGGTTCCGTCCGGATTGCAGTTCAGACTATTTGCCATAGCGTTAATAGACCATGCCAATGGGTCTTTGACTGGAGGATGACAGTCCGTCAGATGATTATTCAGATCGGATTGGCTTTCGAATTTGGAGAAATGCGAGTCACAGTCGCTGTGAGGACACTTGAAGCTCGGCTTTGTCTCTGCTGGCATTTCTGTAGGTTGCTGTCGCTTGACGTCAGGAGACGGGGGTTTCCCAGCACTATTTGTTGGGAGCTGGGCAGGCATAGATGTAGGAGTGTTATTGGGCTTCCGCCTCTTCGTGGCCGGCAGTTTCATGGTATTAGGGTCAAAGCGAGTTTGAGCATAGGCAGGTACACCCTGTGGGCTTGGTGCAGGTATTTGGAAGGATGGACCCTTCTCAGTAGTGGGTGCGGAAGGGGGTCTATTACCGGACTGCTGCTGCTGTTGCTGCTGTTGCTGTTGCTGTTGCTGCTGCTCTTTCTGATGTTTGACGTTCTCATGCCGAAGTTGTTCAAGACTCTCAGCTGTCAACTGCGTTGCTGCCGGCACGTTACCGGGTGGAATACTCATCGACGGTGGTTGACCATTAGGCCCATTTTGCGCCATGCTCTTTGCAAGATCTTGAGCCTTCTGGATGAAAGTCCCAATCTGCGTCAGGTCAATCTCCAATTGTGATAAGAAGAATGAAAGTTGTTCCTTGAGACTCCAGGAATTCGTCGAGGACCCAGGTGGTTGCTGAATAGTGTTCCTCTTTATTCGAGCTCTAGATTCCATCACAGCACGGAAGGGAGCTTCGGCTCCTCCTCGTTGTGTCCACGCAGCCAATGAAGAATCAAGTTTCTGAAGAGTTGTGATGTTTGCCCTTATTCTCATTTGCATCTTCTCGCGCATTTCCTTGGGTACTGTAAGGTTAGGTGCAGCCTGAACTTTCTTTTCGGCCTCTGCAGCAATAATTCTGTACTTATGCATTGCTACCGGTGGCTTCGCAGATGTCTTGATAGCGTTCTGTATGCGCTTGATATTATCTTGTTGAGACGCGGGGGTTGGGTTTTGTTGTTCAGTGTTCATCTTTTGACCCGCAGCTTGCCCTTGCACTGTTGTCGTCAGATTGGCGCTCTTCCGGGCCGGGTCCGCGCTGTCCGTATCATCATTGGGCCGCTTCGAGCCCTTCTGGTTTTGGATTCGTGAAATGGTCTGTTGATTGGGAGTTTGTTGGGCTTCAGAGATTTTTGGCGTTCGGTTGCCTTTGACTTGACCAGTCTGGGATACATTGACATTGTTGGGAGGTTTCGGCGTTGGCTGGGTCATAGGTGGAACCGTGGGCGGTCTGTCAACTTGCTGCTGTGGTCGACCGGGCGCTTGCATTGGCTGTTGATGAAGCTGCTGTACCTGCCCTTGCTGTTCCTGTTGCTGGCGCATGAGTTCTTGTCTCCGTGCATTCAGTGAGTTCTGGCGCTGGCTGTTAATAAAGGATCGGACTTGGTCGTCCGTGAAGGCTTGCGCTTGCTGCATAGGTAATTTTGCACGGGCTGTTGCAATGTCTTGAGGCGTCAATGGTGGGAAGTTCATGTTATTGAAGTTCATGGGAACGGGACCTTGAGGGTGATTTCCTTGCTGTGGGAACATAGCCCCCGGGCCCATTTGGGCTGTTGGAGCTTGTCCTCCAGGTGGTAGCAGGTTATTGCCCAGTCCGTTCTGTACCTGATTTCTCATCATGTTGTTCTGTAACCTTGCGTTCATTTCGAGCAGCTGGGAACCTTGCAGCATTGTCAATTTCGCGTTCAGATCCCTCGCAAAGTCAGGAGCATGTGTCTGTTGTACCCATTGTTTGAGTTGCGCCCAAGATTTCACTTGTTCCGGCACAGGCTGTCGAAATGCCGGATTGTTGGTGATATTGGGTGGGAAGGGCTTCTGGTCCATCATCCCAATCTGCTGTGGATTGCTGGCGAATTGTCTTGCGAATTGCTCGCGTCGGAGTTTTGCCTGAGCCTGCTGTTGTGTCAGGCCCTGAGGCACTTGACCAGGCCCAAATACCTGCCCAGCGTTGGGACCGCCACCAAAGCCACCATTTGTAGCGTTCATGAATTGGGCGTTGGGTGGAGCAGAAAGCTGCCCTGGCGACACTTGAGGTTGTCCTTGCTGGGTAGGATGCATCTGCATAGGAAATCCCGTTTGTGGACTGGGACGGAGTGCGTTTTGATTTCTTTTCTCGAGTAAAGCTTGAAGGTTCTCGTCCGGGACGCTCATTATCTGATCACGTACTTGCGGAGGCAGATGCGTAGTATACTGCAATCGCATCTGCTTCATCTGCTCAATTGTTGGTGTTCCTTGTGCATTCTGCACTCTTTGCTGCATCATTTGGATCGCTTGCATTGCGTTTATGGACATACCATTCGGCATGGTGCCATTTGACGGCGTACCAGGTTGAGCTGACCGTTGTTGGGCATTGCCACTGCCAGCCTGAGACCCAGCCATTCTTGGTACAAAAGTTGAGTTCAAGTTCGACAGGGGCGCACGACTCTGTCCTGGTGGGATATTGTTGTTCATGCTCATCGACTGCTGAGGCTGCGCCTGAGCTTGAGCCTGAGCTTGAGCTTGAGATTGAGCTTGAGCTTGGGCTTGAGCTTGAGCCTGCACTCGTATCCGATTCATGTGCTCTTGCTGTGCAAGTTGCTGTTGTTGCTGCTGCTGCTGTTGTTGCTGTTGTTGCTGCTGCTGTTGTTGTTGTTGTTGCTGCTGTTGCTGCTGCTGTTGCTGCTGTTGCTGAATCTGTTGATTTCGCATCAGATCTTCTTGCTGCTGGCGCTGCTGCTGTTGTTGCTGCTGCTGATGTTGCTGTGGTTGCTGCTGCATATTTGGTACCTGAGGCGGTCGGTGAATAGTACCCATTCCGTTGCCGCCTTGTTGCTGCGCCTGAGCGTGTGTATTAGAGAACATTCCACCTTGAGTATTATTACTGTTAGTGTTGTTGCTAGCGGGAACGACTTGATGTCCTGCCTCTGCGAGCCGCGTGGCATTGGCCTGTTGCTGGCCAAGTTGAGAATAGCCAAATTCTGGGTTACCTTGCATGGAGCTTTGTTGGCCCTGGCCTTGTGGGTGGTTACCGTTGCTTTGTGGGTTGAGTCCTTGCGGCATCATTCCGTTCATCTGCGCACTGGGTTGCTGCTGCCGTGTACTGATTTTCTTTTGAATATACTGGTGCATGACCTTTTCTCTAAATTGCCAGAACACAGGATCGATCCCCTTGGAGCGGAGTGTAGCCAACAGCTGCGGGGGCAGCCCAGTCGCCTCCATTCTTATCCTCTCCATCTGTTCACTCGGTTGTTGCGAGAATTTAGCCGTAGCCACATCATTGATAGTCTTCAAATCTTGATTCGAGAGAGTAAACCCTTTGTTGCGCGCTGATTGTGACAATAGCTGTAACGTCAATGGTAATTGTGCAGGATTCGGCTGTTGTAGCATTTGTGGCTGTGGTTGTGGACCTGTTTGCTGCGAACCAGGTACATGAGATGGATTCATCCCACCAACAGAGGACTGTTGATTCATTGGAATAGCAGAAGGTTGCATCTGTCGCTGTAGGTGTTGTGGGAATGCTTGTGTAAACTGCTGGCCTTGTTGTGAACGAGAGTTTTGCATTGGTGTTTGTTGCGGGTTGCTCATCTGCGGGAATCCGAGGCCTCCATTCATCTGTGCCAGTCTTGCGCGCTTGGTTGAGATTTCTGACATCATGTTTGCGATATTGGCCTGGTATTCTTCCTACAAGATTGTTAGCTCGTGCAATCGTGTTCGTGTCAAGTGTGCTTACGACTGAGCCACAACTCTTGAAGCGATCAGTTTCAAGTCGAATCGCACGGTTGAGCACATCGCTGGGAGAGGCGGCGCCTTGCTGGAGAAGACCAAGGTTGGTAGATCTGTAGTAAAGGGCGGAAAGGTTAGTATGTACCCTGAACTTAGGCTCGAGTATGGCACGTACAAGCTGATAGCTATCTTTGCTCGTTCTGTAGGGCGCACGTTCTGCTGCCAACCAGGAGGCACATCTTGTGTCTGATAATGGGCTTGAACAGCATTGATGTTGTGTTCACGGCCCGCGCCCATGTTAGGGTTGCCTGGCATGGGCATGCCGTTCACGTTCTGAAAATTGTTGTTCATCATCATGTCGATCCAGGACGACAAAGTGTCGATGGAGATGGGCTCGGAGAGCGAAGGATCATGTGTCGGCGAAGAAGCGCATGTGTGAGAAGGATATGCAGATATCGGGTGCGCAGGCAGTCGGTGAAGAGGACTAGGCGTGAATGTGTGGCGGCGTAGGTGTCACAGCCCCCGAAGTAGCGAAAGACAGGGCGTGTAGATGGTATAGGCGTAGACGCTGGAAATAGAGCAAACAAAGGGCCGGATGAAATTCGAAAATCCAATATCGACGATCAAGAGAAGTGTGCTAAAGGTAGGTTCAGTGGGCGCGTGCGACCCAGGCGAGAGGATGGTGTCAGCGGAGTTTGTAAGGGTACCGGTGAAGAGATAGAGCGTGGCTCCGTTCCCAAGGATATCGAGGTATGGAGTGAGACAAGCTGCGGATTTGCAGGGAAGGAATGCGCAAAAGTTGTATCCAACAGCGTAAGTCTGGATTGGTATTGATGGTAGGGCGGAGAGCACGGAGGAGAGCGGAGGGGAGCGGAGGGAAGAGGAGTGAGTGAATGAGATGTTTGTGGAGGAGTAGAGGTTGTGGGTGGTGGTGAACAAGAGAAGTGTCAAGCTGGACAAGCTGGACGGGCACTGACTGGCCCAGAACTTGCGGACCCAGCTAAAACTAGGTGTTCCGTAGATCCCCTTCCCCTACCTATCAGCACTATCGCTGGCGTCCAATAGCATCACGACTCACTGCACAAAACCGTTGCGCCCTCGCTGTCAATTCAGACAGAGTCATCAATCCTACGCACGATGATTTATGGACCGAGCGCTACCTCATCAGTTGCCCGACAGTCATAGATGATGGCAGGAGAAGAGCGCATCACATCAGCCTTGAGGAATGAATACAAAGCTACCTACACGCAGGCTGAAGACCTACTCACGTAGAGGTGAGCGCTGGAGTGGATGAAGGCTCCAGGGGAGAGCCAGGCACGACGTCTGCCCTGGTTTGGTTGCGGACGAACTGCTAATAAAGCCTCTAACTAGTTATTTATGCCTGCAGACGACCGGTCTTCTAGCTGTAGAAGGGCGATGAATGCAGCTGGTAGGCTGGTAGACCCGGTCGAAGCGTACGGACGGTAGGTATTAATGGTGAGGTGGGTGATGGAGTGTGTATGTGCGAGAGCATGGGCAAGGGCCAAGGGCACGGGCAAGGACAAGGGCAAGGGCAAGGTTCAAAACACTCCTCCGACACCGATGGACCAAGGCAACGTACTATGTGTACAAGTAATAATTACTGGATGTACTGTATGTACATAGTAGAAAGAAGAGATAGTATGGAGTCTTCTCAGGGGTTGATTGCTCGTCAGGCTGTTTGACTCTATGCCTCTTGCCTCTTGCCTCTCGTAGGTCTCGCATTACGTTGACTGTGTATTATGTTCAGATTGATCATCTTAATGTCTATGCGTGGGTGTGCTAGGTACTACTGCACAGGTACATTGGCAGCCAAGATTAAACTGTCACTTTGTGGTTTTGATAATAGTGAAGCGCGAAGATTAGATGTGGGCACATTGTCGAATGGGTGTACTTAGTAGTATACAGCTGGCTCTAATTACCTGGCTAAGGATAAGTAAGGATAATTAGTTATTATTACCTTAGGTACCTAGCCTTCTTCCCCTCCACATCCCTCCGTCGCTCCTTCCCGCTCCGCCCCTACTAAGCACCCGCCTACAGCCCCCGGCACAAACCTTCAAGCCCCAAAACCTTCGAGCCTAATCGGATGTAATTACTTACTGTAGGTCTGGAGTGTCCTAGTGTCCCAGCCCAACCCTTGGGAGGTCCAAACCAACGCGCGCTTAATATAATATAATAAGTGACGGATTGGCTGAACATCAATAAGTCGTCAGTCAGGCAGCCTACGGAGATCTTTCATTATATCTTGTATACATAAGTGCGAGCACATCCTCTTCTACCCCACCCCCTGGTGATGCCGAGATCGACACCAGTCGTCATCGAGGTGCTGTCTTTATCGCCCGGAACTTTTGTGTTACTTCAGCGATGGCTGTTTCGACCGGTAATCTCTCCATAGAACTCGCCCCATAGAATCCATGAGCGTTTGTTTGCTCCAGCACAAACTTCGCGTCCTGTGGCTGAGCAATTGGTCCTCCGTGGCAGAGCACAATCACCTCCTTGTTGACTGCTATTGCTGCATCGTATATCTCTTGGACCAGCTTCACACATTCCTCCAAAGTCTTACCCTTCTTTGCTCCAATCGCACCGCTAGAGGTCAGGCCCATGTGTGCCACGATCACATCTGCGCCTGCTTCGGTCATCACTTTCGCCTCTTTTGCGTTGAATGCATAAGGCGTCGTTAGCATGTCCATCGAGTGCGCCAGCTTGATCAGCTCCACTTCCGTATCGTAGCCCATTCCCGTTTCCTCCAGATTCTGTCGATACACGCTGTCGGCATCAATTAACCCTACAGTTGGGAAGTTCTGGACTCCCGCGATTCCACGGCCTCGGAGGTCTGCAAGTAGGGTCGGCAGTGAACGAAACGGATCCGATGCGCAGACTCCAGCCAGGACGGGCACCTGTTTCACAATGGAAACAATTTCATTTGCCTTGAATCAGGTAGTCAGCGACTCAGCATTATGCTTGTTCTGTGCACTATGTACGGCTCATGGCCTGGATTCTTTGCAACGTTGGTTGGAAGTGTCGTACCATCTCCAACACAATATCGTTGGCATTCCCATACGGCTGCAGTCCCGCGAGACTGCCACGACCAGCCATACGGTATCGACCGCTGTTGTAAATTATGATCAAATCACCTCCACCAGCCTCGAAAGACTTTGCAGAGAGCCCGATTCCTAAGCGTCTGTCACTTTTGTGCTTCCACTTCATTTCGGAGGGTTTTGCCCACCTGCTCCTGCTCCGACGATGGCTCGCCCCTCAGCAATCGCATCTCTTAGCCGTTTCAGGATCTCCTGACGATCAGTCGGTGGTGGCATGAAGACTAAAAGTCCTTTACCCTTTTGTTTCAGAGAAATGAGTTCATCTGCAATCTTCTAAAACCTTTGAAACCGATATCTACTCCCGTTGAAAGCAATTCACAGTTTTCACCATGACGCAACAGCTAGAAAGTGGGGGCACTCAACTGGGGGCCTCTTGCAGCTGGTCCACAGTCTACTCAGTCCAGGTCGACGGCGGCGGCAGCCGAACCGTAGTTTCCTAGCCTTAATTAGGTAGTAACGCTTAACGCTTCTACTAGAACATTCCTGGTTAATATCATATAGACATCTACACATTTCAGCCAAGCTAGATGCCGTTCGCTTCGCTGCATCTGCGGTAGTCTTGACCCATGCTCTACTGAATTCAAAACACTTACCATGAAGTACAGGATCATTTGTACCAATGCGCGAACCTGATAACACCGCTTATGCGTACTTCTAGGACCACGCCATGCAAACCACGAAAGTTCTCCTTTTCGGGACCTGCGATACCAAATTGCCCGAGCTCCTCTACCTCCGGGACCAATTACTGGCCCATCGCAATACTCAAATTCTTCTCGTCGATGTTAGCGTCGGCAATGAGACGCCCAATGATCAAGCAATCGACATTTATAGCCATGACGTCCTCCTTTTGCATCCGAAGCAAGCTGGAGTCAAAAATGAGACATTCTGCAGGCTGTCTCGAAGTCAGCGTATAAATCACATGGCACTGTGCATGAAAGAGCTCGTCAGCCAAAGGCATAGGTCTGGTGAGATTCATGCCACTATATCCGCTGGCGGTAGTGGAAATACCTCCCTGGCAGCAGAAGTCATGAGAGAAGCTCTACCATTGGGCTTTCCGAAGCTCATTGTATCGACGATAGCCAGCGGTGACACCGGGCCGATCGTGGGTGAAGCCGACATAACGCTTATGTATTCGGTGGTAGACGTCGCTGGGCTTAATGCCTTGCTGAGAAGCGTGCTAGAGAACGCTGCGGGTGCTGTTGTGGGCATGGCAGAGTCATATCGCCGAAGACTATCAACACAAAGTGCGCATGGTGACTCTACACTGGAGAAAAAGCGCGTTGGGATTACAATGTTCGGTGTCACTACTCCAGCAGTGAATAAGATACAAAAGCTTTTGCAAGAAAGCAATCGTCCGGTCGAAGTGTTTGTTTTCCACGCCACCGGTCACGGCGGCAAGGCCATGGAACGTCTCATACGTGAAGGGGGATTAGATGCTGTGATCGATCTTACTACAACTGAAATATGCGACTACATCTGCGGTGGGAGCATGAGCGCTGGTCCGACAAGGCTGGACGCTGCGGCCTCTGCTGGAATACCCTGCATTGTCAGCTTAGGCGCCACGGACATGGTGAACTTTGGGCCAAAGTCAACGGTTCCTGAGAGATATCAGGCTAGGCAACTGTATGAGCATAATCCTATGATTACATTGATGAGAACGGATAAGGCGGAATGCGAACAGGTAGGTGCATTCATCGTCAATAAGCTTAAACAAGCTACGAGGCCGGATGTTGTTCAGGTCTGGATACCTGAAGGTGGTGTCAGTGCTATGGCCAGCCCCAACGGACCGTTCCAAGATCAAGAAGCCGACAATGCATTGGCAAGGATTGTTGAGACTGGATTGAGTGACAGTGGCGTTGAGATTGTGAAGAAGCCGTATGCTATCAATGACGAGGAGTTCGCTAGTGGCATCACCGCAGCTCTGATCAAGCTGCTTGGCTTGTGAAGCATGCCTGGTCATAAAGTCTGTATCATGGGCGAGAAGGCTCGAGGGGAATATGCCATAAGATATGATGAGGCTTACCACCAATATCTGCCTGATGTTTTCTGATTCAAGTCACGAAAGCTTCCAAAATTCACGTAATTCACATCTGCGTGTTTCTGTAATCAAGCATACCATCTTTCTCGGCTTACTTAATTCGCAGTTGAACAAAGATTATATGTGGGTGTATGGCGATATATATTGCTAATTACCCAGCGGCCAATGTGCTCACATTCGTCAACATTGACGGATACTACGAATATCCCTTGTTTTGCCATTCCTTGGCTTAGTGATTTACGACATAAATACTAAGCCTCCGCTGAGTGCCAAATCCTAGCCGCCGCATACCGCTAGATGGCTCTAAAACTGATGCGTCTGTCTGATTACGCCATTCGTGCTAAGCCTTCTCATAGTGCAAGCCTTCTCTTGATGCAAGCCGTATGTCGTAGTGACATGTCCTCGATCTCGACACCCATTAAAGATGTAATATTAGGTGTGCGTGTGTCAAGGTTGTTTGTTTCATGCGATTCATTCACCTAGATTAGGCTAAGTCCTGGTCAGTCCTCTACGATATGCTAGGCTCCTTGGCACCGCCGACTGGTAAGATGTTTCGACCAATCACAATTTCGAAAGTAACTGCCTAGAGTCTCGGCATGCAGCGAGGCTACCTAATATAGTAGGGGACTCATGCTTTCCGTCGAAAATGACGCCGCGCGATGGATGAAGCCGTATCCTTGCATAAACACCTCTTTTAGCAGCTTTACTATAGTGCGTTTCTTTGCAGGTCATGATGGCCGCTACTTGTCTGTCAAAGAAACCTTTCCGTCCAAGCCTCAATCAGGCGTTACGACCAAGCTGGCATTGCTTGGGCGCGCGCGATGGCATCGAATCATATTTACCATATATCCACACAACCTTTTCCAAGGAAGTATTCATGGCAGAGTCAGCTCACGGACTCCAGAGATCAATCAAGTCTTGTCAAGCCTGGACATATGTACTGTATAAATATACCTGATAACACTAGCGCGTTGGCTCCAGATGCCGCAAAGGCCCAGCATCCGCTGTACATGGTATGTGACTCTCCCTTTAGTCTGATAGTCCCTGCTGATTGATGCCCTGTGCTGCTCGGACCCATATTAATCTCGCATTGGATGATTGTGGGGACCTGTGCTCTACTAACCGATAAGTGGCCGTATCGTCGAAGCTTGGAGAAACACCGCAAGTCGGCTTCGAGGGGAGGGGGGATTCATGCCATGTCTCATAGTCTGGAACTCAGCAACTGAGGCAGTGTGTTCGAGTTCGAGAATTAAGACGTATATGATTGTCTTTGTTTGCGCCAATGCCATCTAGCATGAGTTGACGTGCAATTCATCCTTGGTTCGCTCGAGTCACCGGCCGCGAAAGAACGCATCAGGACTATTCTGCGTAACGCGAGCACTAGTGGAAGTAATTGAATGAAGGATAAGTTATTTGCATAGGCGAGTATCGTTCCCTACGTACTATCTGGCAAAATGAATGAAGAAACCTGCCATGATCAGCCGGACTGAGCCAATATGACCAAGTAAACGAGCGTCGAAAAGTTGCAAGTGTGAAGTTCCACGGAAATCCCCTGACCGTCGCCCTGTTTAAATACCATGAGGATCTCCCGCATCTGTCGGCTCGCAAACACGCTCGATGCCCAGCGCCACGCACGTCTTCTTCTTCCATCCCCCGCTCTTGCTTGCACACTGTTGCCATAGGACAAAGAAGTCGTCTTCGCAGCCCTGAGACAAGTCGGTATCCCCATCGCAGTCCTTGATTCTGCTGGCGCGGAGCTGATACGCTTGCAGGGCCTGGTCGACCGGAACGGTCTTGTTCTCGTAGCCGTCATGCTCGTCCTTGGTGATGTGCTTGTCCCTGAGGAACCCGCAGAAGGATTTTGCCGAGGTGTTGAACTGCGATGCGGACCACGAGTCGGTGCCGGCTCTGCTGCAGTCGTAGTCGGAGAGGCAGATCTGTGACTTGGTACTGCATAAAGTGGTGGATGTAGGGCTGGATGATGAGGAAGAGCGAGACGGAGAGTAAGTGATTGAGGGCGTGGAGGTTGGGGAACTGGACACGGAGGAGGACGTCGAGTATATGGCGTCGCAACTCATGGCGTCCCAATCGTCCTCTGGCTCTGCTCGCTCTACTAGGTTTCCGTCATCAGTGATGGATTGCGTGCTGTTGAACGTCAAAATGTCCCTGTGATTGGTAGTCTTTCTGAACTCAAGACTTCGTCTCTCGGGATCATTCGCTGGGGGATCGAGATGACCTATTATATCACAGATCTGCTGCCGAATACTGTTATATCCTATGTTGACAGGCCTGTCCCACCATTCCGGGTTCTCAATTCTAGTCGCGAATTTTGGTGTGCCAAGAGGGAAAAGCTCGCGCGAGGTGCTGATCAGGCGGAACTTCAGCCTCGACGCTGACCACAAATCTGCACGAGATCCCGGGGATGGTGGTAAAGCCATCAAATATGCAGCGAGCCCTGCGATGAGTGGACTAGCAAAATTAGAGCCCGAGTAGCCACCGACAGTTTGCTCTTCACTAAACGGCGCCTCATCGAAGGCCCACGTTTCTCTGGTAGTAAGTTCCTCGCCTTGTGCGAAAATCCGGACCTGCGCTGGCGCGCCCACCGGCGAACCTGAATTGAATTCCGAAATTCGACCTTCAGGGTTTACCGAACCGACTATAAGAAAGTTATTGAACTCGCTCTCCAGTCTCTGTGGCAAAGTGGTTCTTAGATCTCTCTCAAGGGGACGTTCAGTGTCACCCGTATTCCCTGCGGCCATGACTAGCAAAATATCGCGTTGACTTAGCCCGCGCTGGACAGTATACCAAGTCTGATCCATCGCTGTATCCATTGTTCTCGCGTCTTTGGACTCGTCCAGACCGTAACGGTATGCAAAATTTACATTGAACACAGTCCTTCCAGATCGATAAGCTCGAAACCTGTCGAAATTGTTGAACGCATATCTAAATCCTTCGAGAATAGAAGCCGGACTCACGCCAAACGTATCCCAGTGAGTACCAGCAGGCTCATTCAGCCACTCGCCATCACCAAACATCTTCCGGTGATAGCCTTGCAAGCTGATTCCAACAATGTTGGCTTTTGGCGCTACTCCCATGGTTCTTCCGGCCGCAACTGCCAATTGATTACTTCCAAGACTGACATAGCCTTTCCTGCCAGACGGAGATATTCCTGGACTCATGCGATCCACCATGTCTTCGGGCGCAAGGTCTGCAGGGTTTATTCTCCATGAATCATCGAATTCCCCGGTTATCTCATGATATCCACCTTGTTCCCGTTCAAACCACTTTTCAGAGAAGTGGTTAGGCACCTGGTAAAAAATCCCAGCCTGTGCACGATTACCTAGTCTAAGCTCGTCACAGTTGGGAGTGATAGTAGGACCAAGTTGGTATATAGTTGCGTCTCCACCCAATTCCCTACGGAATGCGTACTTCCATTGGCTGTTTCGATCAATTGTGCTCAACATCTCGAGTTGCCGCAGCGTCTCACCTGGGGCAAATCTCAGTATATGGTCATCAATTTGATCCCGGCGCTCCTTGGTCCTATTTGCTCCTGCTTTGGAATCTGGGACTCGAGCACCTGATTGTATAACGTTTCTCAGATGCGGTATTTCAATCAACGATTGCACCAATGGGTGCTTCTTCGCTATAATTGCTTCATCATCCGATAGCGCGATTATGAAATGTTGCCAATCAAGAGACGGGCATTCGGTTTGATCAGATTTGCCTACCACAGTGTTCGGAAGGAGGGCAAGAAGGCTCTGGAATGCTACCAGTGAGGTTCCCTCGTGAGTGATTATCCAATGTCTTTTTCGGACGGGTTCGTCATTTGTCTTTGTCGAGGTTGAAACCGGTTCCGCGTTTAGAGTGGTGTATAATGGTATTGCATCATCCCAATCGACCACTGCCAATGGACTTAGGGCACTTCCGATACTGATCAGTGTGATAGCAGTCGTGGCCTTGCCGCCACCTTGTGCAAAAACCGTCTTCAGTAGAGCTTTCGCGGACTCCGTTGCCTCAGTCGACAGGCCTTTGAAGCGCTTCAACAGGTGGCGGAGAGGACGGAGCTTGTTCGCGATTCCGCTAGCACCTTCGTAGGCATTAGAGATCTTTGTGCCAAGTTGAGGGACCTTGGCTCCTAATTCATCCAGCATGCTCATCTCAAAGTCTGTTGAAAGCTGTCCTATGTCGCCAACGAGATCACTTGCAGCTTTGGTAGCATCATCTACGATACCCAAGAAGTCCGAAATCGATGACTCACTCAAACCAGAATCTAGTACCGCTTTCGCACTCTCAGTCGCTTTGGTGATCTTACCACCAATGTCGCTTGAAGTCTTCGATAGTGATTTGAGAAATCCAAGTAGGTTGGATTTGGGTTTGTTGGACTTAGTGCCGGCACGAAGGCTGATAGATGGCCCTGAGCCAGTGGATGGTTTAATAACGCCGTCGCCCTCTATCGAATCTGGTATCTTGTATATAGAGTCGCCAATCTTGACTTCGCCGCGACCTAGGCTGATAGTTCTCATGTTGTCATCCTTATCAAGATAATCGATGTCATACGGATCTGCTGGAAGCATAAAAGTCTCAACCTGCAAGTCTGTCTCGATCTCCAAAGGCCGAGCAAGCATAGACCAGATGCTAGCGGGTGCGGCTGTAGGAGTGGGCCAAGCTGATACAACCCAGGACGGCACTGGATACATAGATGGCGGACTCGTCACCTTCGGAGGATTCAAATCATTTCCAAAGCTGCTCACTGGCGAGTCTGACCTACTGACTGCGAGAGAAGGATCTGTTCGCGTGGGATGTGGTTGCGACACGACTGATGACATCCCAGGAACCAATTCTGACGATATGGTTGTGATCTGGGAAGACTCGGTTGTCGATTTAGCCCCCGAGTTCGCAGATGCCGAATTTGCAGAGGAAGACCCAGGGACCGAAGAAGACTCAGGGATAAATGAAGATTCAGGGATTGAAGAATACCCAGAGATAAAAGAAGGTTCAGAAGCAGAGGACGGGCTGGTCGATGCCGTACGTGATGTCTGACCGTCGGACGAAGACGTGATGGTGGTTGAATATATGCCATTGCTCGACGGCGAAGTCGTAGCTTGAGTTTCAGAGTCCTCTGTTGTAAGTAATATGCTAGAGGAAGCTGGAAGCGTGCTTCTTGAGCTTGCCGATGTGGTATTTGGCCAGAAAGACTTCAGTGAAAAAGTTCTGCCGGTAGCGATTGACTCGGGTGGACCTGACTCCAGAGTTAACCACGTTCACGATACACCAGGGAACTCCAATGTGTTGAGAGCCGCTATAGTCATCTGTATGACATTGAGTCATAGCTGACCATAGGGCATTATGCTTCTGATAGTTGCTTGCTAGCGGGGAAATTGGTGTGTGCGATAGAGGATCTGGAATCAAAGAGAACTGAAGCTGTGTCGAGATAATCTGATATAGAGTGTGAAGGTTATGCAAACAGCTGTTACCTACCAGGCTGTGTGTTTGCAACTAGAGCTGAGACGGGTACTTCCCCTGAAGATGATAAGCTATCTTGGTTGAAATTCAATTCGGAGCTAGGCGCATCACTGAGACTGGGAAGGCCTTGAAATGCGTCAGCCCTGGTGTCCACGATAGCTAGGAATGTTAGAGCAGTATAAAGGAAGCTAGATATATGCATATTGCTAGAATTCATTCCATAGAGTGACCCTGAGAGAGAGCGAAGTATGCAATGAAAGCGGACGGGTGGAAAGAAGGTAAGAGAAGGTACCTATAATTTGCTTGCATCTAGCTTCATCTGGCTGAAGATATCCCTTGTCTGGCTTCGGCCTGTCGAACCTGAAACGTATACGCTTAAACTTGCTGGTAGCTCAAAGCAACTCCTGTTCAGACATGATGTAGCTAGGACCCTTATTGAATCTAGATGAAGTAAGTGCCAGGGGGAAGATATGGCCTTATTCATCACAGAGTACCTCGCCTTCTTACGCCACAGGTGCTCACAGAGACATCCTTTACATGACCCACAACAACGAGGCGTACATGGCCAGTGGGCTGACGAACCAGGTATCTGGGGGAGCGACCGCCTTCTTCTGTGACATGTCACACGGTTGGAGGATCTCTCGGACGATTGGATTGGATGATACGCACTCAGCCAAGGCACAGTCCGCGACCATTTTTGCAGTAAAGTGATCTGAAGACGAATACATCTGATGCTGTCGAGTTGATATACCCCTGTAACTCGGGCCGGCCTCTGCCGGCGTATCCATGTTCCGCAAAAGAGTGCTTAGGTAACCACGCACGGACTTCCATCCAATCCATTAGGGCGATGCTGGCCTGTATGTTGAACACATCACAAAACTTCATGAAATCACTACCGCTATCTCCCTCCAACACTCTCATATCATATGAATTAATGACTATCAACGCTTGATTTTTCCAGACCCTGGTATCACTTATCGTTCTTCACATCGCTGAGAGGGCTAAATGAACCATTTGTCTCTACGTCGGACTGCAGGGAAATAAGGACGACAAAGTCCTTGCCTTCCTTCTTCTCGGTAACAGCTATTCACTAAACACCCATAAAGGCTCTTATTTCGCCAGCAAAGCTTCTAGCATATGTATCAGGCTTCGAGCGAATTAACATTTGAACGCATACAAGGCAGAGCACAAATAAGGAACCATGTACTTGCGGTCAGGTGCTATCAAGAGAAGAACTCGCTTCAGCAGAACATCTCACCGCTGTAATGAAGTACTATTAGACATGAATAGACGCTTCCCAGGAAATCCACCAGAAGTGAAACGCCATGGCTTTCCTAATACAGCATCATAGACTACCCAGTTTCAACTTTTTGCAGACGTCAAGGTAGCATCCATTCTTAGCACACTGCCACACTGATAATCAGATTTGCTCTCGGATCAAGTTTCAACTTTGCTTTGCCACGGCGACTTACCGTCGCTTCGTTAACACAAGCCTGCTCTACGCATTCACCGCATGGTTTCCCGGCACACTGATCCTGATATTCGTTAGGGCCAGATTGAATGAATGATGTAAAACCTGTAACTCACTTCCCTACAGCGTTGCACCGTTTTGTCGCACTTGGAGCAGGGATTGGTGAAGGTAGGAATCTCAGTAGGGTCTACGCCGAAGAAGGAGGTGATTCGTGCGGGAGGAGGTCCGAAGGTCATGGGTGGCGGCGGAGGCGGAACCGCAGTGGCCAGGGTAGAGATCAGGAAGATGAAAGTTAGAGTAAGCTGCATGTCGACTGTTGGACGAATGGCTGATGAGTATAAATGTTTGTTATGGATCTCTCGAGGCTTTGGGGCAGATGCTGGATACACAATGATTTTGATCGAATGACGAGTTAACTGTATTGGATGTGAAACTGGACGGGATTTATGTTGTGATGAGCGTAGATCGAGGTGTGCGCATGAGTGGCGCCTGCTCATTGCGCAGATTGGGCGTTTCTTTCTGTCATGTTGGGAGAGAAGTAACGAACGGACGGAGATGAGCGCACGAAAACTTCCGTTCTAGAGTTTTATTTATTTGCTGCAACTTTGGCCTGATTGGGATGTCTCTTGATACTCAAAATGAATGTGTCGCTTTCAGCGCTGCCAAACCTCTCATCATTGCGCATATACTCCATCATTATACTTTTTTTGGAACGTAACGCTCCTTTCTAAACACACGAGCGAGGCGATATGTGTGCACAAGTCGTTATGTGAAACATTTTAAGATCTTTCATTCCAAAGTGCACTCAAAGCGCCATTTCTCAACTAATCGCAATGCTTCCTGGGGTCTGTCGTATGGGACCTATATTATAATTAGCACTCCTGGGCTGATGAAATGACGAGAACATACCATATTTCCAGCACTATCAACCGCAGCGAAAGTAAATGTTGTCTTCTCTTTGCGGTTACCTATCTGAACCTTTGCCTGCTTGAACCACCCGAGTCCCACGCCATAAAGCATGAGCGACCTACGATGATGCGCCATAAACGAAGCCTGACCCTTCCATTTCATATTGCTTGCCCATTACTGTTACTAGCGGTGTTGCATGCAAGATTGTAGTTACCTTGTTACAGCAGTACGCCAACGCCGTTCTCCAGAAGATAGGTGACTTGTGGCTGGGTACTAATACCATAATCGTTTGTCATAGCAAACGCGTGTTCAACCTCCATTGAATAGAAGGTGTATTTTTCAACTTGATGAGGAATCTCTAACGCTTTCCATTCCAACGGTAAGTTGTGATATAAGAACGATTACGATGGCCCCCGGAATGTCCAGACTTTCCATCCTAATACTCAAAGACGCCGTGCCAGCATACCCCGTAGGCAGCCTGGCATATAGCCCAGTCTGGAGTGTCGTAACATGCACGAGCAACCTTCATACATCTTGGCAGGTTGGCAGCCATGATATCACATTGAGTTTCGTTGAAGACAGGCTTGTCAAAACCCTTTGGAATAGTACACAATGTCTCCCAGTACCCAAAAGCATTATCAAGTACCGGTACCAAGCCGTTTCCAATCAAGGTTGACTTCAGATTAACCTGGGGACGCTTGGGGTAGAGATTGTTCTGGGAAACTATTCGTGCTCCTAGCGTAGGGAGATAATAACCGGCATAACTCTCCCCGGTGAGACGGAAGGACGCTTCCGAAAGATCAGGGCAGACTTGGGTTACGAAAACCTGCAGGGAATGATGCATATCTTCCGCGGCTGTAAACTATGTCGCGGGCCAGGCATCCGTCATCATCATTACGACTGCTTCAGGAATGACTTCAAAAATATCTTGATGGTGCATATGCAACAGGCCGCTGCTTGTTGGGTGTAACCTGATGGCAAGCTCTTGGACAGTCTCGGCAGCCAATTGCGGGTCTTGTTATAGATTTGGAACACACGTTGAGCGACGAGCTTCGCGGGGAGATACCACTTCGTGGTCAATGTTCAATTCAATCGTTGAAGGAGGACCTGTTCATACCAATTGCGTGGGACACACACCACCCGTGGCAGGCAAGTCAACGCGCGTTGGTCGAAAGAATCAAGGAGTGAAGCGTAACCTGATCAAATATATAGATTGCTCTACCTAGATGCGGTGCTGTGTCAACGCCCCAAAATGCCAAAATTATTAGGTACTGTTATACACTACCGTCATTCAGTCATTCCACTCCTCATCCAGCGAATCTATAAGCCGATTTTCATCCTCCGAGTGCCCGCGCGGCCGACCGCCATTGAGGCTGACTCTGCTGTAGCCTCTCCTGCTGGGCATGAAGCGTGCACATGAAGATGTGAGTATGATGAACATGTCCTATGGAAAGGTTAGATCAAGACATGCGCGATGATGCTACGCGCGAGGACAAGGCTTGAGTAGGAAGAAGGGAAGAAGAAAGTGTCGAGAGAGGTATACAGTGAGCCCATGAAGCAACTGGAGTATGCTTACGCGTATGAAGCTGCCAATACCAGCCCAGAGAGCGTAATTGGGGAGCTGGCGCCATCCGCGCTGGTGCATGACGTTGCGTTGGTAGACGCAGCCTCCCACAACGTAGGCTGCTATAGCGATAAATAGGCTGCAAAGGGTCAATCATTATATAGAGCGATATTAGATTGAGAGGACGAACATAAGGCTGAATACGCCAGCTGGTCCGACCGTTTGGAACTCCTTTTCAATGCCAGCGCAAGCGGCAGAAGATCTTGCCTCGAAGAAGTACGCGCATTCATCCTCACTGGCAGCGACGAACGAGATTGAGGCATCGGAATTGAGCGCATCGTTCTCGCAGAGCAGGGATATTATGGTCTGCTTCCTCCGCTTGCCATCCTTGGGCTTTTGCGGTGCATCGTCATCGTTGTCATCGACGTCGTCATCTCCTTTCAGCGCACGGTCGGCTAATAAGCCCTCTGCTTTTTTCGATTTGCTCGAGACACACGGTGACCCATCGGTGTAGTTCAGAACGAGCTTCTTTCCCCTAAAGACTGGCTCGGCATTCTGCATACCCATACTGTACGTCTTCCCTCCCTTCTCGTAAAACGCGCTTATGTTTCTCCACATGTCCTTCTCCACGCCCACAACATTTTCCAGCTTTTCTACTACCGGTCCACAGAAGTTGATTGTGAAATTGTAGCCGATGTCGTACCCGTTGGAGGACCAACTGGTCGTGCGCTCATCTTTCGACTTCTTCTTTCCATCTTCAGGAGGTTTAACCCATATCGGATTCAGGTCGAAGAAGCGGTTGTGATTTGCCGATCGCGCTGTGCATGGTCTCACTGGCTTTGACTTTTTCGTATCGTCTGCTGCGCATGCGACATTAGGGAATAGGAAAGGCGTGAGAAGAATTGATGCTTGCAGTAAGCTTGCAGCGCATCCGGAAACCGAGACTGAGAAGTGCATGACCGTCGGTGAAAGCGCAACGCAAAAGGTACTTGAGATAGTATATTAGACGAGATATATATATCCCAGCGCAAAGCAACGAGACAGTGCTAGAAGAGATGTGATGTAATAGGAGTGAGACTGTTGTAGAACTTTCAGCAAGACCGCACGAACCCGCATGAATCCGTCATGCTCTAAACACCTGTCACTCTTGGCACGCGCATTACGCAAGCTGTAGTGAACGTCTCCTACACACCTTAGTTAGAGCTACATAAAATCCTTCCACTTAGTGCTGATACTAATGTATCAAATTGTGGAAGTATTTCCCACTAGTGCTACTTTTGCTACTTTGCTAGATGCCTTGCGTCCGAAGCATCGACTTTACGAGGAAACATATAGCTTATAATAATAATAATCCATTAATTAAGTCATTTTTAAACTGTTGTTCATTCTTCTAGTACTACTATTCTCTACTTCATATGGCAGGAGAACCTATAACTAGTACTGCTTTAAAATACTATGTGAGGATGGATATTCGTTCGGGTTCGTTAAATAGACCACAATCTGACACACCGCGTTGTCTTCCCTAGACTACATTGGAAAACTCCGTCTTGGCTGTCATGGTATGATACAGTATACCGGAAATACTGATTATCTATGATTATTGGTACTAAGTCTTATAGCTATTTAAGTAGATGTCCTTGTAGGGTCTCTCGAGGTAACAGTCGCTAGATTGCCAAGTGGTGTTGAAAGTGATGCCAAGCTAGATCACTTAAGGATTCCTCTCCCTTATAAACGACAGAAGCTTACTTGGAGGGTAAGCACGACCATATGTGACCCGTGGACTGATTAGGGTTCTCACAGGAGAATAGGATGACGGTAACCGAATTCATGATCTGAGCCAAACCTACTCAACGCGTCAAGAGACCGCAGTTGGCGCCATGCTCGTCATGGAGTACAGACACCGACAAGTATACAGCTAAGGTGGAGACGTTCTTGTCTGCAACTTGTCGATCATACAAGTCCTGCATACCATTTGAAGCACGGGCTGAGAGACCGGAGATATGTGCAACGAGGCAGGATAGACAGGATAGATAGAACGTTCCCACATGCCACAAACTGTTGATATATATGTTCAGTTGCAGGGAAGAAGCAACAAAAAACGTCCCTTTAAGCCCTGTCATTGGTCGATATTCTTACACAGTGGCCTTCGGGTGCCCATCCAGTGGAAGTGGGGTGGGGTCATCGGGCTGGGCTGCATTACCTAGCAACACCACGACTCTCGCCCGCATCATGGGATTCCAGGGCTTGCGTGACCTTGCCATAGCACTCAATCCGCTAATATCTCTACACCTGTACACCTCTGCAGGCGCCGACATATCCTCAGACGTTCGTTGCGGCATCTTTCTCTTCTTACCTCTTCCTACTATATACCTATCATATTGTCCCTACCTATTCTCCGGTTCCACGTCTCGTGCATCAACCTTGCCCCTGGCGCTTCGGTCGCCGGCTCTTCTTCCATCGCTACTGCACGACTGTCCACTGCTATCTCGAGCGCATCTCCCTGAGCCTGCAAGGTCCTGCTCTACACAAGGCCTCCTATTCACTCGCCGAACTACATCGAATCGCTCTTGACCATCCGGCCATCTCAAACCTGTAGCTGCTTTCGATCCCGTGCCCTTCACTGTTGTTGTTTTTACCTCTAGCCCCCGCTGACGACATGCGAAAACAAACAAACCGCTAGAAACTCACCATCATTCACGCTTTCACAAGACCAGAGCTACGGGCGAACAAGAGAAGACGTAATATATTCAGGTCCTTGACATTGCGCGACTATCGCGCCGATACCGTACGACATCAATTTCCACAGCCTCGCTGTCCCGCAACCCTCTACCACTGCGATCCACGCGTTACCGGATACTCATCCGACTTGTACAGTTCAAGAGATTTTGCACTGTCGACTTTCCTCATAAAACTTCAAGATGCTAAGATCAAGACGTCCACACCGCTCTTCTAGCGACTCAAACTCGTCCTCCACTTCAACCTCCCCCGAACGTGGCATTGACGACGACAATGACTCCTTCACGCTGCAAGCGAATGACTCAACATCATCTGTCGCACTTTCGATATCACAAGATTTGAGCGATCTAGAAATGGAGCGTCAGATGGCTGAACGATACAGATTGTCACCAGTGTCGCGCCTACCTGCTGAACTCATGATCGCCATCTTCTCCAAGCTGGCTTCTGCTGGGGACCTGAAATCATGCATGCTGGTTTCAAAGGACTGGGCTAGGAATAGTGTCGCCTTGCTTTGGCACAGACCTCAGACGAACAAATGGCAAAGTGTCAACACTGTCGCCAAATCTGTCAATACTACAAACAGTTACTTCGACTATGCCAATCTAATACGTAGACTGAACCTGTCGACTCTCGCTCACGAAGTTACCGACGGAACTCTTTGGCCTCTCTCGTCTTGCAAAAGGATCGAACGACTGACGCTAACACAATGTTCTTCGGTCACGGACCAAAGTCTTGTCAGAATGATTGATGGTAACAGGAGCTTGCTAGCTCTTGACGTGACTGGCCTTTACCAGATAACAGACCGGACCATGTCGACAGTCGCAGCAAATTGTATACGGCTTCAAGGGCTGAACGTCACAAATTGCAAGAAGCTCACGGACGCTTCTTTGCAGGAAGTCGCGCGGAACTGTCGCCATGTGAAGAGACTGAAATTTAACGGATGCTCCCAGCTTACAGACAAATCTATCCTGACATTTGCCGAAAATTGTCACCAGATATTAGAGATCGACTTGCATGGCTGCAACCTTCTTGAGGACGATTCGGTTACAGCGCTCATTACAGAAGGACCACACCTACGCGAACTGCGACTGGCTCACTGCTCACGCATCACCGACCTAGCATTTTTGAGGCTTCCTATCGAGGCGACTTACGAAAGCCTCCGTATACTAGATCTTACCGACTGTGGCGAACTTCAGGATGCTGGTGTTGCGCGAATCATTGCTGCAGCCCCACGTCTTCGTAATCTGGTCGTCAACAAGTGTCGACATCTCACAGACAGAGCCATCAACTCCATCATCAAACTTGGGAAGAACCTTCACTACATTCACTTGGGTCACTGCGCGAGGATCACTGACGCAGGCGTTCAACAGCTAGTAAAGCATTGCAATCGAATTCGTTACATAGACTTTGCTTGCTGTACCAACTTGACCGATAACAGCGTTCAGAGACTGGCGGACTTACCAAAACTGAAGCGTATCGGTCTCGTAAAGTGCCATAACATCACAGATCGGAGTCTGCAGGCTCTAGCAATGAGGTCGAGGGAGTCCCAGAGGGCTGTTGTCGGCCCCAGCTCCTTAGAACGTGTGCACTTGAGCTATTGTCTGAACCTTACGTTAGCTGTGAGTTGGTTCAATGATGTGCCCGGGATTATTGCTAAAAGATCTATCTAGGGTATCATGTCTCTCCTTAACAGCTGTCCGCGATTGACCCATCTTTCGCTCACCGGCGTACAAGCTTTCCTTCGTGAGGATCTCATTGTATTCTGCCGGGAAGCCCCTCCTGAATTCAACGATCATCAGCGAGACGTATTTTGTGTATTCTCCGGACATGGCGTTGCCCGCTTGCGCAACTATCTCAATGCGGATATCAACATCCCGGGCACAGGCTTTGATACTGATGGGACGATGTACGACGATAATATTGACGACGGGGAGGATGACGGCATAGGTGATGATGAAGACGGTGATACGAGCGGCATAGCTCATGTCGCACCTCCGAATCCGTCAGGTTTGGGCTTCGTTGGTATGGGGCTTGACCTGAACGCACCGCCAGATATCGTTGTGAACATTGGCGGAACTCCGAGTCCCCCATCCGCAGACTCAAACACGCCCAACGATCAGCAACAAACGCCTACGCAACCAGTCCAAAATATAGTATGGCATCCAGCACCGCCGCCACCCACTGGATCCTGGAATGGTATGGGCTTGAACACCTTTAATAGCAGCGGGAGTTCTGCGGGTCCTGCTGCGATCGTACAAGGAGCATCGAGCGCACCACCACCACACCCGGCCCAGCAAGTCATCGATATGATGGGAGCAGTCGATATGCACGATGAGGAGATGGACGATGCAGGATCTCCACGCCTATGAGACTAGGTACGCTCGCCCTCTTGGCTAGGCAAGTCCGAAGCCTTCGACACGCAATGAGAGGCACAAACTTCGCCGGTAACGTCAGCACGAACTTGGTCATGTACAAGTCATGTTCTTATATTGTGAGCAATGCAGGCAGTGACCTAAACAGGGAGACAGAGAGGGAAAAATGCAGCAAGACACGAGACATACACTACGATGGAATGGCGATGATACCCAGCGGCAGACCTTGCAAGGATGAAGATCAACGGCCTGTTTTACTCTACGTATGTGCTACATTTTTTTTGAGGCGGGGAAGGGAAAAGGGTTGGGGAAAGAAGGAGAAGTGGAGACGGGGGGAATCCTTATATTATAACCGCACCCTATTGGGGCTGTCCGCAGGCTCGGCTGTATGTTGGATGTATTCACAGGTTTTCTTCTCGCACTTTATTAAGGAAAAACAACAGTCCTAATACCACGTCGTTTTGTTATTCGTCTTATCAATGATTACCCGCATGTTTCTTTAGCTACTGTTACGGCCAGATTTAGCCGTAGTCTGAACCGACGTCATCATCATCATCGTCATCGTCATCGGATGTATGCTACTAGGTATACCATACTATCCTCTCCTGAGGTAAGCTTCGGATGGTATAGTTCGCTTGGTATGTAGTATGTACTACTACTTGATGGAAGCGAGCGAGCGGCTTAGTTAACTAATTAGGTAGGGCACACACCAACACCCAAGAGCCCTGCCTGCTGGAGCGGAACGCTTGTGCAGCCAAGACGGATGGTGGAGGATCCATCCCATAGCCTGGATAGGGGGCCAAGACCACACAAACTTGGAAAAACAACGGGCGATGAAATGGGTGGCGCAGCATGTGCACATGTGGGGCGGGATGATGTAGTAGTACTACTGTATGGGATGCTTTGAGGTGTAGCCAAAGGTTGTCGATAGTTCACATCAAGGAGGCTGTCAGATTGTAAGAGGTTTTGAGAATTGTGTGAATCATGGGATTCAAAAGAATAGACAAGATGCTATTTTCAGAAATAATCATGTACAGTGCAGGTCGATACCGCAGCCTTACCCCAGAGACATAAACAGTCGTGACCGTGCGAACGATAATGGCATCAAGACAAAAGATCATTCCTTGTTGCACTTGTATGCAACGCTCCAAACGCCTGTGAGTATCATCAAGGCCCAAAAAATCTCATATATAGACAGACCATTGCAGATCCGCATTCAACTCCTCACTCCACATCACCTATGCAGCCATGCCAAGAGAGAAACGACGCGAACAAGATGCTTATTCGCGGCCTTCTTGGACGGCCTTGAGTACTGGATACAGGCTTTGCTCATCACTGGGCTCAGGCTTCGAACCAGTAGGAGTTCTCGACCCATCGTCCTCGCTGTCGTCGAACTCGCCAGCCTCAAGACGTTGCTTGATATAGCTGCGTATCTTCTCGATGGTGCGAATGTTCTCGACCCACAACTCTTGTTGTTGGTCAGACATGTTGTCATTCGAGCCAGCGCTTTGAGCGCTTGGACTACGCAGGCTAGGATCGAGAGGGACTGAAGAAGACGAGATGTTGAGCTTGTTGACTTCGTGTCGCAAGCCATCACGGTCGCCAGTAATTGAGCTACGACGAGAAGTCTTCGTCGAGCCCGAATCGGAAGACGTGTCCATTGCGTCACTAGGTTGACTATCGTGAGCTGGAGCAGCTTTTTGCAGGAGACCACCAGAGTAGCGACGTGCGCCGTCTGCTCTGAAGGCACCGCCAAGGCCACTTGGTGGCGCGCTGCTGGTGGCAGGATACGCGTTTGACATGTCTGACATGGCACTAACGGATGGGAGAGTTGGGTACATGCTTCCCATGTTTTGACGAGTAGTTGGGGAAATGGTGTGGGAAGAGTGGACGGAGCTGGGCGAGTGGGAGTTGTATGAAAGTACACTCGAGGCTGGAGTTAGAGCTGGAGTCTCCGTAGCAGGCGCGCTCGAGTGCTGGTGCGATGAAGCAGGTTGAGAGACATGTACTTGCGTTGGTGGGGAGTTGCTCGAGCGGTAGTTGAGACCAGAGTGATACTGGTGAATACCGGGTTGAGCGACACCAGCGGCTGCCAAATGGTTAGGATTTTCGTAAACAGTGGATTGAAGTTGGTCAAGGAATGAATCGACGCCAAGCAGATCAGATTTGGTGCGAAGAGCTGGGAGTGGCAAAGAGTAGTGGTGGCCAGATTGATGGTGACCAGCTGAAGCCACCATAGTACCGGCGCCCTGGTACTCGTTATAGTTGCCATGGACAGGGAGAGGAGCACTAGACAGACCAGCCAGTCTTTGGCCGACGTCATAGTAGGTGGATGGGTCGATCTGACGACGCTTTACGTCGCCAAAAAATTCGTTGAGAGCATCGTATGCGGCACGCTTTCGAACCTCGTAATCGTTTGTCATGCTGTTTGCAGCAGGATTGACGGCGTAGTACACTGGACCATACGCGGAATTTGGTGGAGCGCTGCCGTAGAAAGCAGCGGCATTGGGTTGGGAGTGGTGGGAATAACCAGTCTGACCTAGAGCGCCATCGGGATAGTATCCGCTCGCTGTGGCGGCAAGAGCCCGCAAGTCAGCGCCGACTATTCAGGAAAGGTCAGAAAAGGAATGAAAAGACGAGGAGCAAGACGACAGGACGGAGAGATTGAAGAGAAGTGAAAAGATGTTGTAGCAGTAAGTAGATGTAACGTACCCTTACCAGGACCGGAAGCATAGCCAGGGCCGTGCTGGGCGCGGTTTGGCTCAGGAGACCGGAGCAAGACTGAGTCGTCAGCGTGGGTCTTGACGTGCTTCTTCAGATCCTGAGGACGCTTGAAGGCCTTGCCACAGAATTCACACTTGTGAGGCTTCAGTGGTACATGCACACGGATGTGCGAGGTGATGTGATCACGCTTCACCGTGGTGGTACGACAGTTGCCCCACTGGCAAGTCAGATTCAAGTTATTGGTGCTCTTGCGGCCGACATGACGTTCGCAGACGTGGTCCTGTTTGCATGTTAGCAATGCTTCACAACATGGCTTGTGTCAGGTGACGAATGGAATGCTTACGTAAAGCTGTTCGGGTGAGTTGCAGCGCTCGCCGCAGTTGGCCCATTGACAGGTGAGAGAATCGCTGGCGACATTTGCTTGAGCTGTCGCAGGCGCAGCATTTGCAGAGGCTGGAGTAGCAACCACACCGCCGTCAGAGACAGGTGCAGGCACTGCAGGAGTCTGCTCTGGCGCTGAAGCAGACATGTCAGTGAGCCTGGATAGGGTATTGATGGTCGTGATGGCGACGCTTGGCGTCAACGAAAGGCAGACTGGAGGCTACGAGGGCTATCGCAGACAACCCGACGATGGAAGTTGAGGAACAAGACTACAAAAAGATTGAAGAAGAATTTCCCTGGAGTAGAGAAGTAGTAGATGGGCGGAGAGCGAAGTAGAAAAAGTCTTGGTATACTGGGGAAAGTCTTGAGGAAGACAAGAAAAAGAGAAGCACGGGAGGGAGGGAGGGAAGGCTGGGCTTTGTATGTGAGAAGGGGGAAAGGACGAGCGGGACCAGGGCGGGGAGTCTTGTGCGAATCTGGGCACCTGGGCAGCGCGCGGGAAGAAGGAGAAATTGCAGGGCGTCGGGCGGCCAGGGAGTCAGCAAGTCAGCAAGTGACAGTAGCGAAAACGGGCGCTGCCTACCCCCGATTCTGGCGCTGCAACTGGCTGCAACCGGCCTGCAACTGGCTGTCAACTTGGGGGATGGTCACTCTGGCTGTGACTGGCTAGAAACTGCAAAAACTCTGCCGCCGCCGCCGACTCTTTTTTCCCCGGTAGTGTCTCCAGCCTGGTCCCTCGCAGCCGCTTGGCCTCTACTGTCTTGGCAACACTCGGCGCCTTTGCCTGCTTAGGTTCGGTCTCGCTCAGCCACCACAGCTTCAATGCTTGCTTGCTGTACTAATTACTATATGTCGTATGTACAGTGTACTATTATCATCTATCATATCCAGCCATGTAGTAGCAGTATATACGGTTGTATTTTCCATCAGTTCATCATCTGCTGCCTCGTACACCCACACCCACATCCGGCGTTCCGTCTGACTGCATAACTTATTGTTAGGAACAAACACCAACACTGCCCGGATCATCACGTCGTCTCACGCTTCCGTCTCGCTTTCGCTTTCAACACAAATACACGCCTCCACTCCCCTACACGCGCATTGTTTCGGCTCCGTCAATCCTATCACTAATATATCTGCGGCTTTTGCTCGTCGTCAACAGACCGTCCGGCTTTCAACAAACATGTGCCGGCCTCTCTGTGTCCTGTCCGGTTCCTACGTCCCACGCTCGACAAGAAAGCAGCCAGGAACATAATGACGCGCCATATTGCACATCCAATCCCATGCAGCCTTCATCTTCCTTCTCTTGCCACGAGCGTTGAGTAGGCTGCGCGTCTGCGCGATTGAGAGATGCTAAGAGGTTTGGCTGATGTCTTGGCTTTCCTGCTTGCAAGGTTGGCCGCTTGGCTTCTCGGTCAGAGTCTCGGCTTCGGTCCCTATCTAGGCAGCTCGCCCAGCTGGCTCTTCCGCGCTTGTTGCCCAGAAATCCCTCGAATTCCAAGATTCCAAGCCTTTCCCCCCCCCAAAAGGCCCAAGATTTGCCCGCCCACGCCCAGTTCTTACCTCCGCGCAATATCTGGCGCGGAATTTCTTGTCCGCAATTATGGAGGCGATGCTGCCTCGTCGTCGTCAGCTTTCTCTTGGTATTCCTGCGTGTCCTCGCTCCACTACTGACGGGAAACATGCTGACCGTCTATCGTCATCCCGTTCAGCCACCTTTGCCAGCGTCCACACAATGCGACCTGAATCAGATGATCCACCTCGTGTACAGAGGTTTGAATCGCCTCGCCTGAACCAAATGGGCTACTCGGGTTCTGCTAGGCCGGTTCGCGGCTGATCTGGACTTCTCCCCCAACTTGGAATAACCCCTCATCTTGATGAAGGAGAGCTCTGAGCTTCAACTCGAGTACGAACACGAGAATCTCATGAGACGCAGTAGATAGAACCTAGTCCATCGTCATAAAACCAAGTGCAGAGTCAAAAGTTACACAAGCAAGCACTAATGATCATATTCTCGTCGCGAAACGACCCTGGCCCGGTCTACATGCCAAACTGGAGTGGAGGTGCCCACTGCCAGCTCGAACCTTAACTGCCCCACTCCACATCGCCATCTCCCGAAACATCCATACACTCTCCACCTGTCAGCACTCTTAAGCCCCATCGAGCAATCAGAACCCTATCCTCAACAGTCTCCACACCCAGCACACACCGGCCCTCCTCCTGTCGACCATGCAACAGTCTTGAACTCCCAGACCCTCCACAATCACCATCATCCACACTCCACACAACCAAATCCACAACCCACCACAAACAACCATGCCCTACGGCCGCGGCGGCGCAGGCAACTTCCAACAAGCCAAAGAAGACAAAAAGAAAGCCGCTGTAGTACGCGCCTACCTCCCCATCCCCATCCATATCCTCCCCTTTTTCTCTCATTCTCTCTTCCCCCCAAACTAACACGGCTCAAGGACACCGAATCCCAATCCCAACCCCACCAGTCTCCCTCCTCTCCATCATCCTCCACCTCCACCTCCACACCCCAATACGCCCACTCCGGCCGCGGCGGCGCCGGGAACTGGTTCTCGCCCGCAGAGCTGGAGAGGAACGGCACCTTCACATCCACATCCACATTTACATCTACAACCCCATTCGCATCCGCATCCACATCCACTGCGCCCTCTTCCTCCTCCTCCTCCTCATCCAATCCCTCACACTCACACCTCGCAAGCGCCGAATCCACCCTCCCATCTGCAAGCATGGCCGCCGCCGCACTATCCGGCATTACATCAGCCCAAACACGCCACAACGATGCAGAAAGAAGACGTGACGATGCTGTAGTAGTGCCAAGGGGGAAAATGGGCCGTGGCGGGGCAGGGAATATGGTTTGGGCGAGTGAGAGTGCGGAGGAGAGGGTGTGGAGAGAAAGGGAGGAGAGGGCGAGGGAAGAGGAGGTTAGTAGGAGGGTGCTTGTAGATGTGGAGATGGGGTTGGCGAGGCCTGGGGGTGTGTGGACGGGCGTAGGGAAGGTGAGGGAAAAGGGGGAGGTGGAGTGGTGATTGGGTGGAGCTGCTTTGGAGTTGGGAGGACGATGAGGGTGTTTTAGGTTGTGTTATTCTTCGAGGGGTGTGTTTTTTGGTTGTCGATGTCCCCGTGGGACTTATGCGACACATATCCAGATATCACTTGACCAATTGGAACGAGTTGGCAGTGAAGTTTTGGTTATTTTTTATGCCTGCCGTATATGCAATGCACTGCGATACACAGCCCTTCCCACGTCCGTCCCATACGATCCTAAATGCGGATCTAGGCATCATCATATATACAAGTCGAACAGAGAAACCCGGATCGCAGCACGCTTTAGGGTCGAGACGGTCTCAAGCAACGCTTACTGCTCGGTCTGGAAGTAGTTGAGGAGGATGGTACGCTCCTGGGACTCCTCACCCCAGTCCTTGACAACGACGCAAGAGCAGTTGACGACCTTACGCGGGTTACCCTCACGGTCGATCTGGCCTATTCCCCAACAAATTAGCCCCCGTGTCCAAAACACAGCCATGTCTCCCATCTGATACTTACAAAGCCCAGCCCACTCGCCCAGCTGCTTGCCATCGGGCACCTTGATCAGCGGGATCTTGTGCTCGCTGCACAGCGCAACGACCAGCTTCTTGTATGCCTCTTCCTCACAGGCCTCGTTGAGCACACACATGTGCGCTTGGCGACGGTCGAGAGCCTTGGAAGCCTCACGCAGGCCACGTGCGAGTCCGTCGTGGATCAGCGCCAGCTTGAGCACGCCCTTGAGTGCGTCCAGGACGGACATTTGGCCGGAGCCACCGGTCGCCTCGGCGGAGACCTCGACTTCGGGGACGGGTGAGCCTTCTCCTTCCGACTGTAAATGGGAAATGATAGGTTAGCATTGGACTTGGAAAATGACAGTGTGGAGGGCGATGAGAGGATTGAGGCGGGGGAAAACAGCGCTTTTCGGCGAGTGCATTTAAGGATCATGGCAATAATGTTATGCATGAGTGGATGCATACCATGATGACTTAATTGATTTTATATGTCGAACGTCCTAGAAGAGCTGAGTAGGGTGTTGAATAGATGTGCTTGTGTTGCAGTAGTGGGCATGTAAAAGTTCGAGATTCGAGATTCTGGGAATTCCGCGATGTGTGCCGCTTGCCGAGACTTGGCGTTTCGACTCCACGTGACCGTGGCTACATTTAAACTCCACTGCACGGAGGAAGGTGACTTACTTGACCGATCAGTGCTCTGAACTAGTTGTCTACTGTTCAGATCTTGATGTGACCAGCGAATAAAACGCAATAGCTCTTAATGACCTACACACAAAGAGCATTCAAATCTCTAGGAAATGAAACAGGTCAAGCATGATTTAATGGAGTACATTTGTATTTCTCCATGTTTCTACTATATTAATACCAGGCTATGTCCTCGACACTCCTTCGTTAGTGTACAGCATATAGAGAAACCCGAGCTTAGAACAGAGCCCTATTGAAATGGGTTGTCTCGTACATCGCTACCTCATGAGAAGAACATATAGCTTCTACATGCCGAAGAGAAGCTCGGGAAACTGTTGATACCGACTTATCGACCCCAAATTGTGTACTAAAAACAAGACAAGCGTTGAACGCTCGAATCATGATGGGATTGTTTTGGTGTATGTCCGTAGTCGAGGAAGAGTGAACAAATGAAACTATGGCCGCCTTTGTACATAGTGTGTATGACGCGCTCGCTACTGGTTTGAGAACGAAAGGGTATAAGAAAGTGAAATCTTGAACGCACAGCTCTGTCAAATAAAGAGCTACATAATAATACAGCAACAGCCCTTCTTTTGTGGTTTTTCATCTTCACCGGGGTCTTCCATTCTGATCGAATCGACAGGTCGGGGATTTGGTGTTGGCGTGGATCGGGCGGGTGTCTGTGGACTGGAGATAGTGGGTATAGTCTTGTAGCCTCCCCCAGGACGTATAGATTCCGGTTTCGGGCTTGCAGGTTGTATGATTGGCCATTGTTGACCCTCCTCTTGCTTCTTCTCTTCCTCTGGGGGTGTCCTCGTAGCTGGCCTGTTGAACTCCTCCGTATTGAGCAGTCCGAAATTGGTGTCATAAATTGAACCGGTCTTGCCCTCTTGTTCCCACTGCTGTTGTGCCATTCTTCTAGCATGGGTGGGGATGATTTGCTGGTCCGGAGGTAGACTTGGGTCAGGTTTGTACATCGTGGCAATCCAGGGCGCTTCACCTTCGGGTCGATTCGGTCTGTGGCCGGTTTGTGGTCGCTGTAGACCCTCCGAGGTGCCAGGCCGTTTCGTATTTGATGAACTTTGCCGTGGTTTTGTTCCGGAAGTGGTACGGTCTTTCTTCTTGCCAGTTGCATTGATCTTAGTCGGGGACTTGGCTTTCGAAGGCGACGTTTGAGGTGGACTAGGAGTAGCTTGCTTGAACGAAGGATTTTGAGGAGTCTCAGCCTCATCGAGCAGAACTTCGCTACCAACACTACCACTCCGGCCGTTTCGGTTGAACACGATCGCCGGTTCAAGGATGGACCGGTTTGCTGCTGAGCTGCCTTGTCTACTTCTAGTCAAAGGCGAGTCTCTCTCTACTACGATGTTAGGGACGGGAATGGGGCTATCCATGGCAAGTGGTAGTCTGGAACCTCCAGGCCGGGACCCTGATCTTGCACGTTCTCGGTCAGCCGCAATTTCTGCCGGTGTCCTCAGGTCCCATGCTGCAGGGTCGTCATGCTCTGGTTCCGTTTCCAATATCTCCTCCTCTTGCCGCAAGGGCTGAATTGGTGTCGGCGCTTTGTACCTTTGACTCTCCTTTAGATCCTTGCTAGAATACCGACTATGTAATGTATTTGCGGGAGGTAGCGATTCTTCAATGTTATACTCTTCTGTTGTTCTACGATTTCGACTTTGACTGCGTTCCCTACGTTCAGTTGATTGTCCTCGAGAGCGCGCGCGAGATTGTGTACGAGAGTCTGATCTGCTCATTTGTCGAGGTACTCTGAATCCTGCCTCCTCCAATTCCTTGCTCTCTATCTGCGCAAGCTTGTCCCTGTGGATCCATTTCGAGTCTTCCGTTGGCTTTATTGTGCCATGAGCACCGTTAGTGGTCAACTTTCGCTTCTCTCCCATTGCACTGTGTGTACCATTACGGGTGTGGCCTGATTCCTTGAAGAGGTCGCTCAAGCCGTCGGGTCCGTTCGCATTAACGCTCAGATCGCTCTGTTTTCTGGAGAGCTGGTTGGCTCGCACTTGTCGAAAATGCCCTGATTCCTGTCGTGTAAGAGACTTCCCGGAGTTTTGAGATTCTGTAGTATTCTTTCTGCGTTGTGCTGGTCGTATTAGATTGCTGTTCGCGGAACCTCTTTGGGGGTTGATAGCGGTATGTTGCGTTTCTTCAAAAGATTGTTCCTGCATGGCACTATCGAGTTAGTTATGTTGTTAAATGGGACAAGTACAAATGATACCAATCAGCCTCCATCATAGACACCGTTTACGAATATGAAAGCCGCGTGTTACATACCTCTCCAGTAAGAGGGACAGAGAAGTTCCAGGCTCCTCGGCCCCCTTCTGGGCTGCACGGAGGACTTGTGGCTGCGAAGGTTGCGGACGGGATGGTGGCCATGTACTTAATAGTTATATTATTCCAAAGATAAAAGCCGAACAGCACGTATAGAGCTTGCTAGCAGTCTAATAAGTCGAGCGATGGTGATCCGAGTAAGAGAGGGGCGCGTATAAACGTCCGAACACCCGGTTGTAGCGACGTGACACGAGGTCAATCCGTGCGGGAACAAAGAGATGGCTGACCGTTAAGGCGAGAATGCTTCACATTGAAGTTGGACAAGGAGTCATGGGTTAATAGAAATGCAAGCATATGAAAGAGCGGACGCCGACGGTGGGTGCGCGAGGCTGTGAGAGTTGAGAATTCGGATGTCTTTCGGGAGGCTGGGACTGGGGGAGGGAAGCGGCGCACGGCGTGGGTACGGTGGGCGGTAGCTTGGCTTTAGCGCGGTCTGATTGTGATTATAGAGGTCCAGAAGTTGCAAGAAGACTGTTTTGTGACGCCTAGATCTATCGGATGGTAACCACTGCTGTTAATTAGTTGTACTTTTACATAGTCCACTCGATTCCAATTGTACATGCAACCGACCTGCGTCCCGCTCATGGTACTCCAGTATACAAGGGCAGACAATTGCTCGCCTGCGAACACAGGAGAGCCAACAGAGCGGACTCCGGAGACAGGTTTTCATTGGCTGCCTACTATGCGCAATCAAAGCACCGACGGCCCCTGAGACTTGTTCATTGGTCTTTTGTGCATCGCCCTTCTTTTGTTCAGGATGTAATATTATGTGAAGCACGAATCGGGACAGTTGTGCAGAGTCCTATCAACACTTTCGTCGTTGTATCTACCCTGTTTGACACTTGACGTGCCGTTAGCGTCTTGCAAGGTTTCGATAAGCCCAATCCTTCACAGCTGCTGCCTTCGTAGGTTATACGTCTCACCAAAAGGGCTTAGCACGTTTTCGCGAATGGATACTTGAACCAACTTCATAGACTATAAGCCCACTAACACCGCCAACAAGCTATTGAGTGCATAATAACGCCCATCCGGTCAGTACCCAAAAACCTCGGCCTTGTAGAAAACATTGCGGTCCAAGTATACCCACTTACCCACGGCACACCTCAAGCTGTCCGTTAATGTTCGAGGTCCACATGCGAAGATTGCGACACGTCCATGTTGATTTGAGAAGACGTCGTCAACAATCACATTGAGGTTAGGCCGGCCGTGCTGAAGCACGACCCCTGGTGGCACACACGACTCTTCGTCTTCTTCTGCAGGCAGAAGATTCTCACCTTCCTCTAGTTCGACGTCCCCAGAGAAATTCCTTCCCGTGGTGTCGGTATTCCGAGTAGAGCGTGAGCCAGTGATATATATTTCAGCCAGCTTTGGAACTGCTGTAAAACTATTGCCTTCATTCTTTCGGTCGGCTGTCGTCGACGGAAATGCCCATCTTGTCTCAGATAACGTCCGCACAGCCCATACAAATCGTATCTGGCCTCGAAAGCCTGGCTCTGAAATCGCCCTATTCATGACAGTACGATAGACTGGAATAGTGAAAGTCGCACCAACACCGCCTGCTATGAAGAGTATTGTGTCGAAAGTTTTAAGATCAGGGACGTGATTGATGCCGCCATACGGACCTTCCACCATAAGACGTGTAGTTGAATGAGAGCCTTCCGCTTGCGTTTCTCGAGCCGTTCTGTGTGCAGCGTCCGCTAAAAGCCTCGTAGAGCCTTGCAGCGTTCGAGCTACCAGTACAACCTCGTCGTCCTCGCCTGGCAGAGAGGCAATGGTGAAGGGGTTAACATGAAACCATTGACTTAACACGTCATATAAAGCAAATTTCGATGTTTGGTCGGTAATCTGGCTGAGAAAGACGTGTTCTCCCACACCCCAGGTCAGACTGTTCCGAGTGTTGAGAGGTATAATGACTTGGACCAATCTTGAGCCTGGTACGAGGCTGATTTGACCATCGTATGTTCGTATCTTGAAGAGCCTGAGAATATTGAGCAGTATAATAGCCACAAGTGTTTGCCAAACAAAAATATGAGTATGGTGGCAGTGGAAGTACATTGGTTCTAGCAGGAGTACAGCCAAGAACACATGGATAACATAGAACGTACGATATGACCAGTTACGAATGAAGCTGAGAGCACTCGTACTGATAGCGACGAAAGACAGCAATGCAGCCAAACCAAAGACCACATCATAGTCCAGGAGACGTTTCAGCAGAACTCCGTTCTGGATGAAACCATTCAGGTAAAGAGACCCATGTACTACATAGAAGATGATGATAATACGCCCAAGTATCAGATGCGTGGCTTTGAGCTCTTCGTGGCTCAGACGCGTAAGATACTGGATTGGCGAGAGGCTTGACCGCATTGCAAGGAGATATTGAAATGGCAAGACCCTGTCAGGGCGTGAGCCCGATTCGTCGTGGTGGGAAGGGTAGGTACTCACGCAGTTGGGATCATGCCGAATCGTTTGGTAACGTGCCAGTAGTCTGGCATAGTGTTGCGCAGACAGAGATAGAGCATCCATAGTGACCATAATGAACCACATACCCACTGACCTCTTGTGCCCCAGCCGCGCATAAGTGGTCCTCCACTCCACCAGAGAACTCGTTTCCATAAGAGACGTGTATGTCCGAATACCCCTTTCTGTGTCTGGTTGTTTGCTCTTTGGAAGGGTGACTTTGGCGGTCCATCGTCTCGAGGAGTATACCGTTCGACAAGCCATGTCATCCAGGCGGAAGCATATATTGTCAAGAGGACAAAGAGCACCGAGAGCTGTAGGTATGCACCATTGGTGTCAAGCGCGACTCTTCTGGCATGCTTTTGCTCATCCGAAAGATCAACAAACTCATATCCGAAAGCCATTATAATGAGCTTCAAGTTTCTATCGCGTTGATATGATAAGATGGACCTTCCATGCGCGTCTCAGAGGACACGGCTTCGACAAATGTGCGCGGGTTGGTCTCACTTCGAGTTGATTTGCATCGCTGTAAAAATCCACGTACGTTGAGGCTGCCCTTGCTATGCTCACGAACTACGAAACTCAGATTGCACAGGGATAATATTAATGGATGACTGAGAACAAGAGCACGTTGTGGCTACGGCTGCTTGGGGCACGCTAACGGCTATCATTGTTGATCTGATTGGCTACCGCGCCCCATATAAGAATCTATCAAAACCGGAGTCACGCCGCCGATGGGTCTTATCAAAAAGATACGTTCCTTTTCAACAGTCTCGGACTCTGTATGTCCTGATCCATATTATTAACCACCTTTGACCCAACACGTCAATCGTTACTCTTTCTTGTTGGATATCACGACGCCCAACATGTCGGCCCTCACTCCTTTGTGGCTGGATGTTGATACTGGTATGATGTGTCCCTTCCCAGGAGACTCGAATACTCGAATGCGATGTACTGAACAGCATCTAGGTCATGATGTAGGACGCGTCTCTAAATGAATGAGGTATCATGACAGGCTTATGGCGACCTCGCATATGACAGGATGCATTTGCATTACTACTAGCTGCCCACTCTCCGAAGACAGTTCTCCTGGGTGTAACCACCGTCCACGGAAATGCGTCACTGGAACATACGACGCGAAATACTCGGGGTGTCCTCGAAGCTATAGGGTGCTCGCACATAGCTGTATACCCGGGTGCGACTAAGCCCCTGACACGTAGCGCCGTTCATGCTCCTGATATTCATGGTAAACTAGACGCGCCGTAGCTGTACCTGTCGAGTACTGAAATTAGCCAGGCGAGACTGGACTAGATGGTGTGACTCTATTGCCCAACGTCCCTGGATCAGGTACGGAGCAAGTTGACTTCGTCAAAGCCATGTATGATGCGCTGAGTGCAACGGCTCCTGGTACCGCATGGTTAGTAACCACTGGAACGTTGACAAATGCAGCAAAGCTCTTCGCAGCCCATCCAGATCTCGTCGACCATCTCGCAGGTGTCAGTATTATGGGAGGAGCAATCGGTGGCAAATTCAACGATGCACCTATGGGAACTGTGGCTGGAGAGGGTGAAAGGTTTGGCAACTTCACGCCTTTTGCTGAGTTCAATGTAAGACTACTTTTCTTGTGACTCTAGAATGTGCATACTAATGGTGTTATATAGATTTACGTCAGTTCTCTGCATGTCGATATTTCACTGGTATGTATGACTGACTCAATCAGTGCGACCCCGAGGCGGCACACTCGATCCTCGCACACCCTGTGCTCTCGAAAAAGACAACACTAATTCCACTCGACGTGACACATCTCTGTAGAGGAACGCGACCGGTCCGACAGCGACTCCTTTTTAGTGACAACTCGTTGAAGGACACGACTACAGTTCGAGCTCTGTTCCATGAGATCATGACTTACTTCGCTGGAACGTATGCTGAAGTATTTGCCATCACTGATGGACCTCCCCTACATGACCCTCTAGCAACTGCTGCAGCGTTCATTCCCGAGATCTTCGAAGATGCGTCGGGCGAACGCTTCGAGGTCAATACGGTCAGAGAAGGCGTACATTCAGATGATCGAACGCTAGCTGGTCAGTTAGGCAGGACAGTTGCAAGTCTACTACCAAAAGGTCAAGGCGGAGTCCGTGTCCCACGTGGTTTGAACGTTGAACGGTTCTGGGACATGATAGAATTGGCTCTCCAGGAAGCTGACAAAGCTTCAAGCCTTCCTTCTCTCAATGGCACGGAAAAGAAGAAGTACAGAGATTTGTACAATGCCGGAGAAGCGTAAAAGAGTCGGTCGCTTGTCGCGAGATGCACTAGAATCCACCGGGCACTGAAGTTTTGAAAACGAGCTAGACGTGATATTGTCACCGACGACTCTCATACAGGGCATAGATGTTGTGAACGTCCTATATTATCCAACTTGTGTACTAGATTTGACCCGGAGAACTGTAGGCTCGGCCACAATCACAGCCTATGATGCTAGCGGAGCGCCACACTTGATTGTATTTACCCGGTCATGGTAAATTGTACTTGTTCCTTGAACATACACTAACTTACCCCTCATATCCCGCATCCGTCATGGATCGCGAGTGTACGACTGGTCACAGGTGTCGTATGCCTAGGTCTTAGTATAGCGTACGGATAATGTCAAGCTCTCGTGGCGCACTGATGCTTCTTGTATAAAGTTGAAGGTTGCTCCACGCCGACTGAACCATGCAACGGGAGTCAGACGGTGCATCGATAATAAATCCTTTACTATAGATTGTTCCAGATGAAGTGGACTTCTTTCGCATTGGCGATTGCCTTCACGCCCGCGGTCCTGTCGTCACTCTTAGCTGATCGTGGCAGCAAGGAAATTGGATTGAATCAACTCGCACGCAAAGCAGGACTTCAGTATTTCGGTACCGCAATCGATAATCCAAGTCTTGCCCCCGGTGGCGCTAGTTATCTGCCTTACAGCATTGATAACTCGAAATATCGAAAGGTTGCTTACAATTCAGAGGAGTTTGGTCAAGTGACGCCGGCAAATGGGTTGAAGGTATGTTCATTCACAACAATTTCATACTTTGAGGGACACGCAAATTAGACTAAGAACATATGGATTGACATCTCTCGGTCCTGCAGTGGATGTTCACTGAGCCTTCACGAGGTCAGTTTAACTACACCCTCAGCGACGAAATAATAAAACCAGCGATCAAAAACGGTATACCCAATCATACATGACCATGCCCATGGCAAAGAGAAAAGGGTTGACTAAATTCACAGGCCAATTCCGCCGCTGCCACGCCCTCGTTTGGCACAACCAACTTCCACCCTGGCTCACGTCGCAGACCTGGACCGCCTCGGAGCTCCTCTCCGTCGTCCGCACGCATATCGCCGCCGAAGTAACGCACTACAAGGGTCAATGTCTACACTGGGATGTCGTCAACGAAGCTTTCAACGAGGATGGTACGTTCCGGCCATCTATCTTCTACAATATCACGGGCACGGGGTATATTTACGAGGCCTTCGCCGCGGCCGCAAAAGCAGATCCGAAGGCGAAATTGTATTATAATGATTATAATATTGAGACGGTGGGACCGAAGAGCGATTCGGTGAGGACTTTGGTGAAGGAGATGAGAAAGAAGGGGGTAAAGATTGATGGTGTGGGATTGCAGAGCCACTTCACAGTAGGCGGGACGCCGAGTTATGAAGCGCAGACGGCGAATATGGCAGCTTTCACTAAAATGGACCTCGATGTGGCAGTGACAGAGTTGGATGTTAGGATGCAGTTGCCGAGCAATGGGATGAAGCTGGCCCAACAAGCGAAAGATTACAATACATCTGTGATGGCGTGTAAGAATACGAAGCGATGCGTTGGGATTACTGTAAGTGGTGGCAACGTGCATCTCTTATGTGTACTGCTAACGTTAATCGATTTTGTCCAGGTATGGGATTTTCAAGATAATTTCTCCTGGGTTCCTTCGACATTTGCGGGGGAGGGCGACCCTTTGCCGTACAGTAGTACCACTGAGAAGAAGCCTGCCTGGTATACGATTGCGAAGGCACTTCGGGGATGAGATAAAGTACACGCTTGTGTCATCGTCTAGGCTATGTAGTGCTTTCGAGAGGCCCATCCCTACTTAGACAGAGCAATGAGCTAGATCTTGAGTCTTACTGGGCGTAAATACACAAGGCTTGCAGATGAGAACGAGACTCCATCAAGCACAGAGTAGCGTTCACACTAATGACCAACTCCATCCATGCATTGATTATCTATGTATTATTCTTAGAGTTTCGTATTCTCTGAAGGCTATTATTGGGCTGGGTACTTGGCAGGATCTTGTATGAACTTCGAGTGCCCAGGTGGGAAGCCGCAAGGAAAACTTGCCATGCCATCGCGTGGAATCACATATTAATGGCACCAGCCCTATATTGCCTTACACCCTCATTCAGTGCCTTCAGATGCTCAAATTTATTTGCGTCCTCTCCCAATCCCCAGGCAAACACTCCTCTAAGTGCCCTCTTCTGGACGATAGGAGCGAATTTCTTTCTGATCGCATCTGGCGTGTCCCATGACCAGAAGATATTCTCATCAGCGTCGAAGTAGTAGCTTCCTCCACCAATATCATCGTATTGCACGCCGCTCATGGCCTTTTCGAAGGATGCCTTCAGATTCGACGGTACTTGTTGCACCCAAACCAATGCACCAGCCTTGCCGAGATCAGCACCGGTATTTGGATCTTCCATCAATACAGTGCTACACCCGATAGCATTATGAGCAGTACAACCGCTAGCTGGGTCTACACGGAACCATTTGACATAGAATGCGAAGCCCAGATATATCTTGCCCGGGTCCAGGCCGCGGCTTATGTATTCGTCGATACTCGCAAGACTCAATTGGAGCCCTGTGTGGTGATTCGTGACATTATCGCGGATACTCATCATGTCGTACGTCATGATGTTTAGGTAGTCGAGTTGTGCGCTGATTGCACCCATGTTTTCTTTGGTGAATGCCAGCATGTCTGCAGACTTCGCGGGGACAGCCGCCGAGATAATTTTATCGGGACCGATGGCGTCGCGGATTGCGGCAAGGAAGAGCGGATATGCTGCGATCTCCCATTCTTTTTCGGAATTAGGATGGATCTTGTAGTCATAACCGTTCCCGCCTGGGAATTCCCAATCGACGTCGATACCTGGGCAGAATTAGTCATGAGTGGCTCGTTCAGGAGAATATAAGTACCATCTGCACCAGTCATCTCGATCATTTTCGCGACATGCTTTGCCCAGAGCTCTCGGCTTTCACCAGTCTTCGCACCTATGGAAAAGCCTGCTGTATCGCCCCATCCCCCGATCGCGATAATGACTTTGGTGTCAGGCGCGAACTTTTCACGCACAGCATCTACAGAAGTAAAAAGCGGGAATTCGCTTGGGCTGTTCTCATGAAACTTGCTCGAATTCATAAACGCCAGGGACACATGGGTGATTTCGGAAACATTTTCCTTCGATGGGACGATATTGTGTGCCCTGCGGTTGTTAGAAAGAAGAATGAAGCTGAGATGAGCCGTTCTCACTCACCCTGTCAAGTACATATTATATTCAAGCTTCGTAGCATATACTCCTGCTCCTGCTACAGCAGCAGCCATAAGGGCCGCGAGAAATCGATCTAGCATCTTGACGCGTGCTTGGAATATGACGGTACCGATGAGCAGTCAATATCAGCATGACGTTGATAGAAGTTTTACTCCCCGATTCACGAAGTCTAGCAGGCTCACACAGGATAGCATACGTCTGCAAGATCAAGTGTTACTTTGATTACTTGGTGGTGTGATGTGTATATTGTGGAGAATGAATGGCTGGGTGCTGGGATGCCCCACCCCTGCAAGTAAATTCGTCCGCAGAACTTTTGTCAATCAAATTTACATACAACGTTGAAATGCTACTTGCCCCGCTGGGTAGCTGGGAACTTACTTACTTAGTGTAACACGGCATATGCTGCAGGTACCCGCACTACAACACATCTAGCGATACCTGCACAGAATGATACGTCATTCTGCCTTAATAATACAAGTGCGGTGCATCACCAGAGTTATGTTTGTCTGTAGGACGAACGGACACCGAGAGATGATTTAAGTAAAGGTCTTTTACAGCGAGATCCTAAGGTGTTCGCTGTGGGAACCCTGTTTATAGAGCGTAGCGTCGTAAAGCAACTGGCCCAGCGATATTCATAGATAATATCTCCTATGTAATCTTTGAAAGTACCTTGTGATCACCCGGTACATTACACAGTACATATAATATTCCATCATAATGGTTCAGCCCAGTCGACCTGCTCAGAGACGGGCATACCGCCTTTTGAGTAGGCGATTTTTAGCCTTAATTTCAATCTAGACGGTGGCGGCTATCAGGAATTAGCATCGATTCATATAACGCCACACTGAATACTTACGCCAGCATTTGCAACGACTCTCATCTGCTGCGAAGCCTCCGAACCACCATCCAACTCACTTGAACTGATAGGTTGTAGTTGCAATTTCTGGGACTTTGGGACAGCTGCTTGCAAAGAGACTCCACTAAGAGACTCGAAGGCATTTGTATTCCGGAAACGGGCAAGTACTTGGACAGCGTTGGCATTTCTTTGGAGTTGAAAGGTGATGTTAAGATCATTTTTATTGTAGGCTTCATAAGCTGACGGCCCACTTGAAGATGGGGTCGTTGCCTGAGGTGGCGGTGACGAGATACCACCAAGACCTGCGAGGTCGTTTCCAAATGACACCTGTGATCTGGCCTCCTGAGCCTGCGATGCACTCGGACTGCCGAAGAGATCCATGATGTTCGAAACGTTAGATGATTGTGGTGGAGGCGATGTCGTATCGGAAGGTGACGATGAACTTCCACCTAGAATATCGGCAAGAAGATCTGTATTATTTGAGGAGCCGTTGAGAGTGGTTCTGGGGTCTGTTGTGGGCATATCAGAACCACCCATGAGGTCTAATAGCATGTCTTGTTCGGTGACCTGGCTAGGCTTCTTCTTCGTCACAACCCGCGATTGACGTTTTTTCGTGGCTTCGCCAAGGACTCTCTGCTCTTCTCGAATCTCTGGTGGTGGCATCCTTTCCAAAACACCTTTGCGCACTTCATCGTAGCCGAAGAGGTTGCCATATTCGGCAGCGCGCTGCTGAATTTCAATATCTAGGTTTGCTTGGTGGCGGAGTAATATGCGTCGAAGCCTTTCAATTTGTCCTACTTCCGACAGTCTCGTTGACAATTTCATGGTCGATGTGATGATATATTCGGTGACAATCTGTCCTGCGTATGCACTGTTCAAAATTGTCTCGAAGAGGTCAACGAGATCGCTTTCCTTGACGTGTGCAACCAGCTCTTCTTCTTCATACTGTCCTCCTCGTAATAATGCGTCGCCAAACTCACCAATGACCCAGGCACCGGCTAGCGTTAGACCCTCTTGGGTGATATCGTCCTTCAAAGAGGCGTACAGCTTTTGAGCAGAATAGGTCTGAAGCTCCGGGGTAGTCGCAATGAGACGAACGAACGAGGACAAGATTTGCTCCTTGACATAATTACCAGCCAATTTTAGGACTCTCAACATGGTATCGATATGCCATCTCTTGTTGGGCGCGAATCTGTCTGCTGCAATGCCGATCTGGGATGTCATGATTGGCTTGAACTCATTGTCGGCCACTTCTAGGAACGCTAATAACTCCCGAATAAGTACTCGGACGTTGCTTTCATTGATCAGCGTAAAGCTCAGATCAAGTGCTCTTCTCCGGATGCTGATATCGGGATCTCTCAGGCAATCTAGGATAGTGTTTCGATGTCTTTGTACCGCATTGGGCTCAACAGCAACTACTTTGATGAGAGTGTTGAGGGCAACATATCGGATGTTGTTATCTCTATTGGATAAGAATTTCCCCAGAATGTTCACGCCAAGAACTCTCAGTCCAGAGTCGGCTTCGATATCCAGAATAGTCAGTACTGCCTCGTAGAGAATGGCATTCCCGACGTTCTTCGATGCGTCGGTATTTGTGGCGACCTAGTGATATCAGGGTACGTTCTACGCGAAGTTTATTCATCACTTACCTGAGCGAGGATATCATTGATTTGCTCACTGGTTTCTGCATCGCCGCGGCCAAATACCCTCAATAGCTGCAGTATTTTCACCTGCAGGAATGGATCTGCGATTCCAGTGACATCGTGCTCAGGGGTATATCCGGAACTTGCCAAGCCTTTCAGAACCTTCACCAGTGCTGGTGTGATAGGTCTAAATGTTTCTACTATCCCAAATTCCCCTCCTTCTAGTTCGTCCGCTTCACACATGCTTATGACTAAGGTGAGACCACAAAGTAACACGCCATGGTTCCGATCGTTGAGGAGCAGTTTCGCCTTCTCTAAAAAGTGCTCTTGCAAGTCTGGCACTTTGCGACATATTCTCATTGCACAAATAGCAGCTTTTCGTCTTATGTACGGGTTTTGGCTGGAAATTATGGTTTCGACTTCGGGAAACAGATCGCGGGACATTTCGATAGACGCAATGTTACCTAATGTGCAGAGCGCAAGACCAACAATATATTGATTTGGGTGGTTGAGGTCGCTACGCCGTAATCGTTAGTAGAGGTAGATGTAATATCATGCACTTTGACGTACTTCTTCAACGAATTGGTCACCAAGGTCAACACCTCCTGATTCTCGTCCAGTAGGAGCATAGTTCCCAGATAGCCCAGCCGCTTGTCGGCAAATCTAGGTGATGCGAGAAGCTTCAGACATTCGATCTGACCGAAATGAGTCCGCTCTCCAAGCGTGAAGAGGTATAATAGCTTTGCAACATTGTTGCGCCTGCAGTCAAATTAGCACTAAAGCTATCAGGCACCTGCGTTGTCGCACCGTATTCCATGGTCACCACTTTCTTCCCTGAAGCTTGCACGAATCGCCGCGCTCTCCTTTTGAACGACCGCTCTCTCATCTGCGATTGTTTTGGCGGCACGGACATTACGAATGAACTGCTTCACTATACTGGGTCAGGAGGGGCATCTCTCAAGAGGGCTGAAGGTTGACGTACAGGAACTCATGATGGCGGTCTCACGGACCCCAGAGTCCTACAGAAGAGACGCCAAGTAAGAATGCCGAGTACGGACGTACACGAGGGAATCGAGTCGGGTATATTGTTCGTGTGGCGTGAGAGTATCGTCTATGCATATGTGAGGTTTGATGTCCATACTGTCAGTAGGCGCCCAGACTCCGTACACAGTAAGCGAAAATCGGAAGTGCTGCCTGAGGTGCCTGAACACGAACTACCTAGGTAGACCCCTGCTCGCTGCAAAGCCGCGGTACACTGACGTAGGATCAAAAGGAAACCCTTTGTTAGATGTGCCAGGTGATTACTGCAAGTGGCGTCCGAGCCAGCTGTTCGCACCTTGGATATGACTCTACTATAAGTCATACGAGGCATTATGACAACCAAACTGAACATAATACTATGAATTCAAATACTGCCAAGTATATGTGATCAATTCTCCTGATCTTCATCCTGGGCCGGATCAGCACGTTCACAAACGTTTCCCAAGTTTCTTGGAACACTGCCACATATCGATACCTGCTGGGAGTAAAATCAATATTCAATTCAGACGCTGCTCTACCATAATGTCGTCTAGCTTTCAGACAGAATACCTTTCGCCTAAACCAAGACGACCGGTTGGATCACATCTCAATCGAGCACCAAATCAATCCCCTTCCAGAATTTCAGATGGAATTGGCAGGTTAGGAACACTTGAATATAGTGATTGTATTTGTGTCTGTCATACAAATCTGACTGTTTTACCAGTGGTCGCGCAACGCCTGTACCTCATGATGCTCCTCCATCAGTCCACGCAACCTCCTCGGCCCGCAAAACCATCAGGGCTCAGCAGAAGCATCGGTTGTTCCCTACCATAGACTATGCCGCTCGTGTGTCACATTTCGACCCAAAGAGCGAACACCGAGACTTCAGTGGCTTCTTTGTCCTCTTCTGGGTTGGGCTTGCTATCATGGTCATAACCGCAATGCTTCGAAATTTAAAAGAGACTGGATATCCTTTAGTCATCAGACAATGGCCTGTCCTGACGGAAAAGTTGTTTGAGCTGGCTCTCAGCGATCTTCTTATGGTGGCTAGTTCCGCGCTCAGCTTGCCCCTCCACAAGATGTATACAGGCGTGAAGATACTCCGATGGAGTCGTCTTGGTATGCCTCTACAGAGCCTTTTCCAGACCGCGTGGCTGTTATTCTGGGTCAAGTCAGTCAGTCTTAGAATTGTATGGCTGGATCCTCACATATTATAGTTGGCCATTCCTCCGAATTTGGAGCTGGACGTCACAGGTGTTCTTCACGCTACATCTTCTTTCGATCTTCATGAAGATGCATTCTTATGCGTTAGTCACACCTAGCTGGCCCACTGTATATAATAACGTATCTAGATTCTACAATGGGCATTTGTCCACCACGAGGAGGCGTTTGAATGACCTTGATCGCCCAGATGGGGCATCACGAGCAAAAGCATACCGTTATCCTGGTCGTACTCAGCGATTACACGACTTGAATGCTGAACATGAGCCATCGAAAGAGGAGCAACTTGGTCAACTCCGTGAAGACCTTGCTCACGAGCTCACATCCTCCCTGGGTAATGTCACATATCCTCAGAATCTCACAATCGCCAATTATGTCGACTTCCTATTCTGCCCAACCTTATGTTACGAGCTTGAATACCCTCGAATGCCGGAGACCGACTTCATGGAGCTTTTTTACAAGACCCTCGCAGTGTTTGGTTGCATATTTCTCACAACCCTCACGACAGAAGAATTTGTTCTCCCGGTGCTCGACGAGTCAGCAATCCGGATGACCGGCATCGCCTCTTTCTCAGAAGGATTCCTTATCATGGCCGAGTCTATATCTCGTCTCCTATTCCCATTCATGGTTCTATTCCTCCTCGTATTTCTTATTATTTTTGAATACGTATTGGGTGCATTTGCTGAGATCACGCGCTTCGCTGATCGCCAGTTCTATTCAGATTGGTGGAACAGCTGCGACTGGCTGGAGTTTTCGCGCGAGTGGAATATCCCGGTACATCATTTCTTTCGGAGGCACGTATACGTAGCGTCTCGAATCTATGTGTCCAAATCAGCTGCGACAGGAATCACGTTCCTCGTCAGTGCTTTGGCCCACGAGCTGGTAATGGGCTGCATTACGAAGAAACTCAGGGGGTATGGCTTCACTATGATGATGTTGCAGATGCCAATCGTTATGATACAGCGATCAAGGCTTCTTAGGGGCCGGACTTTGCTGAATGTAAGAGCGCTACTGTCCCGGTCATGCAACCACTGACGAATCCTTCACAGAATGTTCTCTTTTGGTGTAGCATGATTCTTGGGTTGTCAATGGTATGATTTACTTGAAATTACTGAAGTACAAGTTCTAACAGTGAGTTGCAGATTTGCGCACTCTATGTTCTGCTCTAGATCTCAGCAGTTGCAGCGACTATGAGGATATTCCTTTTAGTAGTGATGATCTTCTGTTAAAGCGTCGAGATACCCTATTCGCGTTCCAATGTATCGTTCCGTAGAGATCTAGGCTGCATGTAATTACACGTTCCAAGTATCAATGCCTAGATAGTTCTAGCCATATAGTTTGTCATTATTCACGTGTGAGGCAGGACTTGACAAAATGATGCGGAAATCGCTTGCAATTCCCATGTATTTTATATTCGACATACACAGGATAGACTCCTTGGAATCACGCTATAGTAGCATTCCATTCCATGAAAAGTATCAAGACCCGTTTTCACCCAAACGCGACCCTTTATGAGAACCCATTTATTCTGCGGTGTAACCCTCTGCCGGCGCCTCGCCACCCTGCTCTTGCTGTTCAGCCAACCGTGCTTGCTCAGCAGCTTGCTGTGCAGCAACAGCCTTAGCACCATAGTCTTGGGACATTGGTTGCACAACTGGTTGTTCTTCCTTTGGCTCAATGATGGTAACGGAGTCAGGGAGTGATTTTTGGGGACCAGCTTTGCCCTCAGGGTCAGAACCGCGCATAATCTTGACCTTGATACCTAATACACCCTGACGGAGTAATACGTGACGGGTGGCATGGTCGATGAAGTCTTTTGCAGGTTGGCCGGAATGGATCATGAAACCATCAGTGAACTTCATGCTCTTAGCGCGGGCAGCTCTCAGCTTGCCGCTCACGACGACTTCGCAACCCTTAGCACCGCTCTCCATGATGAATCTCAGGACACCGTAACAGGCTCGGCGAACGGCCAGACCGTTGAGCAGCTTGTATCGGAGGGACTCGCACTGGGCGACGGCGGACAGACCACGGTTGGATACCTTGGCGGCATATAGAGAAACGGAATTTTCGGGGAATTTGAAGCGCTTCTGGATGAGTGAGGTAAGTTCACGGATTCGTCGTCCCTGCTCTCCGAGAACTTCTTGTGTGTGGGTTGCGCGAATGATGATATCGGTGACGGTGGGCGTGACGCGGACTTCGACACCAGAGTAACCTTCCTCGGCCAGCTCGCGTTGAAAGAATTCATTCAGTTCGGCGTAGAAAACACCGTCTATACATAGGTCAGTACTGTGCCCTAGCAATTGGTGTGCTCGCTATCCCGCTCCAATAGCAAACATATTTGTTAAGTCTGCGAGGAGTAAAGCCACATACCGGCGACGAACTTTCTACGCTTAGAGATAGCGGCACCAGGGGCGGCAGCAGCAGAGGCCATATTTGCTGTATAGAAACAGAGTCGGTTGGTGTTCCGGTCGAGTTGGCGGGTTGTCGAGATATGTAGTCGTCGTCGTCGTCGCTCGGCTTAAAAGAATTCGGTTGGAGTGCTTAGCACATCGTTGTTGTGCGGCTCGCTTACGAGCATCTAGTCTTTGCCTGAACAGTCTTAGCGCGCTATTGCGGGGCAATCTCACGGTTGCGCGCCAGGCTCGGGGGTGCCTTTCCAACATGTCGCTAATCCCTGCTTATGTGCTTCCAGCTATCACCGTGATCTAGGTAATTAACAACTTTGTTACTGATGCACGAGACCAGCCCGGCTCCATGTAACACACAGAAAGGAACATACCACACCACGTCATCGTCTCTGTGAGCTTTGGTCTTCCATCACACGCTGCTCTCGCAACACAGAACCGCGTTGACTGACGTAGCAGTCCATGGACAAGATTCGTGTCTCGAAGGTGAACCGTCAAAGGCGTGTTACCCAGCCTAGCTAATCGTATATCGCTAGGTGGAAGATGTCACACTATGGAGACAGGGTATTCGCGTCGAAGGGACACTACACTTGACAGCCCATCATCTCATATTCAGCTATCACTTACCAATATCGCCCGACCAACCCAACGCCCCTCCCAAAAAGCTTGAGAGAGAGTTATGGGTTACTTTCCCCATGATAAATGGCTGCACGTACAGACCTGCACCGCTAGCTTCACACCAGTCACCAGCAATACGAATACGCTGTCGAGACTTTACCTTTCTTGCGTTCCATTTTGTTGTAGAAAGTAAAGCACGAGATGTGTACGACAGTATTCGATCTTTATCATGCAAAGTCGGACGGATAGAAAAGCTTTATGCCTTCAGCTACAAACCGCAAGCTCCGGAGAACAAAGTCAATGGGTGGGAGTTGTACGATGCAGAGAAAGAGTACCGTCGCCTGGGCATTGGGGGAAAGAATCCAGAGTACGGATGGAGAGTATCATATATCAACTCCAACTACAAGGTGTGAAAAAAACCATGGTCGCTAGCATAGCACGACTGACTATCTCGCAGTACTCTCCTACCTACCCGGCCGTTCTTGTAGTGCCCTCCATAATCTCAGATAACACTCTTACATACGCGGGAAAGTATCGCTCGCGTGCACGGATTCCAGCATTAGTATACAGACACCCTGTGAACAACTGCTCCATTACCCGAAGTTCTCAACCCCTAGGTGGGTTTGCACGAAACAGGAGTGTGCAAGATGAGAAGCTAGTAGCCGCGATATTTGCAACAACTGCAGACAGCGAGAACAACAGCTCGCAAGATACCACGAGTAGTGGTCCAAGATCAACAGGAACCAGCCCAGATGCCAGTATTCAAAGTCTGGACACTGGAGAGGGGTCCAATAGCAGCATTAACGCTGAGAAATTCGAGGACCAAGTTCTTCAACAAATCGATGCACCTGAGAAGAGGCCGAAAGTATATGGCGCGCAACAGCGAAATCTCATAGTCGACGCACGTCCCACAGTCAATGCAATAGCCATGCAAGCCGTAGGAAAGGGTTCAGAAAACATGGATTTTTACAAAGATGCAACAAAGGCTTACCTAGGAATTGACAATATTCATGTCATGCGCAGATCTCTGAACAAGGTCATTTCTGCGCTCAAGGACACTGACATGACACCATTAGGTCCAAACCGAGAAACACTAGCGAAGAGTGGCTGGCTAGATCATATCAGTAATCTACTGGATGGAGTCTCTTTGATCGCACGCCAGATTGCAATTCAGCATTCTCATGTTTTGATACATTGTTCCGACGGATGGGATCGCACGAGTCAACTGAGCGCTCTGAGCCAACTTTGCCTGGACCCATACTATAGAACCCTAGAGGGCTTCATTGTACTGATAGAGAAAGACTGGCTCTCCTTCGGTCACATGTTCCGCTACCGCGCTGGTCTTCTGGGAAGTGATAAATGGTTCGAGGTTGAGAATGAGCGGTTAGTGGGGAACAGGAATGGAGTCGGCAATGCTGGGGGCCCTGCGAACGCGATAGAGAACGCATTAGCAAAAGCCCAAGGGTTTTTCAATAAAAAGAACGACTCCAGGGAACTTCTGTTTGCAGACTCAGACGGCGAAATGCAGGCATATGATTCCCCTGAGGGTCCACTAAAATCGAGAGCAGCCGCTACAAGTAGCACTTCTGCCGAGCAAGAGACAGCCACAAAGGTCGATGAAATAAGCCCAATATTTCATCAATTCCTGGATGCGACTTATCAATTGATACGCCAGCACCCTACCCGATTTGAGTTCAACGAACGTTTCCTTAGGCGACTACTTTACCATCTATACTCATGTCAGTACGGTTCATTTCTGTATGACAACGAAAGGGAGCGGGTTGAATCACGTGCAAAGGAGCGGACTAGAAGCGTATGGGATTATTTCCTATCGCGGAAGGAACAGTTTACCAACGCAAATTATGCATCAGCTGTGGACGATAATCAAAGGGGCCAAGAACGTGTTCTCTTTCCTATCCCGAAAGATGTAAGATGGTGGGCCGAAGTCTTCGGGCGCAAGGATGAGGAAATGAATGGCTCTTTGTCAACGACATATTCACCAAAGTCTACCAGTGGTATAACTACGGGAACTGTTCTCTCAGCAGTCGAAAACTCATCTGGGTCCGCAGAAGTTACTCCGCAACGCAGACAGGTCCAAGGTCACGACACAGCGATCAGTCCCGCGTGTCTCGCTACTGGGCTTTCGACTCTAAGTGTCGAACAGAGAGATATATCTCCTGGTCGATCGAGAAGTCCTCGACTATCAAATGGAGGCTTTGAGGTTGAAATGCAGTAATACGATTGTATGATGCCGCAGAGTGTAGGTTAATCCAGGGCTTGTACGTGTACATGGTGTTGGAAATTGGTCATACAATGCTAGGTCGACATCGCTCCATCTGCTGATTTGGGAAGGCGTTGCTTGACGAGATTCTGAACTTTATCATCCATAAATTGTTTCACGACACATGTCGTTTGAGGCATGCAATTTTGGGACTTCTGGATGGTCGTAATCAAGTGCAGTCTTTCATATACACGGACCTGAAATTATAATAAGCGGAATTCTCAATCGCCATTACCGGACCAATGATGTCGACCGAATCTAGTCATATCTGCAGATTGTTTATGCGCAGAAAATAGCTTATCGTTCATCGCTGCCTGGGTGGATATTCCAGTTGATGTCTTGGAACACGGATTCGCGGGGCTAAGTAGACTGAGGTGATGGACCGACGTCACTGACAACCCGAGCACCTGCAGCTTGAAGTACCCACGTTCTTTCTGTGACAAAAGACGACCGTAATTGTAAAATTGTAAGCTACGCCTGATAGTCCATACTAGTTGTACTTCCCTGGTCCTGTTCAACCGGACCAGGCGTTTGAGAATACTGGCTCACACTTTAGTTTCTTTCTACATCCTGGTCCTCATTTACTTTCTTTCATACGCTGCACCCTACTCTAAACAATCTTAGACCTTTTCGCACTTGGAATATCACCTGTTCTCGCAGATATTCGTCCTATCCTACAGCATGAGGAAGTTCATGGGCAAAGTGAAAGATGCTGGAAAGCCTTCTGGGCCTTCTCCCTATAGCCCTCAAAAGATTCATTCCCAAGCACCTAAGGCCTCACCTCCGATAAACCCAGACATTTTTCGCTATCGATACAACCATGGCACCAACGTAGGATCAATATACGTTCTGGAAAAGTGGCTCTACCAGTCAATGTTCCCTCAAGGCTGCGAGGATGGCAAATCATCAGAGCTCGAGGCTGTTAAAGCCAATGTTAAAGAGCTACATACTGACAAAACTCGACAAAAGCTCGAGAAGCATTGGTCTAATGCAATCATACAACAAGAATGGGAATGGCTCTCGCGCGACGCCAAATGTTCCGCCATAAGACTCCCAATTGGGTACTTCACGTTAGGTTCAAAGTTTGCACGCGGTACTCCCTTTAGTCCATTCGAGAAAATATATCAGAACGCCTGGTCCAGCGTTCGTCGCTTCGTTGAAACCGCCAATTCCTACGGCATCGGAGTCTTGCTCGACCTTCACGCCGCCCCGGGTGGTGCAAATAGCAGTGATCATTCGGGTACTAACTCCAATAAAGCAGAACTGTGGAACAGCGACTCAAACAGGAAGCTGACCATCGACTGCTTGAGATTCATTGCGGAGGAAGTGAAGAACGGGCTGCCTGGTGTTATAGGCATCCAGGTGTGCAATGAAGCTGAGTACGGTGCACAAGGCATGTACGACCTCTACGATTGGGCTTTGAGCACGTTCAGCTCCATCGACTCTAGCATTCCCATATATATCTCGGATGCCTGGAATCTTGGAGACACTATTCCTTATGCTTTGAAGCGCAACGCGAAAGATGTCATCTCGAACCCGGTATTCATTGATACACACTTCTACTGGGCGTTCAGTGACGCGGACAAGTCAAAGTCACCCCAGCAGATTATTGACGAGGTTCCTACTAAACTAGGGGAGCTTGATGGCCAAGAAGGAAGTATTCATGATCGTGGCGGGGTACAGATCATCGTCGGTGAGTATAGCTGTGTCATGGCGGGCGAGGTCTGGAAGAAGCATGGCGAAGGCCAGAGAGACGAATTGACAAAGTCCTTTGGGCAAGCGCAGAGCCGTCGGTGGCAACAAAAGACTGGCGGCTCGTTCTTCTGGACACTCAAGATGGTGAGATTCAGTATCAGTTCAAATGTTTCATGGCTAATCTGGTCCAACAGGACTGGGTACCGGGTGGCGAATGGGGCTTCATTGAACAAACGAAGAACGGAGCTATAAAGGCTCCTGATTGGTTCGATCTCTCCTTCACACAAGTCAAAGAAGCCTTGGCAAAGGCTACAGGTCAACGAGACTCGTTGGCACAGAAAGCTGCTGCAGAGCATGCTGCCTACTGGGATGGAAAACATCCTGATGGTACTTTTGAACATTGGCGCTTTGAACCTGGTTGGCAACAAGGTTGGGATGATGCCGAGAAATTCTTCACTGCGCGAATGAATGGACTGGTACCAAAGGGCAGCGGTGAAGGATGTGATCGTATCGGTGCTATCGAGGCTTGGACACTAAAACGCTGTAGAGAGTCTGGAATGGTGGACAGTGGATGGATGTGGGAATGGGAGGTGGGCCTCAGGAAGGGCATCAAAGACTTTGAGCAGACTGTCGGCATCTGAGTTCAGCAAACGCCAATTGAGGCAAGAACGACCTATGAAACTGTTGAGTATTTCCATAGTGTATGTTCAGCTTGCATCATTGGGGCGCAGATAAGTACGACTCAGCCTGCGAGCACCAGCAATCGGACTAAGTAAAGTAGGTTCATTATTGTTCTGGATAATGACACACATAGTTAGATGTTGTGATTGCAGTGAATAACGAGGCTCTAACAAAGCGTAAGGTAAGATGCCACCTACCCCGTTTCTATTACTGCAAGCAGCATATGGTGATCAGACTTGAACACTATTCGAGAAATATGCCACTGTGCGTGACAGTTAAGTACGACTCATTTCTTCGTTCGCCATCTGCTAGCGCTCACTCGTGCGAGGAGGCGTCGTGGCTGTCTCGCTCGTAGTTTGCATGATATATGTGGGGTTGAGGCTACAGGTGATGGATTCTGCTTATCTCGGCTCACCTAATTCAGATCCCAGACATATTCCTCTCCGCTGTTCTTATCCGACGTCAGCATAACTGTCAAAGCACGTCCAGATTATCAACAATAACGTTACTAGACTGTCTTAGCGAGGAAACCCGGGGGGTGTCAAGATCATACATACATGATGAGAACATATGCCTATGGACCGCTCAGTAGAAAGCAAGACATTAGGATCTTAAAGCTAAATGCAGGATCGATTCATGATCCGCTCAGAGGATCTCTGGCTCCTCGCAAAGACGATGAGTCTTACGAGGTCTTGCTCTGGGCTATGGAGGAAGGAAACGAGTCCAGTCGAATCTCGCTCCACGATGAAGGTGGCGTGTCTAATTTTCTGCATATCAAGCCAGACTTGGGGGCAGCGCTGAAAAGCTTGAGACCAAGACAATCTGGTAATCCGCATCGCAAGCTCTGGATAGATGCGATTTGCGTGAACTGGAAAGATATTCAGGAGAAAAATAAGCAGGTAGCCATGATGGCTCAGATACTCAGACAGGCTACGAGAGTATGCCTTTGGCTTGGATCCCATGATCATGATAGCCGCAAAGCAATTGAGTTTATGAGGAGTAAAATCCTAGATCTTGCCCGTATCGATTACCATTTCAGTCAGGAATCAAGCTTGGATTCCTGCATAGCATTGGCTAGTTTCCTCAACCGACCGTGTTTCGAACAGCACTGGATGGTGCAAGGAATTGTCTTGGCTCGGAATGCTGCAATATACTGCGGCGAGGACTGTTTGAGCTGGGACCAATTTGAAGCTGCTGTCTCACTGTTTCGCGTCAAGTACGACTCACTAGCTCGGCATCCGGCGTATAGTGCATATAACTTTGGAGATATCAGGGCTTTCAGTGCTGTTCGCCTCGTCGAGGTGACATCTACTCTTGTGGAGCGGTCCGAGTCGGGCGGTATGTTGTCTCGATCCCTAAGCATCGAAGATCTTGTTTTTATGCTCTCCGATTTCAAGGTGCGCGAGCCACATGACTTGATTTACTCCGTATTGGCCTTGGGCAGTGGTACAGGGCTTCTGGAATCACAGACTGTAAAACCTGTGGAGGGCAAGACGGGGAGCACTGATAGTCGGCGAAGTACGACAGTCATCGCAGTCGACTACGGACAGGACTTTTTTGAAGTCTGCAAGAAGTTCATGGCCTTTACTATCTCCAGATCTGGATCTTTCGATCTAATACTCCAGCCTTGGGCACATCAGGCTGCGAGTAGGCTACCAAGGAGCAAGAATACCCTTCCATCATGGATCACAATGACCGGACCGGTGCATCAAACTCAAGCAAGCTCTAGTGCATTTGGCGGCGTGAGCAGAGTTCGCGCCAGTGCTGATCCCTTGTTGAAGTCGGGTCTGTCGCGTTCATATCGGTATAAGGCCTCGTGGCAACGTGCAAGGCCTGCAAACTGGAGGTTGGGGACCGGCGACAAGGGCTGTAGCCTATTCGTGACAGGCTTTATTCTTGATGCTGTTGGGGAGAGAGGAGAGTCAGCCGGTGTTGGGATGCCGCCACCAAGCTGGCTTGAATTGACCGAGGACGTGGAGCGATCAGACGCATTCTGGAGGACTCTCGTTGCGGATAGAACCATGGATGGTCGCACTGCGCCGAAGTACTACTCTCGTGCATTCATGCATGCTCGACAGCCAGGTTTCATGGTGGATGAGCATGGCCCTTTCGTAGTAGACGAATTTATCCGGCGTGTACGTGCTGTCACCTGGAAACGCCGCATGATAACGCTCCGGAACGAGCACGAACAATTCGGCAAAGAAGCGGTCATTGGATTAGCACCTGAACGAACGTGGAGAACAGACAGTAAGATAGCTCACAACTCTGGCAATGCATCTGTACTTAACCCGTGTAGTCATTGCCATTATCGAAGGCTGCTCCGTACCGGTCGTTCTCCGTCATGTTCGTGGAACCGAAACGTACAGTCTCATTGGTGAGGCGTACATTCACGGGTACATGGACGGTCAAGCTTGTAGCTTACAGGAGTATGTTCAACGTGCCGAAAGTACGAATTATGCATTGAAGGAGCAGATGAAGACACGCGAGTTTGAATTGAGTTAGGTCTGTCATCGTCTACACCACCCCTTTCCCACAATTTTTGTGCCACGGAACACAATAACTCACTTGAGCCTCACACTCGGCCAAGTACACGGATAACTAAATAGAGTCGTAAAAGCTTTCGCTGCTATCTGATTCTACCAGTACCGTGTTCCAGTTCGTACCCCAGGCTCAGAGATTATGTTGGAGGCGGATGTAGGTGCTCATAACCATTACCCAGTTTTTTTCTTATACTGCCCTGTGCCCAGCCGTATGTTCTCTCTGGACCTCCTTTTTCTTCTGACTAGAGTCATCCGTTAGCCCTTTGGCTTCATTACACCGCAATCCATTGAGTTGCGATCTTGCTTGAGAATTCATCTTTAACAAATCACTGAGCCATAGCATCGGCAGGTATGTATATGATCCGTCATAGACAGAAGAGACTCTTCTTGTCTGTGTACTTAACATTAGGTTAGACGAATGCTGGCCAAGTTCTCAAAATGATATCTATCCACAAATGCCTTCGTATACGGATCTGACTCCAATTCTGATCCTGGCCAAAATGCACTGTATTTGTGGAAGCGACATAAGAACCTTGCCCACCTCCCACGGAATACAATATCCGTCGTCACTGTCGTTTTTCCTCTTTCTGCCTCACGCATGTACGTCATCGAATGCCGATCAGATCGTCAGGCCCGTTTGATTGCCAAGAAGGGGGCCGGAATTCAGCCTCGTCCCACGTGCACATGTGTACGCGTATAGCAGAAGCCTTGCTAGACCCGTCTGGGAAACGATGATCAAGCATTACAATTGGCAAAGAAAAAGCCAAGATTCCTCTTTTCTAGCTTGGAGTGGCGCGCTTTGCGAGGCGGAGTGGACGTACGGGCTGAATAGGCCGGATCATTTACTTTGGGCGGGTGTAGCCGGGGGGTTATTGTGATGACTCCGCCTGGTACCTCCGCAGTGCATACAGTGGTCGGCTTGGTACGGTGTGTGTCGTACGCGTATAAGCTGCCTAGTGTTATGACATTGTTTTGGGGAATTGGTAGCTTGGGGGGATTGCTCGTTATGGGTAGCTTGGGATGGACGCATGTATTGGTCTTGTGAAGTATAAAAGGCGGCATTCTGCACACGGGATGCCAGTGCCATCTTACACCCAGAACGCTATTCCAATACGTTACACAGTTCCAGTCTCTAATACGGGATGCTTCTTCAAACTCTCCTCCCCCTCGCTCCCCTAGGCGCACTCGCATACTCCTCTCTCCAAACACAAACCAACCCCCTATCCAAGCGCGACGACGAGTTTAACTGGACCTCAATCCACCCAACTCCCGACCTCCAATACCACGATTGCTACACCACATTCAAGTGCGCACGTCTACAAGTACCCCTCGACTGGTCCCTCGATGCGCCCACAAACCTAACGACCAACACCTCCTTCGCCATCGCAATCGTAACCCTCCCCGCAACCGTTCCAGCCACAGATCCAAGCTTCGGCGGCACCATCGTCACGAACCCAGGCGGGCCAGGAGGTTCAGGTACCGATTTTGGGCTGTCGTCGAGCACTCGCTTGCAGCAGATACTCGAGGGCGAGAAGCACTACGAGATCCTATCCTTTGACCCGCGTGGTGTGTATCGGACTACGCCGACACTCGATTGCTACGAGGGTGATGTTGCTACTCGGCTCGTCGAGATATTGCAGACGCGTGGGGTTGGGCGGATCGGGGAGGAGCCAGATGGTGTGCGCGATCGGTATTTGATGGCTCAGGCGGCGAGCAGGTTGTGTGAGGAGGTGACAGCGAATGTGCTACCGCATATTTCGACGGCGAGTGTGGCGCGCGATATGGTTGAGATTGTTGATCGTGTGGAGGAGTTGCGGCGGACGGAGACTAATAGGACGGCGACGGAGGTGCCGAGGTTGAATTTGCTGGGGATCAGTTATGGGTCGGCGCTGGGCATGACGTTCAGTGCCATGTTCCCGGAGCGCGTCGGGAAGGTGATGATTGATGGGATCCTGGATATTGATGACTATACTAGTGGTGTGAGTATGCCGTTGGCAGTTTCAAGGGAACTTTACATTGACGAAGTGTAGGAATGGAGGAAGAACCTCGACGATGCCGAAGCCGTCCTAGATGACTTCTATCAAAACTGTTTCGACGCAAATTGCACCCTACGCAATCCATCTGACAGCAACTGGACCGCAATCCGCGACCGTGTGTCGGCGTTCCTTACAGAATTCGAGCGAAACCCGGTGCCTGCTTTCAGAAACAAACAACCCACAGTCCTCACCTCTGACGACATGCGCGACCAGATGCTCCTCGCATTGTACGGACCAAACGTCACATCCGAAGGCTTGGCGCAAACCCTCTCAGATACCATCGAGGGGAACTACACAACACTTGCCACGGCCGTGCTAATCTCAGACGATGAACTCTTAGCCTCGCCATATCTCTGGAGCCGAGACGTGCGTACGGCTGTAGGATTTGCCGACGCAGTGCCTGAAGCCGGGAACAAGACTCTCGAGCAACGACAAGCGGACGTCCAATTCCTCACCGAGCAAGCCCCCACGTTGGCAGGCACCTTATGGCCGGATATCACGATCGCCATGAGCGGACGTACAGTCCGTCCGCGATACTCCTTCACTGGGCCATACACAGTTCCTGTCGCGGATCCTCACAATGCTTCAACTCCGGCAGCGCCCCTATTATTCCTGTCGGCTCGTCTCGACCCCGTCACACCGTTGCGAAATGCGCAGGCCATGGCAGAGAGATTTCCCGGATCGAGCGTGATGATTCAGGAGTCGGCGGGACATAGTGCTTTGTTCTCATCGGATAGTGAGTGCACGAATGCCGTACTGCGAGAGTTCTTCGGGACGGGGAAAGTACCGGAGATGAACTTTAGCTGTGAGGCTGATTGTAAGCCATTTGTGGGTTGTAAGACTGCAAATGGGACTTTTGTCGGTGAAGACCTGCAAGTGCGCAGAGAACCATTTCTACCGCGGATGATTTAGTCTTTCTCGGAGTTTGAGATGTGTCTAACGGTGTTGAAAGAAGTTATATTGTAAGATAGAATCTCATCTCAGGTCCCTGAATATATTATACTTAGACTCAAGCGAAGCACTGCAGTCGACAGCCGACATAAGTGTTGTCGAGTTCTAAAAGTTTCTCGTAGTTAGAAATAGTCGCCAATATACGAACGTAGAACATTCTGAAGTCGTCTTGACGGAGCGTCGTATCACTAGCTCTTGAGCTTTTCGCTACCAACATCTACGTTTAAATTCAGTAACAGGATCAAGATTAAAGAAGCCCATACCGCATCAGGGAGCACTTCATTCCTCTTTAGGTCCAATGAACATTTCTTTGGCTCACCGAAGTGCGGTGTCCGAGGAATGGTGTAATTATGGCAATTGCATTGAGCATGTCACGGTAGATCGACTCTTCAAAATGAGCGAAGTGGCCGCACTACTAACGGCCAAAGAATATCTTCTGTTGCTCTGTGTGTTCAGGAGGATAGGATGAATAGGGGACTTTTGGCACCCCATCATTCTTCTCCTTCCATTCCAGTCTATTAAGCCCGAAGCTTCGAAACGCAACGGCGGACGCAATACGTATCTCTCACGAGCCACGACTCGAGGAATTTCTAGAGGCTCAGCAACTTTGAATTAGGCAATGCCCGGATCCCGGATGTTGATGCAGCTTCAGCTGATAGAAGAAGGTGAGGATGCATCGTCACACAAGGAACCCTGGCCGTCGATCGGCAGTTAGGCTTTGGGCAAAGTCTAGACCATTTCTGGGATAGTGGCTATGGTGGATAATGTACATGAATCTTCGCTACATGCGAAAGGGAGAACATAAACAGGAATAGCTACTCATACTTAAACAAGACAACTGCTTCTACGCATTTGGTTTTCATGACCTCGTTTCGTCATGACTACTACACCCGGCGAAGAGCGCTGAACGATAAGAGAGATATCCACGGTGCAACGCCTCACACGCAGAACCTGGTCGAATCTGCGATGCATCCGACAAGCCAACAGATGACTTATTAATATGTCAAGGCACTTGTCGACGGACAACCAGACCAATTCTGGTTAATTAATGCACTGATCAACGTGGGGTCGGACTTCTAGCTTCCTTCGTCGTTTGCCTAGAACCTGACTCTCTTGGCATTCGGATGTCGCGCTATGTCTCCCCCACCCAAATTTACGTGAGACGGACATATTCTGGCATTTTGTCGTGTACTCGTCGCCAACGCGTTGCTATTGCTGATTACACGTATTCGGTACGTTATTGAGGCTATCTAGTAGTTAGTATACCTATTATATAATATATTTCTGGTGTTTTCGACTCACAGTCGCGTATAGTGGGCCTACCTGGTAAGGCGTACGACGCGAGTACCTATCGCCGAATTGACTTCCTCCTTGAGCACGACGTGCCCTCTACTATTACCGCAGAGAAGTCTCAAGTATCTGTCTCGACAGTCAATCGTATGAGGTATAATCTTGCTACGTATGGCCAGCGAAACAAGCCTCTATCCGCGAAGACGCGTGGTCGTGAGACTATCCTCAGTGATCGCGTAATGGGATTACTATTCGAGCACCTGCTCGAAGAGGGATGGCTATACCTTGATGAGATGGTAAAATGGGTATATAAAGAGCTCGAGATAGTAACCTCACCATCTACTATCTTAAAGCAGCTAAAGAAGAGAGGGTGGACTAAGCGTCTACTACAGCGTATTTATTCCCAACGCTCTAAGGTTGCGCGTCGTTCCTATCGTGAGGATATTACTCAGCTACCTGCTGATCGCCTTATATTTATTGATGAGGTTATCTTTAACGAGAAAACGGGATGGAGGAGACGAGGTAGAGCTCCTCGTGGAGAGACTCCTAGGCAATTTGCGAGGATCAATCGAGGCCCTACGTATAGCGCATGTGGTGCTATATCTGTTAATGGCTTCGTTACCTATGGTATTAAGAAAGGTTACTATAATAAGCAAGAGTTCATCGACTGGCTAGAGGTATACCTATTCCCTAGCCTACAAGAGAAGTACCCTAATCAGGCTATGGTTATCATCATGGATAATCTCTCTCTTCATACCGACGACGACGTTGCTCCTATAGTTGCTGCAGCTGGTTATACTCTTCGATATACACCGCCTTACTCACCTGATTATAATTCTATTGAGTTGGTATGGGCAGTCCTGAAGGCGTGGATTCGAAGGTGGTACCTGTTTGTACGTGAGTAGTCATACAACTTCGAGGAGTTCTTACACCGCGCCTTTAAGGATAGCTGCTGCGATCAGTTCGCTCTCCGCTTCTTTAAGTATGCGGCTAACGGTTGGTATATTGATGAAACGCTACGAGAGCGTATTATCGCGGATTTGAAGCAGTTTGAGCGTGGTAGAAGGTGTGGTTTTGCGGCAGAAGTGAGGGATATTAGTCAACTTTTTACTATACTCTTTACTGACTAACGTCACGTTGTTCTCGCTTATATTCATAGGGAGGAGATATACTCATTTATATATATACGTATTTAATATGAACTTCGTAGCATCTCTACTTAAAAACCTCATATAGCCCCAGAAGCGAGTCCATGGAGTGCCTTCGCTGCTTCCTCCTGTTCTACTACCTTAAGATTACCCTTATACTTATGAAGATAGCGACGAGCATCTAATACTATGCTTAATAGGACGCCATACGCCTTCGCTGCCTCATGATAAGCAGTTCCAGGACGAGTAATCTCTTTAACCTGCCTATACTAATAATAGTTATCAACTACGTACTCGCGGAGTAACCTAATCCCGTCCTTCGTCCTCGTATGAGTTTCCTTCACATGTCGCTATTCAAGTGCTAACTAAACCACGTTAGCCTGATGAAGTTCTGGTTGAGTAGGGCTACTATATGGTGCTGGATTTATCGTCTCTAGCGGCGTCGATAGACGAGGGCGCTGACTCTTAACCTTACGAGTCGGCGACGGTGACGTATAGGGCGGTGGAATACCTAATGGATATAGAGGCACACGTGATGCGAATACAGGATTAAATCTAGCCTGTTGAAGTTGAGCCTGCCTCATCTACTCATTAAAACGTTGACGCTCAGCCCTTTCCTCATCCTTTACTCTTCTATCTTCTTGACGGTACTAAAGCTCGTTAATCGCTGCTTAAACCTTCTGAGTCTAGAGTTGCTCAGTAAGGGTGGCGAGGTCGACTTGTCCAGATATACCTGTCTTCTTTACTGACTTTCTCTCATAGGGTTTAGATACGAGTTACTTTATTACACCTATAGGAGGATCCTCAACGGAGGCTCTAGTAATACCAGCAGTAATAGCGTGTGCCTATGGCTCTGTCGACGCGCGTTTAATCTTATAATGAAGACGACTAGATAAGGATAGGACGATAAAACAGTGGCCTCGCTCATTAGTACAACCAACGTCCGTACAACGGTAAGTTAACTCTATTATACTAATTATCTCGATCCGTTTTAGGCCAGCTTCCTTCCTCTACTAAGCATCGTTATGTATAATCGCGGCACGCCCTCTTAATAGAGTCTCTATATTCGGCGAACTTCGAAGTCCTGTACCTGGCGATGGTGTAGGAGAGTCACGGTGACGAGTACGTTGAGGTTGCTAAAGAGGTTTCTTACCCCAGGACTCGCACTTCACGCTATCCTTAAAGGTAATCATAATAACCTTATCCTTCGTATTGGCGAGCGAGTGGATCTCGTCTATGACTGTATAGACTCTCTCCCAGCTAATAATCGACCAGTCATTGATAGCGAGAGTCCTCCTCTGTTTCTTCCTCACACTAAGGCTATATACTACCTAGCGAGTATTAAAGGCCCAGTCGTTAGTACTGAGTCTCGTACTAATCAAGTCGTTAATCGTACTCTCGTACACTTCACGTTCAAACGCACATCGCGGAACAGTAGTGAGTTCATCTGCCGCCTCGTTCTTTCTATTAACACGTAATCTCTAGGACACGTGGATCTTATACGTCTCCTCTTCATCTTCTATAACCTCATCCCGCTCGCTATCTATAGAATCTACTAGAGGAGGAGGAGGAGGAGGAGGAGGAGATAGAGACGAAGAGACAGATGGAGGAGCAGGTATAGCCTCAGGAGGCGCCGAAATGTCGACAACACGTGGTTTTTTCGGCGCCGCGGTACGTTTACGAGCTTGTTTCTTCGCCATTGCCCTCGCAGTAGTAGCCTCTACTAATTTAGTAGTAGATTTACGCTGACGAGGAGGAGGAGGAGGAGGAGGAGGTTCGACTGACGCGTCTGTCGTGAACTGAACGCTTCGAGCGGGTTTTTTCGACCTGGAGGAGGGCATATGGGTAAAAAAAATACGTGGAGACTCAACACCAAGTATATTGACTAATATTCGATAGTATACGTATATTTAGACTTCATGTGGCGACGAGTACACGATAAAATGCCAGAATATGTCCGTCTCACGTAAATTTGGGTGGGGGAGACATAGCGCGACATCCGAATGCCAAGAGAGTCAGGTTCTAGGCAAACGACGACTTCCACACGACACGCGAAAGACTACTCATACCGCCCCTTATATTACAAGTCCAAACGATGAGCCGCATCGTTCTATAATAACTTCATGTAGCCTATGTCTGACTCTGTATAACGCTCGTACTTGTCCTCTCTAGTCTCGTCGCTTTGCAATGGGTTTCGATCTGACATTGCAGTGGAGCCCATGGCTCTTCGCAACCTTCATCCTCGCCGCAATCCCCCTCTTCCTCCGCGCTGTGCTCCTATCAAGCAAAAAACCAGACCCTAAACCAGCGTACATCACAACGAAAACTGCACTCAGCACAGAACTATCCACCGCTCTGCCCGAATCAGTCTTCTTCGGTGCACACCCTTCATTTCATGAGTCCATCTCCTCCTACTTCGGCCTCGCCCAACAGAGCGTCATCCCGGAATGCATCGTCAAGCCCCTAACCGCACAGGAAGTCTCCACCGCAATCAAAATCATAAAGCGGCACTATGACGAAAGTATCCGCGACGGCAGCCCGCATCCCACCTTTGCCATCCGCAGCGGCGGCCACAATTATGTCGTGACCGCCGCGACGGCCCGTGACGGCATCGTCTTCGACCTCCGCCTCCTGAACTCCGTTGAGCTCTCCGAAGACCGCAAGTCCGTTACTATCGGCCCGGGCGCGACCTGGAGCGCTGTTTCCTCCGTTCTGGATCCGCTGGGTCTTGCCGTGGCCGCGGGTCGGAATGCGGCTGTTGGTGTCGGCGGGCTCGCCCTCGGAGGTACGTCTTTATCCATCATTACCCCCTTTCTTAAGCATCGAAATATCAAAACATGCATAATGTTTCCACAACGCAGAGCAATACTAAGCCAAGACTCCCTATCCAGGCGGCATATCGTACTTCTCCCCGCGCGTCGGCTTCGCCTGCGATAACATCACCTCCTACGACATCGTCCTCGCAGACGGGACCCTCACCACTACCACCACCACCACCTCTTCCCCCACCGCCGACCTCTCCCGCGCCCTCAAAGGCGGCTCCAACAACTTCGGCATCGTCACCAGCCTAACAACCACCACCTTCCCCGCCGGCCCCCTCTGGGGCGGCTTCCTCTACTCCCTCGGCACACGCACAACCCGCCTATCCAGCATCCGCGCCATGCACGCCTTCATCGCAGCAACAGCCTCCACAAATCCCACCTCCACCACCACATACGACCCCGCCGCCTCCCCAATGGTATGCATAATCGACATCAACATCCTCGGCCTCACATACATCCCACTCGTAATCCTCAACCTCGTGCACACAGACGGCAAAGCCTGGCCCGCATGCTACGACGGCTTCAAAGCACTACCACGGGTGTTCAGCAGCGCGAAAGTGCAGAGCATCACGAGCGCGGCGCGCGAGCACGAAGGGCTGTGCACGCCGGGCAGCATGCAGTTTCAGGCTACGACGACGGTGGCGAATGATCTGGATACGCTGATGTATGTGCATGCGACGTGGGAGAAGTATCGGGCGCGACTGGGGCGGGTGAGGGGGTTGTTGTGGGAGTTTGTGCTGCAGCCGATGGCGGTGTCGATGATGCAGAACCGGGGTGGTGATCGTGATGGTAGTGGTGGTGGTAATTGTCTTGGGTTAGAAGATCAGCAGGAACCGCTTGTGATTGTGCTTATCCTTGCGGTGTGGCGGGATGCGGCTGATGAAGCGGTGGTGGAGGAGTGTGGGCGGCGGACGACGGAGGAGATTGACGCGTATGCGAAGGCACGTGGGACGGCGCATCGGTATAAGTACTTGAATTACTGCCATGGGTGGCAGGATCCGTTTGCTGGGTATGGCGAGCGGAATAGAGCGTTCCTGGTGGAGACGAGTAAGAAGTATGATCCGGATGGGTTCTACCAGAGAGCGCGTGTGGGAGGATATAAGCTGACTGACTGTGCCTGAGGAGAGGTGATGTGATGCGGTTGTTACTAGAGATCTTCCACTTGATACACGGTTACTATTGTAGATGACGAGTATGACTTGAGAATGACAGGCTAAAGACTGCAGCCACAGACAGATATGTAGGTAGTAGACAATCGATTTCTATTATAGCAAGTTTTGGACAATGTTAGAGCCGTCTGCCTCAGGCAGCGGCCTAACACTCAACATCTAAAGACAAAGCAGGTACAGTCCAGGGGTAGCAGTCTACACACCACCACAGCCTGGCTATGCGCGTAACACACCATACTAGTTTTTTCCCCAGTAGAGAGTGCAAAAACACCATGCCGCTAAAACTAATAAACAGGGTATGTTTGTGTAAAGGGAAGAAGATCTGAACAATAGAGGCAAACAAGGGAATGCGTGACAACAGAAACATTAGGAATAAAAATCACCACCGAGCGCCATTGCAATGCCCATCTAGTACAGAACAGCAGGAGGGTGGATTAGTATCAACAGAAGAAGGGATGATTATGCGGGAGCGGCGGCTTTGGATTTCAGGAGGTCAACACCGTGTACGTTGTGTCCAAAGTCAAGCAGCAGAGCGCGACCGTCTTGGCTCGTGCAGACGATCCTTCGGTAGTCGCTCTTCGCGCTCAGAATCCAGCTAGTGGTCCAATTCTCGAAGTGACACATGCGTTCACCGGTGGCGTAGTTGAACACTTGTATGCTCTGGTCGTAGGAGCCACTGACGACGAGATTGTTCGGTGCGTCTACGAAAAGACTGCGGACGAGCCCTGCATGGCCTTGGTACGTGTGAAGGCGTTCACCAGTCGTAACATCAAACTTGTACACAACCATGTTGTTACCGCCCGCGAGTACGTACTTTGCGTCGTCGGTGAATTCAACGGCAGCGAGGCCTCCTTCAACCGAGATAAACTCTTTTATACATTTTGCTGAGCTCAACTCCCAGAGTTTCGCTACACCGTCGCCAGATGCGGAAACCAGGAGGTTCCCTCTCATTTGCACAGCGTTGACTGGTCCTCGGTGGCCGTATAGCACATGCAAAAGTTCTCCGCTCTCACGACCCCATACGCAGATGGTTGCATCCTTACTACAGGAGATGATGTAGTTTGCATCCAAGCACACGTCGAGAACACCGGCAGTATGGCGCCGGAGGCGCCGGATCGGCCGGAAGGTCTTGACATCCCACACGATGCAAGTTGTGTCGCTAGATCCAGTGACCATGAGATCATCATCGTACTGCAGACAAAGTATACTTTGGGAATGAAAGTCGTCCGGAGTGAAAAAGATGCTGTCGCCATAGGGTGTACCGTTTGCACTCTCGACGTTGGAGTGCGTACATTCCACCATGGGTAGAGGAGGGTTGATATTGGTAGTTGGTTTGGCTGCGGGACCACCAATAACTTTGATGCACTTGTACGTATCAATATCCCAAACACGAATCGTGCGATCGCGCGAGCCCGTGATTATTTTCTTCTCATCAAATTGGCAGCAGTAGACTGAGTCCGTGTGGCCGTTGAGGTACACCGCTGAGGCTCTTTCACCGGCCCAACGTCTTTCAATTATACGGCGAGCCTTTGTCATCAACTTCCAATCCTGACCCGGAATGAGCTCTCCATACCCTAGACCACCCATCTGGATCGGCGTCGGCGAAACGTGAACCTTTGGTTCGTACTTTGTGCGAAATAAATGTTGCCAGGCGGAGGGGGCGGTGGCAAGAAAGTTCCACTGTCTGTTAACACTCTCGCATCGGGCAAGAGACTGAACATCGAGATATCCGAAAATTTCTAGCGATAGCTCGGGAGGAATTACACGAACAAAATCTACGACGGTTTAGCTGAAAGTTGATGGGTGAATGGGAGAAAGTCAGGCCTACCACAACGAATGGAATAGTCCACCTCAGGCATATCATCCAAATATACAGCACTCTCATCATCACGAGTAGATGCAGGCGACTGGGGAGGTAGCTGGAAAGATGTACCCGAGTCTGAAGCTCGAAGATTGGAGTATGCAGCCGCAGCAGCTTTGGCGGCTCGTCCGCTTTGTGGATCCAGATTAAAGGCAGGATGGATGTAGCTGGCTGGCATTGGTGCTGCAGGAGGATTCCAGCGTCCCTCCTCGCCGGATGGACCGGAAGCTGCTCCACGTCGCCTCTTGGACGGGGTAGCCATGTTCACAATTCCTCTGAAGGCGGACATCTTCATTCTTCCCTCGGCGACTTGCACGAGCGGTGCATCTTCTGGAGTATCGTACAATGCCTGAGCCGAGTCGCGAGTGGCAGTGTCTTGTCGGTTCTTGAAGTGTGAGGATACGTGCTTGCGTACCGAACGAGAAGTGACAGTCGAGGCTCTTCGCAGCAGTCTTCTACACGACGATGAAGAATTTTCAGTTACATCTTCGGTTTCAGTCCTTCGCTCTTTCTGTGAGTGTTGCTGGATCGCAGGACCTGTCCCGCGTAGTGAAGCCGAGGAAGCTGACCCGGCATCGCTGGAGCGCGAAAAGGTCTGCGAGATTGTCCGTTTGACCTGCGGCATTGTATCTTGTGTAGAGGAAGATTGTGTTGAGGAAGTGGATTTAGAGGCTGACGGACGAAGGCTCAAGGTGGTCGGGACTTTCATGTCGAAGAAGTGAGCAGGCGGAGGCTTGTTGTTTCGTGGTTCGGTTAGTGAATGAGTGACACAGGAGGCGCACGCGGCGAGCGAAGCAAGTGAATAGAGGCACAGCACCCTTTAAAGATGCGTGAGGGTATTAGGTAGAGTGAGGAGGCGGGTCGGGGTGTTTATGCGTCGTTGGAGCAGACAACAATGCTGCAGGGAGTTGGGTGAGATGAGGCACAAATCGCTGTTTGAGAATAACGTGGTCCTAGCGGGCGCTTTCTCACACAGGAAACTTTATGTTGCCCCAGGAAGGCTGGGACGACGGATATAGGACAATAGCTCGCGATAGGGACAAAACCAAAGAGAACGAGACAGGACACGAGACAAGAGAGAGGATGGCAGAGGAGGAGGCGGAGGAGGTCAGGTCGTGAGCGAGGAGTAGTAGTGTGTGGTAGATGGAGGAGGCAAATGAGAAGCGGAAAGCTTATTAGATATTATTATGGTGTATTATTATACGGAGGGTGACATTGTGCATGGGCATGCGGAAACGGATTACGGATGCGGCTATGGGATGGATGGATTGGAGCCAGTGTAGGAGCTTAGTAGGGGCCGGTGGATGTGATGCGTGACAAAAGTGCCCGGGAACGAGCGAGGAGAGGGTGGATGTCTGGCTGGCTAGCTGGCTGGCTCTTGGGCTCCTTGATTACCTTACCTTACCAGCCTGCCCCGGTCCCTGAAGGAAAAAAAAGGCGGCAAAGGGCCCAAATGAGGGGCCGACTTGCACGGCGAACAGCGGGTAAAAGTGGTGGTGGCTAAGTGGGCTCAGTGGGCTCAGTGTGGGCTGAATGGGCAAGTAAAACATCCAGAGATCGGCTGCCCCGACCGCCCGGCTTTAGCCCTTCAGCCTCATCGTACTGTACAATCATGCGTACAATACATACAGTACATACGATCACATGCCCCTCTGCACATCATCTGCCTCAGTCACTCTCTCACCGACCCTCACCTCCGCAACCAATCTTGTTCATTCCCGTCCTCTTTACCAACAACATCATCACCCACTCCAAGCAACCAGGCCCAGTTCTTTCAATCCGATTTGCATCTCTGCTACGGAATCCTCATCTCCTGTTGAATCCCATTTTTCGGTACACCTTCGCACATGAGCTGGTCCTCTTGCGCGAACTACTCCCTCACTTGACCATCTACTCTTACACTCTGACCACTCCGAGGTCCTCAAAACTCACTCACCTACCCTCCGATTCCGACTCCGCTACCTATCCCTCCGTGCTGCAGCTACAATCACCTCCTCAATTATCGCCGAGTCATTGCTGCACTCTTTGCATACCGTGGCTGACACAATGGCCACGCCGGACTCCCTCAGTGCCATACCTCTCTGGTACCGCCTCTTCTTCTTGTATATCGAGCCCATCTCCACCATTGTCGGCGCAGTATACGCTCAATTCTATCCTTTCACTTACCTGCAGTTGACACATGCACGATCCGCCCCTGCGTCCACTGATGCCATTCCCGAAGGCACACGCATCGTTCTGAGCCAACTTGCAAACCTATACTTCGCCTTCACCCTGAACGAAGCTCTCGTGCTACGCACCACCTCGAACATACGGGTGTGGAAGGTACTTCTTTTAGGCCTTTTGATTGCAGACTTTGGGCATATATTCACAGTTCACTCGCTGGGCGTGCAGATTTATTGGCAATTCTGGACATGGAATGCCATTGACTGGGGCAATCTAGGTTTCGTGTACTTGGGGGCTCTGTCAAGATCGTGCTTCATTCTGGGTGTAGGGCTGCCCACACGTCAGAAGAGCGTCAAGACTCGCTAGAATATCGATAGAGCGGCCCGCCAGAATCCCATGAGTCCATGAATGGTGTTCCATGTCATAAGCGGTACAAGTCTCAAGCGTTACAACTGCTGACTATAGCACTCGTTCTAGACCACCCGTTGTGATAATATGGCGTCATGGGACTAACATCATGGTAACTATGATTGCATCTGTGGCGTCGCTTAAACCTTTAATACACTTAGCAACGCAGCTTCGTATCGAGACCGGATGACTGTCGTGCACACCGTCAATTCCCCGAGGATCCGAGCCGAGACCTTGCCCAGTGAACCAGATCTTGAATGCAGGTTCGTGCTGTGTCCGTCTCGGGGTTTGACGCTGCACTGCTTAATTAGTACTGGTCAATTATTTTCTGATGTTATGTGCATTCGAAGTTGAAGCCTGAGGCTCTGCGAAATAATATTTGACTTGTCGCGGTTATTACAAGGGCGTCTTCCGCGAGTATTTACAACGGAGCACGTGAAGTCACATCGCCACACGAAACACGTTTCAACATGACATGATGTTGAAGTCGCCATAGATATTACCACATCAAGTTACCTTTTTGAGGCTCGTTTGGCTTCTCCTGTCACGAATGACTGCCTAGGGTCTCCATTAGAGCATCAAATTCAGTCCAAGAGTTGCCTTGCCACCTGTTCATTTCTCCACTCGACTCGTCCTCTCATGTATTTCGGTATGTCGGTCTTGCAAGGTTCTCGTTGAAAGTCGAATGGTTCGTGTATAGCTCGAGCAGCCCGGCCTTGGGTCGGCTCACCATGTTGCAGGGAAAAGGGTACTTCCTCTGACAGTATAGCCCACTCGACATCACGCACTCTATCCGAGTCTACCGCCTCCTCAAGGACGCTTCAAGATTCTCTCGTTCCACCATCGCTCCCGGTCCCATCGAAATGTGTCTTTGGTCATGGTCATTTTTCTCACCTGCATACAGCCACAGCAATAGCCACAGCAGCAGCACAAGACAGCACAAAACAAGAAACCATGACATCCGCATCATACATTTTTCGGTATTCTGTCTCACGGGCTATGCCTTTTTCCTCTTCTTTTTTGCAGACGTCCCCCTTTTTTTAGAAATGAAAGCGTCGAGAACCCCCCTTTTGAAGTTCACAAATGCAGTGCTGAGATGGACAAAACACGACTGTCGGGTTGCGTTATACTACATACACACGTATTAATCACACATGTAATTGTGCGAGTGGAGCTATATATGTCAAGATACGTTCCTTTGGAGGTGGGATATGTGAAAGATGTGGTTAGGTTGCTCTTGTGTAGAGTATTTGGGGGTTCGTCGCACTGATTATATAGTTATCATAGGGGACGATGAAGATGCCCCCATGTGTATCGAGCGCCAGACTTGTCATGGTTGATATATCTGCTGTTGTGCTCGTGAGTGATAGTGCAAGGTATTGAGGGGCACGTATGCATGTATGGGCGACTGAACAGAGTATGGTGTACGACCATATGTCAAATGAATATAAAAAAAAACCAAATCGAGGTAAAGGCATGATGGATTTTCTGGTGCGTGTTAGTTTCGGCGCCTTTGATCAGCTCTTTTGTCCTGCTTTATCATGTCTCGGCTTCTGCTTCGTTGCTGTCTTCACTCATTCACCGTTCGCCTTCGCCTCCCTAGCACAAAACACAACACCACCAATCAACTCACTCACCATCTCCATATCAGTCATATAACCCATTCGATAACCAAACCGCAAACCTCGCTCTGAGCATCCACCCACAACTCCCAAAACCTTGGAATCCAACCACACGAAACCGAAAAAACAAAATCACAAACACAGATCCTGTCACTACAGGTATAATGACAGCACTTCAAACAGTGCTACTACAATACCATACTATGCTGAGGCTAGTGAGGGCTTGCATTCTCTGATAGAGGAGGGGTGTATAACAAGGGGCTATATGCAGGGAGAGCGAGGATAGTGCTGAGTGAGCCTGGCCTGGACAATTGTTTGTCCTGTGCGAGGAACCAGGAGACATGAGGAGGAACCATAAGATTCTAGCAGATGCTATGGAAAGTGGACATAAGAGACGTGTAGTTCGGAAGAAGAAAGTATATGAGTATGTATGCTGAAGACGATGGAAGATATTATTTGTATCAGAAAGAGCTGTTGCTGACTTGATAACACACACTGATAATGCGAGAAATATTTCCAATAATACCCACAAGGAAGATATTAGCACCTTTCAGCAGTCGACGCTGTACTGTGCGTACTGCGACGGAACAGCTTTGATCCCAGTTCTTGAATGGTCCGATGGATGGTAACCTCGACCATCCGAATGGATGAGGTAGCCCATCTAGACGCACTTCAAACACGGTTTGGAAGTCCTAGTGCTGCTGCGGCCCTATAGTATCGTCGAGCACCGTCGCACTAAGCATTAACGCCATGTACGGTCTCGAGGTTTGAGGTTCACCTCTTATAAAAATAAACATCCGCGAACGGCTCGGGTCGTCAGCTGGCGTCGACCAGCGCGCCTTCCTATGCGTTGCCATCCTAAATACTACTATGGGGTAGAGATCCCACTACTTATATCCTTGGAGAATGAATCAGTTCTAAAGAATAAATTCTGCTGACCGACACCAGCCGACCATTCTTGGTATAGACTCGACGCATTAGCACCTTCAGACACCCCGAATGACTACCTACTAAACCCGCCAGAGAATCCAGATTTGGCGAATACATTTTCCGCGAGCCTTATGAAATGAGAGGCGAGTTCTATTACCTAGCACAGTGAGAGTTTAAATTCGGGAGTCCTAGGACCTAGGAGTCCATCAAGTATGCTAGAATCTCCAATATCAATAAGAATGAGCTTGCTATAGGAACCGAGGAGGTAGACGAAGACTTGCTCCACTAGGTTTCCTAGCTCGATGTTAGCCGTGTTATTCGGGATACAGACTCCAACGGATTCCAACTAGGAACTCAATGACAAGTCTAAATAGCGAGTATCGGCGGAAGGCGACGAATGCTGTCTAAAGCGACGTCTGAAGTCCACACTCTTACCGACGTATAGGTACGTCTTATTTGGCTCCCAACGGGTGACGGAGACTAAAGAAATGTAATGGCGTATATATGTTCCACCAATGCCAGAGGCCGACTGGTTATTAATTTGAAACCGAGACTCGTTGAGGATGTCCGATATCGTAAACCGAGGCTTATTAAGAGCCTTGTACAAGCCAGCTTACTTAATACCCCGAATGAGTATCTCTGTGATTAATGTAATGGTAAAGCTACCATGCTTTGCTCTTCCTTCGAGTAGTATCCTGATTTCATCAGTCATGTATGGAGTAGGGTCGCTGTCAATCTGCTGCAACAGTTGTGTTATAGTCCTCCCAAGGACACTCGTGTCTTTGGAGTTAATCAGGGGTCCTGGAACCGAGCGAACCGGGGCGCGAGACCCTACTAACTTCATCTTGAAGGTCCATTCATTCATATCTAGCTTCCGTATCTTTCCCTTGTCAATCACGCTCGCTGGCACCCACGAGTTTCCCGACCAGATCCCTTTCGAGTATCCTCCTGTCACGCCTTTGATAAAGGTCTTCACGTAGGAGGCCCTTTCTTCAAGTAGAGAGCCTTGCATGGCCTTTCTAAGCTTCGTATTTTTGCTGGAGTCATTGTAGTCTTGGTTTACCTTACAGCCATACTGCTATATAATCCGTTTGTGAGGGCCTTCTCCGGGTATCGGTTTCCCATCCATCAAATCGCTAAAGTCACTTCTGAAGTTGGCTAGAATGCCCACAGACTGGTCAGCCGGCACGTGCGGCATATTTATGAGGTGTAGGGAGTTCTAGAGTCTCGTAAGTAGCATGTTAAAGACAAACCTAAGCTTCCATACCTGTATGAGAATTGAGAAGCCGAAAAATAGTAATCAAGGTACGGATTAGAAAGTAGCAGGGCTTAAGAAATAGTAAGGCTCAAAAGGCTACGAGGCCTAAGAAGTAGTAGCTCAGAAGAGATAATAAAGACCGAGAAGTAGTAAGGTAGAGTCGAGCGGAGGTAGAAGTAAAGGTAAGGTAGAAGTTAACGAAGCGACGTAGAGTAAGGTAGAACTAGCTCTAATAGAATCATAGAGGCTTAAGAAGGAAAACGAATATTAATGTAGAGTATATATAGAAACTAAGTATAAATTACTAAATGATTCCGTAATAGATATATATTCTTTATTAATATCTTATAACTTTAAAATATTAATTACCCTATTTTTAGAAAGTTTTAATAACTATGTATTATACTAGTTAAACTTCTAGAGCTCTATAGACTAATTTATAGATAAAATAAATATAATATATTAAATATCTCTCTTTAGTCATACTAATAGATAATTAAATAGATCTTTATATATCTATAAGCTTAATTCTTAGTTATAAAGTCTATTTAAAGAGATAGAGAAGAATCTTTAAATATTCTTAGAAGTTCTTAGAAAAGAATCTATATAAAAATTATATTAGGTTCTAGAAAAACTATCTTATATCTCTTTCTAAGAAATTAAACCCTCTAATTAAAGACTAAATTAGATATTTAGAGCTTAGAGATTTATAGAATATATTATCTTATTACTTTCTATAAGTCTCTATAGATATTATAATATATAGACTTCTATATAGAGATATAGATATAAATCAACTATAAAAGATCAGGGTAAGAACACACGCCTGAAATGGAAAATTCTAAGTTTGTCAGCTTCTAGCAAAACGACTGATAAGACAAGCGTGTGGCTAAAAAGCTACGAGGTAACTACGCGCTTGGTATAATTTTCTTAAATCTATACACTCGGTTTCTCATTTTCGATCTTATCATTGCTATACCACGAGCAGCGATGATCAGGTATTTTCCAACAGATCAGCCATGGTTCACTGTAAACTTGACGCAAGTCGCGAGGACCCAGCCAGGCGCCTGTCATGAGGTTCAAGAAAGAGAGTGGCGAACATATGGGCCACCGCCACCAAATTTCTGGGTCGCTCCCATGGGTTCACCGGATGCGACTCAGCAAAGATACTTCGTGTATGGTGACCGTTCTATTCAGGCGGTAGATGAAGGCTTGAAAGAAAACGCTCAGAAACCAACAAATGCAGTCTACACGTCCAAGTTCGAGGGTAGGGAGTTCTCCAAAGGATTTTCCAAGTTTCACCCATGTTCACCGGAAGGGCGAAACTCTTACCCTCCACCGAACTTCCAAGAGGAGATGATCTTCGATGTTGAGGATACACCAGGATTCTTTCATCCCCCACTTAAGTATGTTGCTTCTGAAGTGCAATGGAACTTCCATGAAAAAAGATGGAACCATGCTTTATCGGCTGCTATGACAGATGCTGGAGAGCCAAAGCTACACCGGAGGCGGTATTGGAGAGATCCGAAGCATTACTGTCTGACGCGAGATACACGGGAGCCAATTCGTTATGCCTTTCCCATCCCGCTAATCGGGATACAGTCATTTTCAGCGGTGAAGTGGAAGCTTCTTGTGTTGCTCGCTCTTGTGGTTTCAGCCTAATCATCATTTGCTGCTTGACTCGCGCTGAGGGCATTGGCTGGCAGCGTATCTATGACATGGAAAATCGCCCACGCATCTATTCACGCTGGTCGACCGGACCTCAAGCAACGGGAACACCACTGGTACTAATGTGTTTGCCAAGTACACCCTTATCACACGGAGGCGGCAAGGAGATGCGCAACGTATTTGCCACAGGCTACGCTTTCCGCAAAAGGATGACTGACTGGTTTACCATGAAGCCGACACCAAGGTCAAGCTTTGAGAAGATACTCAACACAATAAGTCATGAGTAACTATAGACTTTATGATTCCCTTCTACTACTTATCCTACCTCTTACATAGCTATACCGATAACGATGTTAGAACTCTCAAGAAACAATTCAGCATAAGCGTAGAGTGTGCAGCATTAGGCAAGTGACCGGTACTAGGGTGGTATGATATTATATTACCGCTTATAGAGGTTAATATAGCTATAAGCGAATAGACTTAGTTATCTCCTTATAGTATAGAGAATAAGTAAGCCTATTTATATTAGAGGGGTGAATATTTAAATAGCTAGTAGAGCTTTTTAATATTTATCCGTCTCTAGTATCACGGATAAATATAGTAATTAACTAGATTCTAGCCCTCTTTACTATGTGAACGTATAAATAAATCGCCCTTTAGGCTTACTTCCTCCGGCTAGAGGGTCTTATAATATATATACTAAAGGTCTTAAATATATATCTATATTATGGAAGTATATTTCTATATACATTCTTTTAAAGCTTATATGATATAGAGAGTTCTTCGAACTGGTCATCTGTATATATGAACGTCCGCTCCATGATTACTCTCATGTTTCTCTTTCGATGCATGTTCATGGTACCTATGTCGAACGGAGGAGCAACGTCTGGAATTCGTACCTAGATGCTCTTTCCGACGTCGTTTTGCGGCCATATATAGTGTTCTGCTGTGTCTCCGTGAGGCCTACCGAATATAACCACACGCTTACATATCTCATAAGATCTGTACCGACAACACATCTGCCCAGTAACGCCAGGGTAAGGACCTGTTTCAGACCCGCAGTATAATCAGAACGGACTCAAACCAGGGGACACCTCTTGCTCAGTCAAACAAATCTACCAATTCAAAGAAGAAATGAGGAATATACAAGCCCACTTTATTCCGGCCTGCCGCATGTCATGCGAGCGTTACACGGTTACACCCCTAGGAAAACAAGAAAGTCCAGTTCAGAATCCGAACAATTCCAGGGAAAGCCCCTGCACAACGCACTATGATCCTAGACTCAAAAAGCTCAGCGGAAGCATTGTATTGTCTTCGTGAGAACAGTGCACGGTACCTGGCAAAGGATGTACATAATTCACTTTGCGACCAAGTATATACCATAGGTAGTGGCTGTAACGCACAAAGTAAGGTACACTGGACAACGTTGTGGTCGTGTGTGTCATGCCTAGCTCCGGGATGATATCTTGTCTAGCCTCCTGATTCATAATTTTTGTGTTTGCTATGTTCCCGACACCCTTTCTGTTTGACGAGTAATGTAGTGCTATGGAGGAGCATAAGTTGCAGGTCTATCTTTCGTAGTAGTTTCTGCTCTTCTTGTGCTGACGATGCTGGACTGGGTCGACGAACGGAGTCCTAGATGTGAGATGGGAACGGTGAATATCGTGTCGTAGATAGCTGTGACAACGGAAAGTTACCAATCAGCATTGTGCGCATTCCTATGTTGTTCTGTACTATATATCTGTCATCTTTAAGACCTGCAGTGGTATTGCAGGTGCCTTTCGGTCCCATATCATCTCTAAAACGACTGATATACGTGGCTAAGACTTTATCAATATAGCTATATGGGCCTACCTTCTACAGGACTACCAGAAAGTTAGCGGTTACTAGTGGGCCATGCCTGTTTCAGACGAGGCTGGCAAAGAGCGGAGATGGCGGATGCAGAGATTCGGTACACTAATCCCAGCCAGACGCATGGCAGAACTAATATCCACCTATAGTCTAGGCAAGTCTTTGTCGCATTTTGGGCAAAAAAAGAACAGTGATATTCCTTGCGTGAAAACCGCTTTGTTAGTTGCCGCGTACAGGTACCGTACCGTACCGTTACCATCCATTCAATTCACTGCGCCGAAATCGCTCTGCCCCCTCGTCTGAATCTTGGTAGTTGGCGCACGACCCCCTTGATCTCGTGCCGTGTCCTCGCATTCTCCTTCAGCGGCCAACTAACAAGCACTTCAAACACCTTCCGAGTCTGGACTGCCTTCAGCGGCAACAGCATGTCGTCTTCAGAATCCGTAAAGTAGCCCTCCGGATCCAAAACTCCCCATAGGCGCATACGACAGAGCCGCACTCTCAGCACGTCGAGGTTGGGCATCCTCCCAAAGGCCCGCCAGACGCATACCCAGTGCTCGTCCACATATCGCCACGCGTGTTCTGGTCCTGGGTTGTATTTGGGGACTAGGTTAATGCTGTCCCATTTGAATGTGACGTGTCGGATGTTAGCAAGGCGATTGGGAATTATGGCCTTTGGCAGGCTTGAGACTGCGCGGGATGCAAACCAGTAATCCCAGAACTCGATATGATTTGACCCATATACGTGTGGTATGGCCTCATGATATCTGGAAATTTAGGTCAGCACGCTTGCTTACCATTGCGAACCGTCCGAGACAGTACATAATCTAGACATATAAAATGGGCGAATAGATGACATGAACATACACTCGTCGACAAGTCTGTAGAATCGGCAGAAAAGAGAGACCTGCGGGATCAAACACGCACAGGAAGCCCAACTTGCAGGCCTGCTTTGTTTCGCGAAGCACTGGATCGTACACATTTTGACAAACACCTGCTATTAGCTTTCCATTGCAAAGACGAAAGTGCAAACGGCGATTGCCAAGTGCATAGAACCATATCTGATTCCTGACCTCGGGAGGCAGCTTTTGGAACAGAGGAGAGCTCTTTTGCGGGTTTGTCCGCTTCAACTGCTGGGTAGATGTGATAGAGAGTTTGCGCTTTCGCTTTCGTGGCTGTTTACGCTTTGACGAAAGTGCTGTACCGGGCGGTGGCATGACTCCCTCTGCGAAGGCTCGTGTCTGGAATCTGTCATAGAACGCTTGGATGGAGTGGCCCAAGGATTGGATGATATCGATGGGAACCCTCATTATACCAAGGATTCGGGATGTGAGCTTGCAATTTGGTGGTCGCAAAGCCATGGTGGTCGTAAAGGGGATGATGCACCGGGGCGACGGAGAAATGGTAAGTGCATCAACGGGCTTTCACGCTGTGAATATATCAAAGAGTGAGACAGTTCTATGTTTTCTAAGGACTTCTTTTTAGGTCTACGGACGTCTTATAACCGCCTGATCCGTAGTATTCCGGTGACTGATACGTCTAGCAGACATGCAGTGGCTGGATGGCGCCATATTATCGAGGACGAAAGGCTTTGCCGGTGCATAGGTGGCTATGTTTTGTTTCAGAGTACCAGTCCATAGTATTCCGGACCATGTCAGGCTCTTGGCGACCGGCTACGAGATTTGATAGATAGATAACAGCACGGTGTTACTGTGGGTAGATAGATTGTGCTTTCGCCAGGACTTGCACCCTCGAGATCTATCGATTTGTGTATCATATGACGTGACAATGTAGCTGGGATCCCATATTGTCTAGGCGAGACAGATTTACACAACTAAAGGAATTGATCGAATGTTGATAAGAGGATGAAGGAGGAAAAGGAGCCGACGGTTTCGTTCACCAGAGGTCCGTGCACCAGCCCACCACGCTTAAACCCGATGTGTATTAAGCTTATTTGCACCACATCCCAACTCCCTGAACCATAACATACACACAAGATGACAACAACGCCTGGGTCTACCACAAGCTTCACATCTGTCCCAATACTGGACCTCGCACAAGCCAATGACCCAGCAGCGAAGCCAAATCTCTTGAAGCAGCTTCGCTTCGCTCTGACCGAGATCGGATTCCTGTATATCAAAAATCATGGCGTTCCCAGCGAAATCATATCAGATCTTGTGCACACAATGTCAAACATGTTTGACTTATCTCAGGTTGAAAAGTCTAGGGTAGCTTTGGAGAACTCGCCGCATTTTCTTGGCTATAGCGGCGAAGGCTCTGAGACGACTGGTGGTCGGACGGATAATAGAGAGCAGTATGAGTTTGCGACCGAGCTTGAGGATCGATGGACAGAGGGAATGCCATTATATGAAAGGCTGAAAGGGCCTTGTCAAGTAAGTGCGCTTATCGTGTTGTTTTTTGAGCGACAAGTTTGTGATGATACTCTGCTCCTCCTCCATGCAAGATAGTTTGCCGTGCTTTATATCAATCTATGCCATATCCTCAACGCCAAAGTGGTCCACGAATGGCTCGTTCTCTGGGCTCACAACATCCACGATTTTGACACCTAGCAGTATCCAGCCACATCGCCACCAAGCCAACCCATCATCGAGTCATACATCTCACACATCACCACTCTCTCAACCAACTTCCTCACCCTCGTCGCACAATGCCTCGATCTCCCACCACTCACATTCCACTCCTACCTCTCCAACCAACACCGTCTCAAGCTCGTACACTACCCACCATCATCCACTCCCTCCCAAGGCGTCGGACCACACAAAGACTCCTCCGGCTGGTTCACCTTCCTCCTCCAAGCCTCCCCCTCTATCGGCGGCCTGCAGGCACTCAATAAAGCCGGCCAATGGATCGACATCCCAGCCATCCCCGACACATTCGTCGTCAACATCGGACAAGCATTCGAAGTCATCACGCACGGGGTATGCAAAGCAACCACACATCGCGTATTAAGCCAAACGGCGGAACGCTACAGCGTCCCGTTCTTTCAGGGGGTGAGGCTGGATCTGACGAAACGGGAGGCGTTGGACGGGCTGCGAACGCACTTTGAGACGTGGGAAAGCAGAGGCGGGGAAAGCGCGGAGGGAAGGGAGATCGATAGTGCGTTTCTGCAAGGTCGATATGATACGTGGGGGGAGAGTCAGTTGAGGACGAAGATTAGGAGTCATAGGGGTGTCGGCAGGAAGTTCTATGCGGACGTATATGAGCGCTACGTTAACGAGGATTGATATGAGTTATGTGATGTGGGTTTCTTTTGACAGCTTCTACTTCTATTATAAGTGCTTAATGGCGTGTACTGAGGGATAGTAGAGTAGATGCATGACAGCAGGAATGCAGAGAAGGAACTTGGCTTGGATGTAGCTACTAGTGGGATTGGAGGCCGTTAGAAATTATGATCCGGGAACATACTACCATTGGATGTATTCATAGAAGGACTGCGCCAGACCGCCCAAAGAGCCCAGTAACAGAGGCTTCCACATAATCACACCAGGCATCCATCATGCACAACAAAGAGTCAATCTCAATCCAGCACCTTCAAATGAGTAACATAAAGAGTAACAGCAGACGTCGAAACCATCCCTCTGTCCCACGTGATCAAAAGGTCCTCAAACCACAGAGCCCTAAATCCGATACTTGTCCTCTTCGATACGATACAGGTCGGACAGTGCGTCAAGATACATCTCGGTCGGCTCAGTGGCCGCTACCGACCACAACACGGATACTAAAGCCTTCAAATACACGCTTGACCGGACCCGTGCGACGGATTAGATGATCTGAGACTGAGATGTTGCACTGATGGTGCCGCGAGGTAGAAGTGGTGACACGAAAAAGCCGTACACGTAACGCACGCAGATGACGAATTATAGGCTAGTAAAAGATAACGCTGCAGTGCACGGTACTAAGTGGAAGTACTTAGCAGGCTGTGTGCGCTATATGCCAATGGTGAAACGAGGCTGAGATCAAAGAGGGCGCCCATTTGGATACACACGACATTGATTGGAAGCTCTGACCATGAAATATGACACGAGCGTATGACCGCATTTAGCATTGCCTCATGAGGCCACAATACATCAATCATGATCTCTTAAAATTTGCTCTTGAAAGCTGCAGTCTCTACATACACAGATGATGGATATAGTGCAACGCACAAGCAACGCTAAGATTGATATCATTGAAACTAGAGATTTGGGAGCTAGTCGATGGATAGCGACTTGGTTTGGGGAACATAGAAGGCTGTGCGGCAGGTAGCCTCGGAATTGGAGATCGCGGATGTCGGAGTGGACAGAACATGAATGCGCTCTGAACGAGTGGGGGCCGATTCGAAGCGGGAAGGAAAGTTGCCGAGGATGTGGGGAAAGTAGTGAAGATTCGGGGGGAGCGCAGTCGTGAAAGGAAGTGATCCATCCGGTAGGGAGCGGCGGAGGCAGGAAGATAAGGTCATGGAGCTTAGATGATGCGGCTACCGGTAGTGGGAGATTGTAGACGCCAATATTGAAGTGAATAAGTCATGAATTTTGTTTCGCCTAGGATTCAAAAGGTGGTGTAAGCCGGGACGAGGTAAAAGGGTGCGGATCGTGGTAGAGAAGAGTAATGTGTTTTGGTTGTAACACGTCCTCGAGTCGCTCATGGTCTTCACTCCTGGCTTCCCTGGCTGCGGCGCATCTTCTCGGCTTCCAAATTCTCGTACAGCAGGTAAAGAGCCTTCTCGTTGCTGCTTGCGCTACCCGTGATGGTGAACATGCGCTCACCAGAGTCATCATGTGGAGCCTTGGCGATGGAAATACGAGCTCCAGAAGATTTCCGAATCTCGCTAATCTTGCTTCCGCCTCTGCCAATGATACAGCCTACCATGTCGGAAGGGATGCTGATGTTCTGCGTCTGGATTTCCTCGCCATCCTCGGTGGTAGTGGGTGGAGGAGGCCTGTTGGCAGCATCAGAGGCAGAGCGACGGTTATAGGTCGGTTGTGGATCGCTGAAGTCGGCGCCATGTCCCGTGCGGTTGTAAGAGCTCCTGCCGCCAGTGGGAGCGGCCCCAGTTGCGGGACCACCGTTGCTGATGGGCCCAGCTCCAGCAGAGACTCTAACAGCGGGGTTGTACAGAACAGTTCCATAGCCGCGCTCGCTGTCGTCAATCAGACACTTTCCGATCTCCCAGACAGCTTTCTCGATCCCCTCTGGAGTGCCTTGTACCTCGACAACGCGTTCAGTGGATTGGGGAAGCATCTCTTTCTGGGCAACCATACGGACACCAGAGATATCTTGAATCTGCTTGATCTTGAGACCTTGGCGGCCAATGATAGTTCCCATCTGATTGTGTGATATGAGAAGGCGCACAGCTGAAGAATGTCAGTGCTGACCTGTTGGATATATGATGAGGCTCAAGGACACTGCGATTACTCGGAGAGCATGAGCCACACGTTAATCTTGGGACGACGTACGATGAGTTCCATTGTTGTTGATGATCCCACCCATACCCATCTGAGGAGCTCCATCAAGCAGGCCCTTGGAAACGATAAGATAAGCCTTTGCGATACCGCGAAGAGCGCCAGTGACGGTAAGAACGCGGTCGTGAACACCAGGTACGACCTTGCTAACGCCAGCACGCACTCCAGTTTGATCGCGAAGATCAGCTACATTCTTGCCAGCCTTGCCGATGATGACACCAGCTTCCTTGGAAGAGACAATGGCACGGAGAGTCAGCTGCGACTCGGCGTACTCCTCCTCGGTGCGTTGTATAGGTTCTCCGTCGGGCCCTTCATTGGTGTTCAAGCGACCGAATTGTTGGTTGAAGTCTCCAACATCTTGGGACGAGATACCTTCCTCAACAGACATGATAGAAGGGACGGGAAGAATTATGCTGGGCAATAGGTGTCAGCGCGAAGCTCGCACAAAGCGCGCTCAGTGTATCCGAGTGGACGCGTGAAGAGGGCCATGAGGGAAAGAAAAGCTCAAACTGATTGAAAGTAGAAAAAAAGCTGCGCAATGGATGGAGACACATCGCAATCAGTCCAAGATATAATTTGATCCATTATAGCTTGGCTTGGGCGATGAAAGATTGCAGTACTCACAAGATTGGTGCGGAAGTGGCGGAGAGACGACAAAGGTGGTTTGGGAGAACTGGAAGAGGTCGGACGAAGAGCGAGCAAGAAGAAAGGTTGGCGGGAAGAGGTGGAGAGGTGGAGGAGTGAGGATGGGTGATGGAGAGAGGCGGACGGGAATGCGAAAGTGACGGTGTTTGTTGTGATCAAAGGTAGACAGAGGAAGGGTTGAGGGTTGACTGAGTGGAATATTTGGGAAAGAGGGGACGCCGCTTCCACACAACAGCTGGCGAGTGGTGCGGTGGAGCTTTAGCGAGCTTTTTGCGGGTGGTTCACAGGGTCTGATGGATCGCCCGCTGTGATTGGCGTTGGCCTGGACATCCGCAAATTGATACTGTAGATTATTCTCTATTATTATTCCTTGCGGTTCAACACGCACACTTTTTTTTGCTTGCATCTGAATTTGTGTTCTTGAATCCTGCACTGTTGGACCTGCCCAGGAGGTTGATTGAGGTTGAGGTTGACGAGCACGCAGCAGTCATGACGCCGAAAGCATTCCTCCTGCAAACAACGGGGCTTGCAGCTAACTCCCACTTTCTGATCCTCCTCTTACTTTCAGCCTCGTTCTCCGCTTCTACGCCTCTTCATCGGCTTCTCCTCCTCCTCTTCCTTCGTCTGTTGTGGGGAAAAGCAAAAGCAGAAGCAAAAGTAGCCCGAAAACATGCCCCGCGCTAAGACTAAACCGAACTGAAGCTATCCCGCATGTAGCTACTACTCATACACTCCGCTGGAATGTGATAAACATTCCATAGGATGTATTACATCCCATCTTCTTGGCATTGAATGCGACTCGCTCGATCCCACTCCAGACTACTTACACGACCTAGATTAACTCGTGCAGACCGTCACTGGATCTTGAGATCTAATCTGTCAATGCCATGCCTCAAAAACGACCTTTTGGACCTTCATGCTGTCAAAGAGCTCGTACCCCTCTACGGCCTTGGAAAGGGGCATGATGTTTTCGGACATGAACCTGATCATCTATGCATCAGTAGTTGCATTCGGAATCTGCAGGATACTGCACTCACCCTAGCAGATGCTGCTTCTTCGCTAGCTGCTCAAGCGCTTCAGGAAAGATTGATCGCACCGGGCAGCGACCCATTTGTATCTTCAAATTCTTGCCATAAGCCTGATTGCCAGTCCACGGGATCTATCGATGTTTAGCATGCGGGAGTTATACATGCTGACACACTCATCACTGACCTCTCCGTTGTGAACGCCAACACTGCTGATGACACCCCAAGGTCGCAGAATCTCAAAGCCCATTTGCAGCGCTGGGCTCAGACCGACCACCTCGATTACAATATCGGCCCCCCGACCATTCGTCGCCTCCTTGATACGCCTATCAAGCCCTGCCCGGTCAGTCTGGAAGTTGAGGGGCTCTGCACCCAACGACTTGGCCAGGTCGAGTCGTGACTGGACGGAATCAACAGCGAATAAATGCTTTGGCTTGTGGTCTTCTGCGTTGATCAGGGCACAGAGACCAACAGGTCCGCAGCCGATTACAACAACGGTCGACTCGGCAATTTCGTCTTTGCTGAGTCCTTTGAATGCATTCTTCGAAGCGAAATAACCGGTAGGAAAGATATCTGCCATCAGTACTAGAGCGTTCTTCTCTATCGACGGAGGCGCCTTCATCACTGTCGCGTCGGCAAGAGGTATGCGAATCTAAGCAAATGATTAAAGACTGCGTTACAACCACACAACAGGTAGGAAGTCTTGCTCACGTATTCGGCTTGGCCGCCCTCGAGTACCGCAGAGCCGTAGAGTAGACACTTTTCACAGCGCGACGAGAACCCACGCTTGCAATAAAAGCACTCTCCACAAGACGTCGTAAACGGGGAGACAATTGAATCCCCCTTTTTGAAGTTCTTGATTTCACCGCCAATCTCTTCTACCGTTCCCGTGAATTCATGTCCCATAATAAACCCAGTAGGACTCTTCTGATGTCCTCGAAAGACATGAAGCTCACTGTCATCAGTTAGTCTTCAGGTCAAGCTGAAGCACGTGCCGCGTTACCTTCCACATAAGGCAGTATACTCTATTTTGACTATAATGTCGGTGGGCTCCTCGATCTTGGGCGTTGGTCGGTCCTCTAACTCGACTTTTCTCACGCCCTTGAAGACAACGGCTTTCATGGTCGGTGGGAGCGTCATTGTCAATAAGTCCAGTACGATTGGTATATATACTTCCAGCTATCGCAACTTCGTGGCCAAAACGACGTTGTTAGAGAGAGGAAATCAGGGCGGCATCTTCGGGATTAGCCTTTGACGTAGAGCCTAGGTAGTTCTACCCGAATTACCGACTTTGACTGTCAGTCTTTATGGCCGAGGGGCCCAGCCTCCTCAGGTTTAGAGGCAAGCCAATCACAGAGGTGGGGTAGCTTTTGCTAGTGGACTACCTAGCAACCCAAGCTATAACACAGTGAGTGCAGCCGTGATACAACTACAACTTCGCAGGTACAATGCGACACTGCCGAATGTAAATCATGAACTTATCCCGAGACTTTCATTGAGAATGTGCCCTGAACATGTGTCTTTTTTACAGTTTACAGTGAGTGTGCCCAAATATGCGCAGAGGAAGACCTTGAGCCGACAACCGAAATTCCGTGGCAAACGCCATACTCAAGAGACACCTGAACGCCAACTGAAGTCGAAGTGGAAAAGCCAAGAGCATTCTCATGTGACTTGGCACAGTAGTTCCGCTTCGAGGATGAATTTGCTTTCTTTATATTTCTCCGAAGCCTCGTAAGCTTTGTCGTATTTCCAACCCACCGTATCTTTGCATTGCTTGCAGCGTATGTCACGAACGATGTGGCGTCCTGTGGTCATTGTTCGTTCCGTAGGATCACCTTCCACGATGTTCACGACAGAGTCGAAGAGGTACGCTTTGCCATGCTGGCCACGAAAGTTCTAGGTAGAGTAAGGATCAGCAAATGTCAGGAGTGTCTTTTAATCGCCAGGCTGCATACCCGGCTGATTATATCATCGTGGTTGGATAAATGTGTCTTGCAGGTCCGACAGCCGTAAATCCGGTTTGAGTTCAGATAGACGTTGTAGGACAAGCCCATATTGTCAGACTTTGAGAGGACTGGGAGAGTTTGAGCGTAGAGAGAGACGGAGCCAGGCTTGATCTCAGAGTTATGCTCTGCGACTAGATCGATGATTCCGCAATCCTCCGCGACTGTCTTGCCTTTCTCGCTGCAGCTCACGTTAGAACTTTGCCTCAATTGTTCTATATCTTGACCCCGTTCATTCAACTAGGGATTCTGATGGTTGAGGGAGGAGTGCCGGTAATCGTGGTACTCAAGCTGGTAATTTCTCCAGCGAAATCTTGATATCGTTTCGCTTTCACGCTGCAGTAGGTGTTACTTGGGCTGTCAACAAAGTGGGGGCGTTAATGTAGCAGGACACGAGAGCAAGCGGATGTAATGAGAGACGTCAATGAAGAGAGAGGGTTGCAGCTTCACGGAAGTTAGATGTCAAGGGGAGCAACCGTAAGTTGGGCTTTACCTAAAGATATGGAACGTCCACGAGACAAGCGGGCGGATCACGTGTAGGTCAGCTGGGAGCGTATGGGTTCAGTATGCTTATCATCAGTGTAGCGAATAGAGCAGAGTGTGATGCTTGATATGAGGCTTCAACCAATCCGAGAGATGTCGAGGATAGCGTGAAATGCATGTTTGTTGTTGTCCAAAGAAGCTCGTCCACGACGCGTCCTCAAGCTGCAAAAGAGCTGGAGGTTGAAAGACTGATGACGGAGCCAGAACCCGTCAAGCTCCGAACAACCTCAGGCCACAAGGTTGGCAATCGATAAGGAATGCGAAATCGTTCTTTATTCTGCGGCCTTTCTTTCCACTCCAAAGCTCAGCTCAGCCTGCACAATTCTTAGTTTTGCCATCCAGTCCGCAGCACTGCACCGGATATGTCTATGTATACACGTTTATGGATATGCGTCATGTAATAAGAAGGAACGCATGAGAACAGCTTTAACAGTGATATTTTCCCAACGACAAGTGAACTGGGTTGCCTACTATAGTGAACAAGGTGACCCGGCGGCTGCAGCACGCACAAACGGTTTCTCGCACAGTTCATTCGCTGCCCATACTCCTGGGCAAGGCCATGGATGCGATGCCAGAATGTTCCACCTACAAAACACAAAAATATCAATTCTCACTCCAGTCTCGACCTTAGTGTGCCATCATTTGTCTTTTTTAAAGTCTTGCGGCTCCACTCAACTGTTTGTGCGTGTAACTGGCTACCGTCCGCGGCTCTGAACCTACTACTCCCTAGGTATCCGTCGGAGTGGCTTAGTGAGCCGAACCCAGATGCCTGTCAATCTTTTCAAGAAGAAGTCGAGAGCGCCAGAAGACAAAACTTCTGCCACCCCACCGTCATCTCCAGAAAAGCGATCGCCAACAAAGCCAACAAAGCCTTCAAACGACCGCGACCGTGACCGTGACCGCCGATCACGCTCTACCCATTCTCCGAAGCCTTACAGCGCTTCCCGCACAAACTCGCATCGCTACGACAAAGACACTCATCCTCTCAACCTTCCTCCACACGAGCGAAAGAGGCTGTCAGCCCTGTCGGCCGGTATGAGCGATCAAGGTACACCGACACCTGCAGAGGTCGATCGCGATATCTCCTCGTCGCCTGCCCCTACTAGTCCCGCAACTACACTTCCAGGAGCCTTTCCTAGCTCAAACGGAATCCGTAACGGTGCAGATGAGGTTGGACCAGCACCACCTCCACACCGGACCCCGACCAGTCCGCCGCCGCAGTCACAGCCTCAAGAGAACGCTGTAGATGCAGAAGCATGTAAAGCTGCCGGAAATAAATTCTTCAAGGCCAAGGACTATACCAAGGCTATCCAAGAATATTCAAAAGGTGTGCCGTGGCGAGGCTCATGAGAGAAGCCGTTGCAGAATATGCCTCATTCATTCTGCGGGTTGAACAATCGTTTGCTGACACAACAACTTAGCCATCGATGCGGATCCGAAATCGTCCACGTACCGCGCCAACCGTGCAGCGGCCTACATGTCTGCAAATCGTTTCGCGGACGCTCTTCGCGATGCCAAGACTGCCGATGAACTCGAGCCCAACAACGAAAAGATACTATACCGCCTAGCTAGAATCTACACCAGTCTTGGAAGACCTGATGAAGCGCTTGACACCTACGCACGAATCGATCCGCCTGCCTCAGCAAAGGACAAGGGTCCAGCACAGGCTATGCAACACCATATTCAGCAAGCGGAAGAGCAGTTGAGGACCGGAACGTCTGGGTCAATGGTTATTCACGGTCTTGACCAAGCAGAACGCGGGCTGGGATTCAATGTTGATAGGCCGCGGAAGTGGAAGCTAATGCGCGGAGAGGCATACCTCAAGATGGGGAACGAGAACTCTCTAGGCCAAGCTGCTAATGTCGCCATGTCATTATTGAGAAGCAACAATTCAGACCCTGAAGCGTTGGTGCTGAGAGGTCGCGTGCTGTACTGCCAGGGCGAGAATGAGAAAGCGATCCAACACTTCCGACAAGCACTCAACTGTGATCCCGATTTCAAGGATGCTGTCAAGTACCTGCGGATGGTACAGAAATTGGACCGGACGAAAGACGAAGGAAACTCACTCTTCAAGTCGGGCAAGTATCAAGCTGCCATTGAGACGTACACCCAAGCTTTGGATATCGACCCTACCAACAAGGGCACCAACTCGAAAATCCTGCAGAACCGCGCTCTCTGTTACACACGGACAAAGGAGTATCAAAAGGCTATTGCAGACTGCACACGTGCACTAGAACTAGATCCTTCGTACACCAAAGCACGCAAGACAAAGGCCAAAGCATTAGGCGAGTCGGGTAATTGGGACGAAGCCGTCAAGGAGCTCAAAGCTATACACGAGGCAAATCCATCCGAACCTGGTATGGCCAAGGAGATTCGCAACGCAGAGATGGAACTGAAGAAGAGCAAGAGGAAGGACTACTACAAGATACTCGGGGTTGATAAGGATGCGGGCGAGTCTGAATGCAAGCGTGCCTACCGTAAGCTAGCTATTGTCCATCATCCCGACAAGAACCCTGGCGACACCGAGGCCGAGGCGCGATTCAAGGACATCAGCGAAGCCTATGAGACTCTTAGCGACCCACAGAAGAAAGCAAGATACGACAGCGGAGAAGACCTGATAGATCCATCAGAAATGTACAGCGGCATGGGGGGCATGGGAGGATTCGGCGGTATGGGTGGCATGGGCGGAATGGGCGGAGGCATGGGGGGCATGGCTGGCGGCATTGACCCCAACATCCGTAAGTCTTCTATCACCACTGTCAACAAATACAATGTGTTGACTAACGACTTGAATAGTGTTCGAGATGCTCAACAACCAAAGACCGCAGGGTGGAGGCGGAATGCCCAGAGGAGGGGGAGGACACTCGTTCTCTTTCAATACTGCTGGAGGCTCTCCATTCGGTGGCTTCTAGAATCCAGTCTGACACTGCACAGCGCAACACACGGTTACTGTCCACGCATCACTGTTACCCGTCTGTTTGGAGTTCTGGGGGGATTATGGGACGCTCAAGCGAGCTGGATAGATCTCATGAGCACTTGACGTTCGAAAACAGTTGGCAGCATGCATCTAATAATACGATGAGCATTCAATGTACAACAGCAACCTCTCGCGCTCTTTCTAGCAATAACCAGACTAAAACCGGCTCGAGATACTACTCTACATGTTGCTTTATTATCGTGAAATGCCCAGAGATAATGTCTGTTCTATGACAGAAAAGGGTAAGATTTGACTATGACAGACGTCCATATATGCTACGAATGAGATCAGTGGAGACAAATGAACATATGCTTACTATCTAAAAATTTAAAATCAACCTTCAGGGGGCCAATTAAGCTCAGCGGTTCACCGGGATGCAACGCTAGTAACAGGGGACTAAGGTAGAGCTGGGGTGCCACGCTAGCGCCGCCACAAGCGTGGGGTGCTGCTCCCAAGATCCGATGATGCCAGATATCCAAAAAGTGCTTGTGAGGTTACAGTATTCTCCTTCCATTGCTTCATCTGGCTTCGACACCATAGATCTCTTCACGTCAGCCATACACTGACAGTCACGCCTTTTTCGGTGCTATCTTTGACCTGTACATAAACTGTTCGCGCCTCTACATTTCTTGTAACTCACACAGCTGGTCAAGCTCATTCCGCAACTTGTCATTCTCATGGCCCGCAAGAAAAACCCAACTCCAATGCGACGAGAACCCTCCGACATCTTCAATCGCTCCGACGGTGCCATCGACAAGCACCTCGGCTACCGACAAGTCGACAACAAGGAGAACGGACATGCGAGTGGCGCTCTCACGGCCAACCACGCCGCGGGAGCTCAGAAGGAAGCAGGCCTCACAGAACTCGTCTTCTGTGTCGCAGGCATATACGCCTCATTGTGAACCTTACCTCCCTCTCACAGTCCCAATATGAGTACTGACTCTCACTCTCCAGTCTCACCTGGGCCGTCCTCCAAGAACGCATCACGACAACCCGCTACGGGCCCCCAGCCGCGCCAGAAACATTCACATACTCCATCTTCCTGAACACTGTCCAGTCCACCCTCGCCGCCCTCGCCGGCTACATCTACCTCCGTCTCTCCTCGCGCTCGTCTCCCAACAGTCCACCACCCATCTTCCCCTCGCGCGCAATCTTTCCCCCGCTCGCCCTCGTCGCAATTACGTCCTCGCTCGCCTCGCCCTTCGGCTACGCCGCCCTCAAACACATCGACTACATAACCTTCATTCTCGCAAAAAGCTGCAAGCTCCTCCCGGTTATGCTACTGCACCTCACCGTGTTCCGCAAATCCTACCCGTTCTACAAGTACGCCGTTGTCGCCGCTGTCTCCGCCGGCGTTGCTCTCTTCACCATCGCCTCGCCCTCCGCCGCCCGCAAGGCCTCCTCTCATTCCGCTGCCGCTGCCCTGCGCCCTGGAAACACCACCTGGGGCTTGCTTCTCCTCGGCGTCAACTTGCTCTTTGACGGCCTGACAAACTCCACCCAGGACTACATCTTCACTGCTTTCCGCCCCTATGGCGGCCCGCAGATGATGTGTGCGCAGAACATCATGAGCACACTACTCACAGGCGCATACCTGCTCCTCTCCCCCCTCCTCCTCGCCTCATCAACCCATCTAGGCGGCATCTTCAGCAGCAGCATCAGCAGCAGCAGCGAATCCGAACTCAGCGCCGCCCTGGCCTTCATCCAGCGCCACCCCCAAGTCGGCTGGGACGTGCTCGGCTTCGCGGCCTGCGGCGCCTTCGGCCAAGTCTTCATCTTCTACACCCTTGCGCACTTTTCGAGCCTGCTGCTCGTCACGGTGACAGTGACGCGCAAGATGCTGACGATGGTGCTGAGCGTCGTCTGGTTCGGGCATCGCATTCAGGGCATGCAGTGGGCGGGCGTGGGGCTTGTGTTTGGTGGGATTGGGGCCGAGGGGCTGATTCAGCGGCGGGAGAAGGCGGCGAGGGCGCGGGCGAAGAAGGTTGTGGAGGAGCAGGAGGAGTTGAAGAAGAAGGCGGAGTGAGGGAGGGGATGTGGGATATGGGATGTATGTAGGATGTGTGTGGGGTTGATACCATATAGATGCATAGGATATACATGTAGATGAATGAAATATCCATATAGACAGACGTATATGATATATTGATACATTGATTGATAGATTGATGGACAGGACAGACATTGCTATGCCGCTCATGTCGCTCATGCAGACTAACCACGCCATCCTCCTATTTCTAACCCACAGCCTCACTCTCCTTTAATAAACTCCCCCTATTCTCCTTCTCCTTGTCTTTCTCCTTCTCCACACTCCCCTCCGTCCTCGCACTCCGCCCCGAACTCGCCAAACTCACCGAACTAGCCCCTCGACTCCGACCACTACTCCCCTTCCCACTTCCAGGACCACCAAGACCACCACCAACCTCATCCCTAACCTCCCTCAACACCTCCAATCCACCATCCATCCTCCCCACACGGCCCACAAGCGCCGTATTCTCCCTCTGCAACTCCCCAACCCGCAACTGCAAAAGCGCAGCCTCCTTCTCCGCAATCAGCGCTCTCTGCACAGACTCATCCCGCTCGCGCTTCACCTTTGCCAGCTCCGTCCTATCCTGCTCCTTGCGCTGCCTGTCGAGCAGTCTGCGGGCCTCCTTTTCGCGCTTCGCCTCGAGGCGGGCCATTTCCTTTTCGTATTTTTCTTGCTGCTGCTTGATCTGGCGGGCGTGTTTCTCGCGGGCCTTGGAGGCTTGTTGTTCGCCTTTCTTGGACTCTTCGGCGGCGCGGCTCTCGGCGCGTTGGCGCTGCTTGGTGAGTTTGTCTTCGAGGTCGGTTCTCTGGCGGGCGATTTTGTCGAGTTCTTTTTGGTGGCGGGAGGGGGCTGGTGAGGGGATGCCGGAGTTGGTTGAGTCAGTGTCGTCGAGGGCGCGTGGTTCAATGGAGGAGAGGCTTGCGGCGGCGGAGTTGGAGGATGGGATCGGGGTGGATGGGTCGGAGCTGGATGCGAATTCGTCGGCGGAGGCGAAGGAGAGGGTTGATTCAGAATCAGAGGAGGACGAAGGGGATGAGTCAGGGACGAATGAGCCTGGGAGGTGGGTCTGAATCACGGTTGGGAGTGATGCCGCGATAGAGGAGATGATGCCAACTGGTGCTGGCTGAGGATCGGATGCGGTAGGTATGGCGGTCTTGGAGTGTGTGCGACTTGTCGAGGGCCGGTCTGCGATACTTTCACCCACGCCGGCGAGGTAGGCGTTGTTTTCTACAACGCTGAAGCGTTTGCTTTCGATGCTCTTGCGGGTTGATTCGGCTGCGGCATCGTTTGGCTTACTGCCATCCTCAAGGTCGTTCTCATCTTTTGCGCATGCCCAATCCAGGAACTTGCTGGCGTCTGTGACGATGCTGCCGGGTGTGCCACGTTCTACCATGAAACGAGGTATACCGCCTCCAGGATCGCTTCGTGTGACCATTATCCACTCGACAGGATTGCGTTCCGCAACAGCATCATCTACGTCGACGTCGAAGTCTGCTTCAGACGCATCTCCAGTCTCGTCTGCGAGACTAACATTTGACGTGGTTTTCGACTTTGGAAGAGGTATCTCTCGAATCATCTCGACAGACTCGTATTGTCCTCGCACCAGGCCATTCCGCGCTGGAGCATCTGGGTGCGTTACAGGTATCGAGACAATCAGAAAGTGACGTGGCACCTCCTTGATTACCTCTGGAGAATCGACGTGAGGTGCGGACTTTTCAGTCAGGGCGTTGTCCGAGGTCAGGAGTAATGTGACAAACTCTCGAGGGGCGACAGGACCGGGGAACTGCGCTGATAGCTGATATACTGATCACCTTGTCAGCGCGTTAGTAACCTCATGCAGCCGTATTGTCGTACCTTCCACTTTCCCAACACCGTCCAGCTCTACCTTCTCCAATCTCTTATCCCCGCCGATACCCCTCACGTTACCCTCTCCTGGCGCGCCCTGCACAGCCAGACTCTCCGCAAACTCCAACTGCATCGCCTTCTTCCATTTCGAGAATCCCAGTCCCTCGTGTATACTTCTCCGCCCAAACCACGCACCATGCCTGTCTTTGCCCGCCATCTTATACACCGACATCTCGAGCGGATTCTCCTTGGCACTGAGCTTAATCGCCTTCCCCCAGCTCGAGTAGAGCTCCGCGTGTGACGGGTCTGGCGGTGGTGGGCGCGCTCTCGACACCGTCATGTCGGCAGCTGCGCTTGCTGGACGGGCTTCTGTGCGTGTAGGTTGTGCGGTGAGGAAGTCGTCGCCTCCGGGCGGCGGAGGCACGCTGTTTGCAATGATCTCTGCTTGGTCGAATACATTGCGGAGGAAAGGGCCGAGGTCGTCGATTGGGACGTCGGAGTAGTCCTTTGGCCGCAGCTGCGTGAGAGCCTCGTGGAGTGTAGACATGGCGAGGGGTGCAGGTGAAGCCTAGACAAGGACTGTCTGGAAGATTCGGAGAGATGATTTAAGCGGATTCGGCGGAGCTGAGAGCATCAGATGTGGTTGGCGGTGCTGAAAGGTTTGGTGGTGTGTGTCCACGGTTACAAACAGCCTGAGTGGGCGCAATAAGGAAGTAATAGCTGCGTCATGCCTCAGACGTAGTACAGCTAGTTAGCGCGCAGCAGTGTTCCTGCAGGCATGCATAGCCGCTATATGTAGATTGAATTGCAGTTCATGAACCATTCACCCCACAAAACCACTTTACATACACTTTCCTACATCACATTACCTCATTAACAGAGTCCGCATAGTTATAGGTATGCACGAGTGCGCTGTCATAGCAGACCCGCATTCACGTTGTGTCTTGCTCGTCTGGCTTGTGAGGAGGGGGGTTAGGGGGGGGCCCTCGGGCGAGCTGCGTCAAGTGGAAAGGCCCCTGCTACGCCTGACTAAGCCCGTACCCAGGCGGGGAAAAGATTCCGGGCAGTGGTAAACGGGGTCATCCTGACCGCGTGGGTCGCGGAGTCCTCGTGCCGGATGGATACGTGACCAATACTAATTATTGCAAGCTGATTGACTAATGTTGTTTTGATACAGTTTCTGTTGATCGATTGTGTGTTATATGCTTCAAACACAGGTGTATGTATGTACGCATATATATATACATGTACACCAAATTCGCTCGCCATATATACACCCTGTTCGCCGATATATATACAATGTTTTCGTCTCGCCATATTCGTCACATCGTTTAGATATTCGCTGTACAATCAATCGCGCAATCTATCCAGCCATAGATGCATCGTCGTGGTTCCCGTGCCTCGTTTCATCGTGCATGTACCCTCCGTCGGCGGCCATGTTTCCAGACGGCAGATTCCCAAAGTCTCCAAACCCCATCCCACTCGCTGTGCTGAAAATCCCGTCGTCGCCGAGATCGGGTGGGTCTACGTTGAACGGCATAAACCACCCATTGCCTGGCTCCAAAGTTCCGCCACCGTAACCACCACCAAAAGGCGCAAGGTCGCCGTTGTAGTATGTCTGCATGGCAGCTTGAGTCATAGGGTCAAGCTGGGGGAAATGATTGGATAGGTCGATTGGTGTGTGCGTTGAGAGTGGGGACTGCTGGTGTTGGTGTTGTTGCTGAAGCTGCTGGTTGATGAGGTATGCTGTTGCGGCAGAGGCATCGAAGGAGCTGCCTTGGCGGTTCTGCTGCACAGGGGCCGACGTGGGTGCTTGTTGATAGAAGGCAGAGGAAGCATCGAAATCTGTAGCTAGCGATGGGAGAGGCATTTGTGTGCGCTGTGTGGTGTTTGCACTTGGTTTGGGCTGTTGCGCAGATACACGGCGATTCTGGGCGATGACATTCTTTCCCTTTGAAGCTTTGGCCTTCTTGGCCATCTTTTGCTGTGCTTCTGTTCCCGTAGGTGGCGACAGGGTGGCGAAGAATTCTTCGACGGTTTGAAGTTCGGACTTTTGTCCTAGAACGGCATCGGTACCGGGCTCGCTCTTGTCACGGGTGATTGGGTCTTCGTAGTCGGTTTTGGACACACCATGGGGGTATCTATCGAACCAGTCACCATATTGGAAGATTGTGGGAGCGTTATCCTTGGCTGCTTTGGCGCCGCGTAGGTTCGCATCGGCGTGTTGGCGGTAGAGATCCTTCAGGTTCTCTGCAACAAAGTGGAACATGCCCCAGACCTTCTTCATCTTGCTGAGGTACTTTACATTGCAAGCAAGGTACTTCTTCGAACTGGCCTCGAGGGCAGGGTTCTTGGAGAAGACGCCGTGTACATGAACGGTGCTGGAGAAGAAAGCAGAGTAGCCGGCAAAGGGCGCAGTGACGTTGTGGTCGAGCGACTGGTTAATCAAGATGGAAATCTGATTGGCGGCATCCAAAGCTTTCTTAGCAGCTCCCTGAACAAAAGATTTTGGCATTTCAGGCGTCGCACGTAGACCAGTCAGATTGGGCAGCGCGAAGCGGTTCATGAACAGAATGATCTGGTGGTAAAGTATATGTAGGTAAAGAAATTGATTTGCGGTTCGTTCAGAGGCGTGTGTTTGTAGATTATCCTCGTTGTAATGCAGCGCCTCGGGCAAGTCCGACATCCATCTCTCCGTCTGATTTTTGATGTTGCTGAATTCTGATTGATCATCCCACATCGGATGGGGATCCTTTGCTTTCCCGCCCAAATTGATGTACTTGATGACTTTGCCCCATATCGTTACCAGTCGTATCATGTATGCCATAGCTCCCATATTTTCTTTGGGGGACTGGTCTTTAGCCTCTTCAGTTGAGGGTGATGGTTCGTTTGGCGACACGTCAAGTGCTTCGGTCGGTCCTGCGATTTCCATCTGGAAGAAGTGTTCTTTAATGGGTAATTGTGCGACAATGAATTGCTCGCTGACAAAGAGCGGTCGGTCTGTGCCTGACGAATTGAAGCGGTCCATAAGAAAGCAGGACCACATTGTCCGTCGCCGGATCTCGCGATCAGTAAAGGACAATTTCGAGTGCTCGCCCACGCGTGGGTCATAGTCGAGGTCGCGATGAAGCTGGAGAGCGTAAGCCATTCTTTGTGCCATTCCGCCAAACATCCAACTCCGACCACCCTGACATGTGCCAAACTCATGCAAACCCAGCAGTAGATATACGATCAGAATCGTAATGTTTGGCGTATCATATCTTTTCAGGGCAATCTCGCGTGCTTTACTCGCATACGTCTCCCCACGCAGGAAAGCAGGCTCTGTTCGGAGAGAGGGATGGGTTGAGAACCTAGCAGATATGGCGCATACTGCAAGCATAAGCACAGGTGGCACTTGACCTGTACTTAGCCTGCACATGAAGCTTGGTTTGTGTAAGAGGGGATAACTTTGGCCATAGACGTGGTCAAAATATACTTCGGCGAGATGTTCTTGGAGCTCTTTCGATGGCAAGCTCTCAGCTCCATCCGTGAGCAGCAGATTTTCGTCTGCATCTTGACCCTTCACTCCAGTTAGGTCGGCAGGGTTCGTAGGTCTTGATTTTGACCATTCATCAAGTTCGTTGCCAAAGGCCTCTTCGGCTTGGCGCTTCTTTGAGGCTGCGGGCTTGGCAGGTGCAGTGGGTATGGGCGGCCTGACTACCGAACGACCAGAGGCAGCCACAGTCGCCTGGTTCTCCTTGGGCACGAGCTTGATGACACGATCTTCCATCCTCTTGAGGCGCTTGTCGAGCATGGCCATATAGTCGGTGCGGGGAGCGGCTTTGCGAGTGGTGACCTTGTAGACGCACGGTATCCGCGACCGTAGACAGTGCTTGCAAGCGGGCTTCTCACCAGAGCAACGTATCTTCTTTCTCCGACATGCGATGCATGCAAGTGGTAACCTTTTGCGCTCTTTTCCGGCCTTTGTCTTCATCTCGCTCCAAGCAGGAGCATCATCCCCAGTGGCATCTTTTCGAGTCGACAGCTGGTCCAGAAAGTCCAAATCGCCTCCCTCGGCGTGCAGACCGGAGTCGTCTGAGATTTCCGTCCGCATTGCAACGCTGGCGCTGTAGTTGCGATCGGGACTTTGGATCTGATCACGGCCATCGAGACTTGCCGGTTGTATGTCGGAGGGGCTGCTGGTGGTGGTCTGGTGACGGAGAGAGATTGCGGAGCGGGAGTCTGAAAGATTAGATATTGAAGGTCGATGTGGAAGTGGAGATGGAATGGACTTGGCAGAGGAGGCGATGTTATGGTCGTATGAGGGAGTTGGTTGAGAGAAGTGGTGCAAGTCATGGTGAAGAGGCACGGAGAAGGCGGAGAAGTTGAGTAGGTCTGTATTTGAGGGCGATTGAGAGGAGCGAATCATGGCATCCATGGTGTGGGAGGCAGAGGCGGCCATGACATATGAGTTGAGGTCCAGAGGGTCGTCAGTCGAAGGTTCCATGGTGGCGGTAAAGCATGCTCCAGGCTAAAGTGAAGGGGTGCTGCTAAGGATAGCTCCCATGACGGGGCCCCGCGTTATTGTGTGTGCAAGTGGCAGTTTGTCAATGGCGTCGCATATGCTGAGTGGTATGTGGGTGTGCGTGTGAGTGTGTGCGTGTGAGTGTGTGCGTGTGAGTGTGTGCGTGTGAGTGGTTTGGACTTGAAGGGTAACACGAGGGAATGTCTGGCTGGTGGAGTGTCGCGAGGATGGGCGCAGAATAGGGAAGGAGAAGAGGATATGTTGTAGCAGGGCGAGACAGGTGTGGAAGGCAATTGATAGAGTGTGGAGGTTGAGAGTTGAGGGATGAGCTCAACGGAGTGAACGAGGCCGAACCAACTGAAAGAGGAGCGATGTCAGCTGAGAGAAGGAAGGTGGTGGTAGCCAATTGGTAAAGATGGATGAGCGGGGAAGGGTCCTCGAGCGGAGAGCGGTGGAGTGGAGTGGAGAGTGGTTGAGAGAATCGGGAAGCTGGAGTAGGAGCAGGAGTAGTAGCAGTAGCAGTAGTAATAGTAGCAGCAGCAGCAGTAGGAGTAACAAGCTAAGTAGTGGCGAGAGAAAGTAGTGACGAGGCCGTAGAGAAGTAGCAGGGGGTGGGAAAGAATGGAGAAGCAGGATGAGGACAAGGAGTGAGGATGAAGCTGGAGATGCAGATGAGGAAGAGAGAATAGAGAAAAGGTGGACTAATTACCTACTCTGGTTGGAGGCGGATGGATGAGTGCGAGCTAAGGTAGTCAGGTTAATAGGTAGAGAGAGCATGTGGGTAGCGGAGCGAGGGCCGAGAACGAGGTCTATAGGTCTGGTATGGTAAGCAAGCAAATCATAGTTATTATTATTATTAGGGCACAGCTACCATACACACACGCACACACATACAAGATACATGCATACAAAGTTAAAGATGGGATGCTAAGAGAAGAGATGTATGCAGCGAACGGACAGCTAAGGATAGCCAAGAATCACACGTGCAAGCATTGCGTGGCTGTGGGAGAGTGATGGTGGTTTGTAGGTATCGTAGAGTGGCTAGAGCGAGATTGATGAGGGAGATGAGATAGAGATGCTTACAAGACCCTAAGACTAACCAGCAAGGAGGGCATGGACATGGACATGGACATGGACATGGGCATACAGCAGAGAGTGAGTGATAGATGGCTTGAGCTTGTTGGAAGATGGGATATATATTATGATGAGGTATCTATTATTATTGCCTGATAGCGTTACTTGTCAGGGTATCAAGGTATGTAATTAATGTTGTCAGTAATAGGTAGTAGTGTAAGTAGATATCATTGCCTTTGTACCGCGCTGAACGGCCGCTACAGAGCCCGCTAATCAACTGCATCGTACTGTAATGATGGGTGCAGACCAGCCTGCAGACCAGCCTACAGAGCTGCCTCCATCCCTACGCGCCGGCTGCATCTGGGGTGCAGCAGTATTATGTACAGTACTAGCCAGCGCAATGCATGATGCACCATTGCCATGGATGAGGATGATGAGGATGAGGATGAGGATGATACATACTTTGCTGCAACTTTCGTCTCACGCACGCCCTGCACTAATCAATTACTCTCAACTGTTCTTCTACGTACTTACTTACACACACAGACAGGATACATAGATGGACTACAAAAGCACAAAGCAGGTAATCATTAGTCCAGCATAGCCCCACACCGTGACACTCACGATATTATTAATAATGCACTGAACTGCGACTCGTCTTGCGCGCAGTGACACTCTTCGCCATCTCAAAACGCTTTGGTACCGAGGCAAGCACTGCCACTCTTTGCACCGCTATTCTGCTCGCCAAACTCCTCCACCATTCTTCACGCCAAACGGTTCGATTCGCCATCTCGCCATCTCACCATCGCCAACTATCCTCTTGTTGTCGTCGTCGTCGTCGTCGTTGTCACTCGTCTATCTTGGCTGTTTCGTGCGACTCCACTCTGCCGAGAACCGTGACGAACTCGCGTCCGCACTCTTTTAAGTTTAAGCTCTCTTTCTCTCCACTATCCTTTATACCTGAAGAAATCCCACAATCTACCACCATCTGTTCGTCTCTTCACCATCTCACTCCTCTCACCTGCTTTACGCCAACGCGGGAATGCTACGGGTACCAGCGCGAACCTGTGGATAGCAGGCCTGACATTTGACACTACAGGATTGTCAATCATCTTGCCATGTGGAGGCAGGCGTCAAGCCACAGCGGTCCGTCCGCTTGTCGCCAAGTCGCCATGCCGCCCAGACTGCCTGTCACTCTCCTCCCTACCCCCCAAAGGCTGAATGCTGGGGCGAAACAACACCTTGAAACACCACCATCATCGTATGCCATCGATAGATTGATCGAGCTCATCACGCTGATTCAGCGCACCGCTCGATGCGGTGCTCCCGTCTTGCCCATCCCTGCCTCGTCGTCGTCACCGATGAGACCAAATATCACAGCCGCCACGTTTCCACACCACCGCTCCGCTGCTCCCCACAAACGGACCGACGTGGGTCCTCTACTACAGCTAAGCACTGTCCACTTACTTCTATATACTAATATCTATGCATGTCGCGTCCACTTGGCTGTACTGTACTGTAGTGTATCTCAGGGCACCCCAGATGGTGTGGACTCTATTTTCTGCTGCAAGAATCCTCCCATCACACTCTCTTCGTCTTCGTCTCGAGCAAAACCTCCGTTCTCTGGCAGCCCAACGACCCACATGGCTCCATTTTCTGCAGACTCACCATAATTAATACTGTCTACTCCATCAACCTTGTCCGAAAAGCTATTGCAGCATCGTGTTCTAAGCGAGGTCAGCCGGCCGTATCGCTGTTACGCTCGTGCAGCCAACTATGAGAAGACTAATATCACTAGTGGCACTTTCTTCCAACGTCGAGCGTAAGGTATAATTATGGTACCTAGGTACCAGAATACCTCGTCGTATTCCTCTGCCGTTTTGATGGTCCTGCACAACAAACACACGTGCATTACCTTGACTCAAAGGAACACCCCGATACCCAATATTTCCAGGCCAGCTTCCATCTACACAATATTCCGGTCCAGAGCACGCAGCTCCAATACCACACCAATACCAATATCAATAGTATCTATCCCAATCCGTCCATGACCCAAGTAAACCTTCTCATACGTCACGCGACCTTATACCACACACACACACACACACACACAATATATCACATCAACATAATTAACCTAGCAACACCACGCTCCCGTCCCATCACAACAACCCACATCCCACGTTCCCCCATCTTACCTCCCCCAGCATCCCCAGCATCCCACTATCCCAGCATCTCGCACAGCCAACCCTAAGCATCCCTCCAACCCGCACACACAACGAACCACGTCAGAAGTCGTTTGTTTCACAATGCATACATACATCATCCTGCACTCCCTCCCTCCCTCACTTGCATAACCTGCATTACCCTCCCCAATCCCGCCACCTCGTTTTGGTATTTCTTTCTTCGTCAATCACACGGAATATCCCGAGAAACACGCACAGAGAACTGGTCCACACCAATACCAATACCATATACTGGTCCTATCAAGGATAATACTAACTTAGCAGTCTGCATCCACATAAAAACCACAGGTCTTTGGAAAATGTTTGTCCGATATCCGCGTATACACACATAGACACGCGTATAATTACACGTATACACGTACACGCATACACGCATACACGCATACACGCATACACGCATACACGCATACACGCATACACGCATACACGCATACACGCACACACAGTAATTACATACTAAGCGTAGTCGTCCCGTCAGGTCATCAGGCTAGTATCCCAGTAGGCCCATCAATCATATCATACCACGCCTTCTATCCATCCATGCGTGCAGTGCTCCTGCCTTACTTACCTTACCCACCTCACCTCCTCCACCCTCAACCTATCCTCCTCCACCACTTTCCCCAGAACACTAATTATGAAAAGAGGGCAATGGGGGCGTGCGATTGTGAGTTGGAGTGGAGGGACGGTGTGCGTGGTGGTTGTATATATATATTTACATAGAGAGAGAGAGAGAGAGGTTTAGCGTACATCCCTTCAATCACATCAAACAAACCGTATTTTTGTTTCTGTATTGTAGTGGCGCAAAACACGTGATGTGGTGTGGCGTGAATTGCTGTCCGTTTTGTATGTCTTGTCTATATATATGGCATGGCATGGCTACAACTACTCTCCGCACCAACACCCGTGTGCACGTCCAGAAAACACACATCCATCTCTATACATCATCAGGCAAATCAAGCACGCACGCATCTCTATACATCCCGCACCCTTCCCGCGGCAGTGCTAGTAGCGGGCGCCGCTGCAGTCGACGTCGACGTCGTCCGCACCGGAATCTCCGCCTCGACAAGCTCGAAGCCACTCAGACTCGGGTAGCGCCTCGTGAAGTTCTCCTCCCATGCCTCTGCATCGGCAGCAGACATGTTCTCAGTCGGGTTATTGCTGGTGACAGGATCTTGGATGCCGAGGCCGTGTTGAGGGGCTACTGCTCGTTTATTCGCTAGAGATGATGATGATGGTTTGACGGGGGAGGGAAAGGATGATGGTCCGCCTGTAGTGGTGGTGGTGGTGTTGGTGCCGCCTGTCTGGAGTTTCTTGGGCTTGGGGGGCGCCGTGGGTCCGGTCCGTTGCGTGGCGGGTCCAGATGTGGAGGATGATGTCGAGATGATAGGCGGTGCCGAGGACGGCGGTGCTGGCGCGGCCATGTTCGACACCATGTTGCTCTTCTTGCCTGGTACAGTCGGCCTCTCGCCGTCCTTGCCTGTCTCGCTCTCGCGTGTGTACTTGCCATAGCCCTCCGCCGTCCTTTTGACGGGCTCTTCCTTGCGACTCTCGTCTAGCAGTGTGCGCACGCGCGACTGAATCGTACTCGCCCTTGCCAAGCCCTGCGTAACCTCGCCCTTGGCCACACGCGCCTGATACGCGCGAGCGGCTTCCTCGACACGTTTCTCTTCTGCGTCGAGGGCGCGACGCTCGAGTTCGCGCTTGACGTCGGGTGAGAGCTCTTGGGTTTCGTCAAGGAGATCGGACGCTGTGTCATCGGTGGCGACGGAGCCGGCGATGGGATAAAGAGATCCAGTGCGTGTGGGTACGCTATGGGGATCATCAAGACGGTCCATCCTGTCGGTGTCGAAGGATGGGCTGGGTGTACGAAGGGGTTGATCGTGAGAGGAAGGCGCTTCGAAGCGACGGAACGCGTCGCCAAATTTCCCTGCTAGCATTGATTTGGTGTTGGACAGGGAGAGAGATGTCATGCTTGCGCGCTTGGAGTGGCCGAACGAGGACCGCTTGGAGCGCTTCGAAGGGTCTTTGTCTTCGATGGCGCGGAGGTAGTCGACGCTGGAGCGGATGTTCTTGTCTTCAGGTTCCGCATCCGCATCTGGTGTGACAGGACCGCGTGAGGAGTCGGTTGGACGATTCTCGCGGACGCGAAGGTAGTCGATGCTTGATTCAAAGTGGAGGCTGGTTGGACGTTGCCGGATTCCGGCAGTCGACTTGGAGCGGGCTACGGGGTCATTTATGTCAAGTGCGGACGGCCTTGAGCTCTCTAGAGATGGCCGAGATGAGGCAGGACTTTTTGGTATCTGTAGAGTAGAGCCCATCTGAGATTTGCTCCGCTGTGCGTCAGTCATCGAAGGTCGAGGCGGTAGAGCGTGCTCTGGATGCAGTGTCGGTGCAGTCCGCCCCGAGACTTCTTCGGGCCTTGGCTGACTAGCATTTCGACCATGTACATCTGTAGGCACTCGCCAGATAGGTCTCGCGTTGATCTCAGGTAATCTGGCTGGACGAACTTTGGGTGATGCTGGTGGAGATGCTCCTGTGCCTGTCGATACCATTCTCGCCCGTTGTGGTGACGTCTGCCGGCTGATGAGTGGAGGACGGAACTCTGGCCTCTCCGCGGGCACTGGTTTCTTGGTTGCAGGTGCAGCTACTGAGGACGGCTGAGGCTTCAGTGGCGGCAGTTTCTCTTTTGGCGGGGGAGTAGGTTTTGCGAAAACTTCATCAGCCAGTGCTGCCGTAACACGTCGATTGAGACTCTCAGGTGGTGCCTCTTTGGGTGACGACGCCCCAGAGAATTGGAACTTCGTCCCTTTGTCATGCAGAATAGAGAACTCATCCAGAGAAGGAAATTTTGCTGCGAGTTCATCTGCCGCTGCCGATCGCTCTGACACTGATGTTGAGTCGAGCGCAGCGAAAGGATCACCTGCAACCCTGTTGGGCGCACTTGGTTTAGCTGCCGACAAGTTTTGATTGGGACCTGTTGGCCTGCCTCTTCTCATGGGTACCACGTCAGGTATAGCCTGCTTTTCTTGTACAGGGGCAGCCTTTTGTATTCCGATGACTGGCGGAGACGACACTATCTCGGGGGAAGGGAGTTCTTGATAGCGCTGTCCCTCGGGCTGAGTCCGTTGTGCATATATCTGTGTCTCATGAGCATCGTTTCCGCGCTGCTTTGCCAGTCCTTACATCTTTTATGGGTATCGAGGTGTTGCGCATGGAGCAGATTTCAGCGACAACCTGGTATATGTTCGGGCGCGCTTTCGGGCTTTCTTTGAGCATAGAGCCTGTTTGACGTGTGAGCACCTAGTCCTCCTGGTATGTTGAGGTCTTTACCAATCAATCGCTTAATGCGGTCCGAAAAAGAAGGGTATTGTGGGTACTTGAAGCTCGCGTTAAGTATCGCCATTTGGCCTTGATCTTCAAACGGTGTAGTATAGTAGCAAAGCTTATAGAGCAAGACTCCCAAGGCCCATATGTCACTCTTCTCATCAATTGGCTGCTTCCGATATACGTCAATCATTTCCGGACTGCGATACTGAAGTGTGGTGTGCCTCTGGATGTCTTCCTCAATCAGTCTTCCTTCCTGTGCGGTTGTGGCAGCAGGTCTAGGGGGCGCAGTTGAGCCAAAGTCCGCGACCTTGTATAGTCTTGAGGAGCCAGATGTCGATATAAGGACATTCTCTACCTTCAAATCGCGGTGTAGAAGAGGCGGTTTGAGATAGTGCATTGAAGCCACTCCCTCCGAGACATCCGAGAATATCTTGAGGATTTCCGGCTCTGTCAATCGATGTTGTAATCTGGTATTCATGAAATCAATCAACCCACCGCCTTGACAGTACTCCATAAGCAGGAATACCTCGTAGCCACCTCCTTGAAGCTGCGAAGCGTGCGAATCCATATAAGTGACAATATGCTTATGCCCCTTCAGTTTCTTCATGGTCTCCACCTCTGTCCTCATGTTTGCCAATGCGTCCTTATCAGGTACTGCCACTCTCTTGAGGACAGCGGTCTCGTACTTGTCCCCAGATCGGGGGATTCGCACAACGTAAACATGCGCGAAGCCACCCTCAGATAGGTATTTTTCTATGACGACCCGATGATTTCCCACCTGGACCTTCGTACCTGGTATGAAAGTGCCAGGAGGAGCATTGTTCGATGCGATAGGAACATGATAGGCAGCAGGACGGGAGCTGAAGGTGGAGGCCATGGTGGGACAGAGGGCCCTCGGGGGTAAAGGGACGTAGCTAGCGGAGCTGCATAGAGGATGCCCAGGCAGAGCGTGTCAAGTCCTTCTTTCGAGCTGTGTATGGGACTATGGATGCATTGGAAGCTTTTCGAGGACTTCTTGGTATCGGCCTCAAGTTGGAGTTTACGAATTCGCCTAATCAGAGCTTACCTGGTCTGGGTGGTGTGGCGCAGAAATCCCTCCGCAGTCTTGGCGGTCCGGGCACGAGAACAACCACATGGCTTCACTCAGACACACATGACGCTTCAACATCAGGCTCTTGTCGCACATGCATCTACATTATCAGCTTGCAGACATCGCGGCCATACAGCCGCTCTCTCGCAGTGTAAAGGATGCCTCCTGTATGAGGATATTATCATCATCCTAAGTATCTATCTCACACCATGACTCTAATCGATTTTCGCATGTACCGAGAACTCTCGTATGCCAGCTCTCAGTGTGTCATGCGAGTATTAGCAGGATTCATGAGCAAGCCATCTGTCCCTGAAAGTGGCCAACACAATCGTCACTTATCAGACTCCCCTACCGGCCGGACGGGTTTCGGTTGATGTCAAGTTGGAGACATCCATATTATCGCCAGTACCATAATTCAAGTCATGGCCCGAAAAGCACAGAAAACTCAGGATTCTCCTATCCACATACTGGTGGATGCTCGCTTTCTCCTCTGCCGTGATCTGGGTAGATCCGCCACCGACTCTACAGCCCGTCTTGGTGTGAAATCTACAGGACGTTTTCCTGCCTACAACGATAGACCTGATTCGAAACTGCCAATTGTTCTGCAAAGTGGTGCAGTGTGAGTACCCATGGGTATTTGGGTAGACTGTCCAGGAAGCTCCGCCGAAGTTGGTATGCTCAAACCACATGACGCATCCTTCTGTGTGTAGGCATTTGTGCCGTTCTGAAATGGGTGAAGCGGTACTGAACTGCAGTATCGCGCTGACTGTCATGAGGTATAGGGGTTTCATCATAGTCAGAAGAGCTTCGTCGTATTTTGGATCCTCGGTGTCAAATGGGATGTGGCGTGGATTTGGCAATGCTATGCCTAATATATCTGCAACGACAGTGACATCCTTGGCCTCGGAACCTTTGTTGTATGGTCCGCCGCTGTTGACATAAGATACTCCCTCGGAGTGCGATGATCCCTCGGATCACAACTGAGGACGTACCGTGTCACTGTTACACATATTCGCGGACCGATCACATGTGAACGCGTGTCTCAAATGTGCCGCATAAACGCAGCTTTATATTTACAAAGACAGCACGTCAGTCACTTGAAGGGATCTATATGGCTCAAAGGCGCGAAGAAGTTCTCCTCCTTGGGATGTATCGCTGCTCATACGAAGACTGCACAACCATTAAGTGTAACCAACTCCAAACCTTTACAGTATATATCAAGACTATCAAACTGTGAGACTCGAATCATATACTTTTAGGAAGCAAGCGGTGAGAAACAGTCGCAAGTCATTGTCTCACTAAAGTTCACTTGCAAGGTTCTGTTGACAAAGGAAATGAAATGGAATCGTCCCCCGAGATATCTGCCTTCTGGTTACAGCAAACCTACCGACATCTTATAACCTTTACATGCCACACGTTGGAAGAATTCACATCTACCGTTCTGAAATTGGATTCTTAGTCTCACATTTCGTCCTGTCAATGAATCGAAAAGCACGGCGTCAATCATAAATCAATAAGCCGTGCTAACAGGAATCGTGCGTTCGACTCCACTTCTATCCTTAATGTTCACTTACCCTATCACTAGTGTATGTTCATTCACACGCCAGCGTTTCTGCTATATCGTGGCCCAAGCACAATGCTACACAGTGGTTAGCTTGACGGTTGTAACGGTATGTACCGTGAGCATTCATGAACGGTTACATCGATGTGCTCGATACCAAGCTTATAGGCGTCCTGTCATATCGATACTTCACGCTATCGCTCGGGATACCTAAGACCTTGATATACTGGAAGTTCAAAAGATTTCTAGCGCGTGCATCACTTGCTAAAAACGCTCATTGTCCAATTATCTAATATCTCAACTTTACTACCCGGCACGACTAGCTAGGACTTATCGTGACTTAGTAGTAACATCGTCAAGGGTGCTTGGAACTATTTCGAAGCTACTAATTAGACGTCACAAAATAGGACTGTCTTTTCACGAGGTGACCTGAAATTACACACAACTCCGTGTGCTCAGTCGGTACGCGGCGATCAAGGCAACAATCATTTGGATGTCCTCGACTTGGTGTGCGGCAAATTCTGCCGGTGGACATTTCTGAGTTGCCCAGTCGCTCTCTGGCATCTTTCAGCGATGCGCTTATTAAGGAAGTGAAGACGTGATCGCAATCACCAGAAGCATAATTTAGATACAACAGCCAGATCATGTGCTCTATCCAATACAAGCCCGGTTTCTTACGTCTACTTGGCACTACAGAAGGTAAAGATTTGGATCACGTCAAAAATTGTCTTCTCAAATGACCTAATGTGGGCTTTTGTTGCATCGCGCCAGCGACCGCTCTACTAGTCCGTGTGAGCAAGAGATAATGGTTAGAATCTGGCACAGATAGCTTATTTAAAAAACTGGAGGACTCAATTCTAATGAAAGAATTTATGGCTCTTTGTACTTTCCGAAGCATCCGCTGTTTGTCCACGTCTTGATCAGGTGTATGATTAGCGATTTGAGATCAGATTCTATCTGCTCGGGGACGGCTCTAATTATCTACCCTACTCTATCTCATCTTAACAGAAGTAATCTAACTAACCGGATTGAGATTTTCCCGTCTTGGCAATATTTTTGAGGTGTAAAAACTGTAAATTGAGCTTGTATTCTCTATTAGAATTTTTGACCAGATTGAGCTTGTATGGATTCGAATTGTAATTATGTGCCAAAGTCTGATTTCTGGCGACAAGCTCATTGATCAATCTATGATCAATGCTGGTTGAATGAAGACAATGGCTTCGATCTATGTTTAATCTGTTTTGAGTATAGCGATCATCTCTTAGGACATGACCCCTTTCTTACCGAGATGATATATGATCGAATGATTTTTATTCTTCAACGAAAACTCATATCAACATAGAACTCGATTTTGCCATTAAATGTGGCATTTGCCACATCCAAAACTACGATAGACCGTCAAGAGTTGCAGCACGTTCTCTTATGCCCATAGATCAAGGTAATGAACAATACATGTACAACAGTTCATCGCGTTAAGCGAGGCGAAAATGTAGTTTAATCAGCTGAGCCTGTACACGAACCCAAGATAGTGAGAAAACCATCATTGCGTAATATCGCTCCGCAAGTATGAGGAGCTGTAAGCCACTACCACGAGGTATTCGCCTATCACTCAGCCCTCACGTACATAGGTCGTGTCAATGAGCGCCACAATTCCCCACTACGCAGAGTATAACTGTCCACTACATCTCTACACGAAACAGTGCACACTGAAACATGGTTTGCCTTGTGTCAGTATCTGTTAGGATTCGGGGAATGCATTTAGCTCGTGAATGTTACCAGCATGTTGATCCTTGTAGCGCAGTGGCTGTACAGTCAGCGTCGCAGTGGCCAAATGGAAACATATGATCATACTTATTCAAAGCGAGACTTTAGTTGTTAGTGTCTGCTCTTCATCTTCTCACTTGTAGTAACTTGACACAACTGGAGGGCCATCGTCATGCGGAACATTACATGCCATACTATACTCGCTCTTGGGGCACTGAGTCCTCTATGTCTTGCTCGAACCTGCGAAACCATCATTATTCCTATCAGTGCGACTGCACAGAACAGAGTGCTTCCGGAGTCTCTCACAATTTCGTCTTTTACATCAGAGCTCCTCTCTTCGATACCCAACATACCGCCGACTACAGTCTCTGCTCCAGTGAACATCAGCGCAGTATACTGCACTCCGTCACCCAATCCTCGCTCTTCCACTCTACAGATTCTCGTACATGGAGTCACCTACACGTCTAGCTACTGGGATGGTCTTGACACTGGCGATGGCACCTACTCCTGGACATCTTACGCCAACACCCAGGGTTACGCGACCCTCGCCATCGACCGCCCATGCAACGGAGCGTCCACTCGTCTGCAAAGCATCGCCGAATGCCAGATTCCTCTGAACGCAGATGTCGTCCACCACCTCGTACAAGCTGCTCGAGGTGGCACTCTCCCTCTGTCTACACCACGCACATTCAACAGCATCATCATCGTTGGTCACTCCCTCGGCAGCGTCATTTCAAACTTTCATGGCCAAATATATCCAAACGATGCAGACGCGTATGTCCTCACTGGTTTCTCACCCGTCCTCGTAAATGGCCTTCCGGCTATACTGGGCATTGGCTTGACACCTGCGTCGGCTGGTCTTCATGTGGGATATGTCAAGATCGGCTTCGAGGCCGGCCAGAGGTTTATGTTTTATCATGGCCAATACAGCACCTCGCTCCAGCATGCCGACTTTCTTCGTGGCGGTACATTGGCCCTAGGTGAGGCGGCGACGGGGTTATTAGGACAATTGCCTGTTCCTGCGTACACAGGAGCTGTGTTCGTACTCAATGGGAACGAAGATACGGTGTTTTGTCAGCTTCTGCCTGTCGGCAGTTTGCTGGGAATGATGGGACATTGCGATGCTGGGCCGAGTCAGGGAGTGCAAGCTTTATATCCAAACGCAAGGGCTTTCAGTTTGTTCGATGTTCAGAATACCGGGCATTGTTTGAATATGCATCATACTGCGCAGCAGGGGTATGAGAAGGTGCATAAATTTCTTGAGGCACAGGGGCTGTAGGCTACGGAACCGGACTACGAGTAGTTGCACTAGGAGTCTGGCATGTACAATGATGGCAAAGCTGCGGTGAGACTATGGCTGTATAGAAGTAAAATGAGAATTGTCTTTCATGTGCAGGTGTTGTAGCTTCGTGTAGTTGTTAACCACTTGTATATCGATACTCATGGTAGTTTTGGCGCATAGTGTACTCTGTCCAGGCTTTGAACTCGAGGCAGTGTTCAAAAATATCAATTAGATGTTTTGCAGTGATAACATATGTTTAGAGGCGATACTGAACATCAGCTCAGATTTTTTGTTTTCAAAGACCGAAGCACTATCCAAAAGAATTGCTCAGCGGGTTTTCGTATTGTTTACAAATGTAGTCGGTTGATTTTTCATCCCTACACAATCTACGACACGAACGATATATAAATCGCTAGTTGGCTAACTTTGCAAGGACATGTCCCCATGCTGATTTTGCTGGGTTCGAACGCGTGTAATGGGGTATTTTGTCCTATTGCTGGCTATGTGACACATAAGACTATTTACCTGAGAAGGAACAGGGTTGTCAGAGTATACGTAATAGTCTCAGAGCGTCAGCTACGAGGAAAGAAAAGCCTAAGATAGAGATTTACATTCAACTACTAATCTACCATTGATAACAAAGCTTGGTCTCATTATTCATATTGAAGAACGTCACCTTAGTCAAGTAATTTCTCATAGGGGGTGTCAATAGTTCTGCATGGCAAACGCATGCCGACTGAAACTCTAACTTCTATGGATGTCTGATGTGATATGAATGACTGCAACTATCGATTGACAGCCATCACTATATGGCTGAGGATTCATTCATGTGTATTATACTAGTCCGTCCTACGATCGATCTTGGTATGATAGGGGAAGATTGAACACAGATAGCACAGAGAAGTGGAACAAAACCTCATGCCGTTTCGCGAGGAATTAAAAAGATCATTCAAACTCATTTTAATAGCGAGAGTTGAAGAGTAGACCTTTGTTTATGAATCGCTTTGTTAGTGAGCTTTGTTTGTCTGCCTCATTCGAAGAGAGCTAAGATCTTTGTCTCTGTAACATTTATCTTTCGTCCTTCTTTGTAGATTCGTTAAGGTAATCAAACAATGACCTCTTAACCGCTCAAGTATACTAAGTTCACTAACTCGAATACTCGAACCCCCTGACGGCTTTTGATCTGGGAGATTCCTCCCAAGTGGCTTACGGTGACACTGAAACTGTCAAGACGCTTGCGTCATTGGTAAGTATAGGTTAAAAACAATAGGATGTGCAGCAAGTCTGTATCTTGACAAGGGATCAATCGATGGCGAGATTTGAGTCTGTCGAAGCAAATACTATCACATGGACCTCTGGAGATAAGTAGAGAAAGGATCGAATCGAGAATGCTCAGTACAATCTTCGTTATCTGCGGGAATTCTTCCACGCCGCAACTTGCTCGATTAGATCTCCAATTTTCGTATTACACTCACTAAGAGCAAACACAAACAGCTACATTAAAGTTTCGTTTCTGGTATGTTGTTATGCGGAAACCTTGAAACATGATGAGGTCCAGTCACATTCGCAAGTTACCCTGGCTCAAAGCGATGTGCCACATTGGATACACCGCTTTTGTCAGTTATGTTTCAAGCAATATAACGTTGATTGCTCACTTTGTACGCCGAGGTACGCTCCCACAAGGATTGAGCAGCCCCGTTTGCCGGATTTGCTGCATCACGATACTACTGTTACCGGATTGGGGAGATCTCGTGGAGATTCGATGTCATTATTCTCGACAACTGGTCGTGAACCATGTCCATTATCACATTTATAACAACATACGTAATACATTCAAAACATTTAACCATCCTCTTCACGACTGCTTCTTCCCAAATCAACACAAGCTCCACCTCTTAGTACAAGAACAATCCAAGATTCCCCAACAGAGTAAGACACCATCGGTCTGATGTTCCCAATACCAAATCGCACCAAGTTCATTTAAACTAAGTTCCTCAAGCGTGTGCCGTCCTGGCGTAGGTCAGATCTAACTTCACCTCTGATCTAGCTATGCAGTGACCTGCAAAGACTACTGGCACCATCTTTCTGAAGTCTTGTATGTTAGCAAGGATGAAGGCTGGATCTGTTTGAGAAGTCTTTCCATGTTCTTGAGAACTCTATCAGACTAGGCATCGTCAGTTTTTGCCGTTACGAAGAGACTCAACTACTACGGCGTCCGAGATATCGTTGCGGTAACTGGTGGTCACTCATATTTCGATCGTAACCACCATTCTATGAGCGTCTCATCAATTTCTTCAGACTCATCGATCTTGAGTATATCTAGTGGTGCTTCGTCTTGCGGTATGCCTTTCTCTCCATCTATACCATCGAACTGAGGGAAGAGTTCCGGGTCATATATCTCATTACAGTATTGGGTCCAAAAGGCGTCAATTTCAGGATCTGTTTCAAGACGGGCAACATTGGTAAAGGTGTCGTCAACACCAACATTTTCATCCATATGGTTCCAGTCGTACCACATGAAGTCAGGCTCTTGAAATGGCTTTGCTGGATACCTTTCTTGTGTGGATTCAGTCGATATATGTGGATACATGTCACTGATATCCACATCTGCCTCTGGGAACGAAGCAACATGCATAGGGTTGCTCTCAAGCTGACACCCCGCTGCATCGACCCAGGCCCATTCCTGCCATGGATCATTCATGTTAGATCGTGCAGTCCTCGATTCAGTCCCGATATCGGTGGTCCAATTGTTCATGGCTTTCCAGTCAGGGTCCGCTGTATGCCCAATCGATGGCAATGTTTGATAGCACAAACAGTCAAGATATATGTTCTGGCCACAAGCCACGCAGCTCTCAAGTATCATATTTCCTTGGTCTGTGTGGTCTGTCCGTCTTGTGACATATGGATCTTTGGTCTCTAGTGGCTGTGCGGTCCACTGGCAGTCGTTGTGGACGGGATACCAGTTCCAAGATTCGACTTCGGCGTCGGACAACCCGTTATTGCGCACATCGTTCTGGTGAGATGTGAAAGCGCTGTTATATGGTTCGGAGATACTATTGTGCTCATATTGCTCTTCTGCCTGCGAAAAATTGCTGTAATCCATCTGCAGGAGGTCATAATGAGGCTGCCGGTCGGTGTGCTGCTCGGGGAGCAAGAATGCGGAATGAGGTGGAATATGGGGTCTTGTCATTCTTGAAGGAGTGGGCTGTGTAACTTTTCGTGGTGTGTCTGACCTCCTAGCAAGTGTCGCGAACGGATCTTCCGTATCTACCGGTGCAAAGCCTTGCTTCTTCGGCCTGTAGACCCTTGTACTTTGCTCCTTTGTCGACGCTCTTTTCGCCTTCGACCTTGACCTTTCTTGGTCCACCCTGTCTGGCCCATGGCGCTTTCGTATGCGCGATTTTGCAGCAAAGGTATGTTCGTTCGTGTTCCTGAAGTCTGGTCCTCCTTTACTGTTCTCGTGGACCAGCATGATCCCGGCTGTAATGTTGGTACAAGCTGGCTGATGAACGCAAATGTGAATAAGGGTGTGATAGACGAGAAAGATACAGAGAGGTAGGAGATCGGACGAGAGTATATGATGCGCTGAACATTGTGCTTACTGGAATGTTAAGAAGCAGAATAATGCCCACTCTTTGTAGGTGGGATGTGACAATGTTATTGGGTGACATTATGAGAGAGGAACAGTGGTGATGCTTTGCTAGACACAATGGTTCAATGAGATGGTTTGTTCAGAGGATTCGGTGGATGAGTCCTGCGTGGTTCGGTGGAGATACCGGGTGCCTACGTACGGTGTGCGGGTCCACGAGCTCGATGGCTGTTTGGTATATGCGGACTTGCACACACACCTCACAAAATACAAAATGGTTATGCAGCAACTATCGCGAATGAATTACTTTAATAAAGATCGAGTTCGTACATTCAGCGTTCGAACTTTATGCTGTCTTTGTCAGACGGTGGACTACATGTTTCCCCTACTCTAGAGGGACCAAATCTCGTCTGTTCAGCAGAACTACTCGGTGTTTCTACCTACTAGATTCCATCATTTGTGTCTACCAGGGGACGCATTTGCTGAATTTCGCTGCGAGGAATACCACTGTCGAATGTCCGACACTCTCTATATATTTGTGATTGTAGCGTCAATGCCTAAACTTTATGATATAGAATGTCAATTAATCATGTAAATCATTCTGGTTTAAGTAGACATTACACGTAGGTATCAAAGAGCCCGATTCTCTTACCCATACCCATATTTCATCACTCGTACACTGCCGTCTTAACGTTGTCCCCGACACTCAAATTGGTGGCAATTCTTCAAATGGTATCAAGAAAGCTTTTCTCCTGACCTTCAGCTTTGTAGCTAGCGCCAGGGAAACCATTGAACAGTGCCGAGTTGAAGTCTGCCAGTTGAGGGCATCCAAGCTTGCTCATCAGTGGCTCGATCTGCTCAGTGACAAAACCCACCAACGACCATACGGCACCAAGAAGTGGGTCAGAGATGTCTGGTGTAACGGCTATACTCGCCTGCATGAAGAAACATGCTGCGTTGTTGCCCTCCGCCAAGGTCTCGAGGTTGAAAACACCCCCTGTCAAATCAGTGACATCGACACCGGCAAATGAGTGACCTACTTATTTAATCTAATATAAGTAATCTTAATCCCTTAGTATAGATTATAATCTTAATCCGTACTTTTAGGGTAACTAATTATATAATCCTAATCCAGGACCTTGGATTGTATCCGATTGTATATGCTTACGTCTGGGCCTGGTTATTAGTAAGAAGGATCGAAATGCTATAATGATTGCCGGAAATCTCATCGTAATCTGCATTCATGAACTCCGGAGAATGCTCTTGGATGTGTGAACTCCATGCCCTCTTATCATTTATGGGAGGCAGACCACGGAAACTTGGAGGTCCGTTGGCTGTGTGGACGCCGGATCGTAGAAGTTTATCGCACCACCAGTAGATATTCTCGTCAGCGATGTCGTTGTGAAGGTCTGATTCGACTGTTTGCCGACGACGGTCTGGGGCAAGATACGACCTCCTGCGGTTACCGTGTGCTCGATCTCCGTCACCCAATGGGTCGTTATCAGAGCCCTTGCTTAGGTTGTCGTCACTTCTAGACGTCACCCTTACTATTCTTTAGACATACTCGGTTCTTCTACGTCTATTAATTTCAGACTAACGTTCCCAGTACCTATCCTCCTCCTCTATATACTGTGTTTCGTAACTGTTACGGTTTTAATTCTTACGGGAGGACAGGTCCTAAACCGCTCTCCTGGAGTTTTTACCTTTTCTCCGCTGATTAGGAGCGGTGGACACTACTATTACTATTTAGGTAATCATATCGGCGCTCATAACCGTAGGTAGAGCTCGAACCGGAGGGTTTAGGCTTTGCGAAATTCTTATCTCTTCTCCGCCTTCTCTCCTTTTGTCGTTCTGGTGTTATCGGACTGGCCGGTTTCCCTTTTCAGATCTTAGAGAGTTGTTTCGCCTGTGAGGCTCAAACTAGGCTTGCCGTCCTCGAACAGCACGACTTCATTACCCACGATGTATAATACCGTAGGACCCTTTGGTCTGTCCATCATTCGAAGGACCACCTTGGAACAACCGGGGTGGTTACTTGGCCTTTTAGGCCATAGGTGGTACGGCTCATCTCATACAGAGATGGCCCGGACGGCGAGGATATTTGGGATCCTTAATCTCGACAGCGGCTAAGAGAAGGAGGGAAGAATTGTTTATGATGATTAAGAAACCCTCAATCTTGACTGTAGGTGAGAGAATGGCAGCCGGGATGAGGAGAGGGGATGTGGTTGACGTTCTTGAAGTGAGATGCAAAGACTGCCGAGGTCGACAAATGCGCCCCGGCTGGTAATGTTACGTCATTATGGGTGTGTGTTTGTTGCTGTTGTTGAACATGGGCTACATTCACCTGGCATCTGAAACAGTGACAAGTACGGCACTGTTCAAGATAAAGTCGTTAACGAGGCTAGGGATTGTTTCTCGGGTAGCCACATCAATATTAGGAATTACCGTTTACGAAAAAGGAGGTAAGTGACTTAGGGGCAAGATCGCCTGCTGTTTGTACGAGTGAAGTGAAAGAACTACAGTACCACTGACTTTCCCATAGCAGCGGACGAATCGCATCATTACCATCTCTCCGTAGCATCAAAAGAATTGCATTATCTCTTTCCTTGTTTCCTTCACAGAATCGACCTTGTAACAATTCTTTTCCCTCGTACATGTAGGCAGTAGCTACGTCATCCACTCTCGTTGAATCGTGTCCAAAGTCCACACATACCATAGGATAATAAATCCCATGATAGTTATAGCATATATCATGAACCCCAGCCTCAAAAGAAGCAAACAAAATCACCAGTGAAGCACCACCAGTGTTGAATATTCAATGATCCGCCCTCTCGGCCCTCAATACCCCGAACCCCCGACCCAGCCCGCAGTCCACCTCCCAAGCACTCCCAAAACAACCACAGACCCTCACCTTCCCTTCCCTTCCAAATCCAAAACCAAGATCCGACCATCAACATACACGGATACTCTTCGCAAAATGCCTCCTCCTCCACCTCCTCCCCCAAAGATCCTAGATTCCCACATCCATCTCTGGCCCGCCAGCGCCGCCAACCCGCAGAGCCACACCTGGATGCAGACACAGCCGGGCCACACCCACCCACTCGCACACGAGCACAGCATATCCGACTACCTCGCCTCCTGCGGCACGCCCGCCCCGTCCGGCTTCGTCTACGTCGAGACTGACCGCGCGCTCCCTACGTCCCCACCCCCCGACTCCGACTCCGACTCCGACATATCCGACGCAGAACTCCGCCGCTACGCCGCCCAACCGCTCGAGGAAATCCGGTTCTTGAGACGGATCGTCGAGGGCGAGGGAGTATCCGAGGGCAACGGGGCCGAGCACAAGGCGCTGCTAAAGGGGATTGTGCTGTGGGCGCCGGTGCATCTGGGTCCGAAGACACTGCGGCGGTATCTTGTGGTGGCGGAGCAGACTGCGGGAGCGGAGACGTGGGGCTTGGTGAAGGGGTTCCGGGTCCTGCTGCAGGGATGGCGGGACCGGGAGGGGTTTCTGCGGCTTGTGACTGGGGAGGCGTGGATTGGGGGGTTGGCGGAGCTGGGGGCGCGTGGGTTCGCGTTTGATGTTGGGGTTGATCAGCGGGGTGGGGGGGTTTGGCAGCTTGAGGGGGTGGTTGAGATGGTTGTGAGGTTGGGGAGGGTTGGGACGCGGCCGAGGTTGATACTGAGTGAGTTTGGAAGGGGGGGGCGCGGATTTCCTGGGATGTTGGTTGCTGATGAGGGGTGTAGATCATCTTTGCAAGCCGGATGTTAGGGGCCGGTTGCGGACTGCGGAGCAGTTGCGTGATTATGCTCGTTGGGTTAAAGTCATGGAGGTCTTGGCTGGGTTTCCGGATTATCCGGGCATATACGTGAAGCTTTCCGGAGCTTTCTCCGAGATGGAGGACCAGGACGAGTCGGATCCGCTGTCGACAGACGATATTGCTGAACAACTCAAACCTTGGGTCGATGTTGTTCTGAATGCATTTGGCCCTGATCGAGTCATGTTTGGGAGCGACTGGCCGGTGTGTAATGTTGGAGGACCGGGAGAAGGGAAATCCTGGAAGAGCTGGCAGGCGTATGTGGCAAAGGTTATTGCTGATCGAGGCTTGGAGTCTGACGACGAGACTGGGGCGTCGAAGATATGGGGAGGTACAGCATGCGAAGCGTACGGAATTACGTGAACCTTCTCATGAAGAAGTATGTCACACTATGACTCCTGAGATCAGGCTGTTGCTGCAAACGAATAGTAGAGAATGGGCCTCTAGACGAGATAGTTAGCAATGCTCGTGAAGATCAGCTGTTGAAATGCACATCACAACTCACAAAATCTAGGCCTTGGAAGACCACCCTCTCTTATCACCCCTCTGATATTCTGCCAAACGTCGTCTGCAGAGATGATCACATCCCACCCAACAAAGACACCGCCATCCGACCAAAGCCATCATACTCTCCCCGTACGCCATATCAAAAACAGAGATACGTATACTCACCCCAAAGAAGCCCCCCCCCAACCAATCTTGCTCCACACAATCACCCTCTCCAGTCCCAACAACACAAACATCCAAGAACCCACAACACATTCCCACTACACACCATCATGACAACCTAGCACTCACCTCAACTCACAAACCCAACCCCACGGTCCACCCGCCTCGGAACCAAGCACTCGATAATTATCCCAGCCAGACCCAGCCAGAGTCCTCGTCTACAACCCCACCTCTGCTCACATCACGCCATACCTAAATACAAACACACACAAACCATCACGCCCACACACACATACACAGACCATCACGCCCATGCCTACCAACCCACACGAGTATCAACAGCCCCAGAGGCCCTAATACACAACCCAAGAAACCAACAATGCTGCGCACTACCAGCGTGCTCATATCACACCCCTGACACTCATCTGTGAAACTCCATGTCCATCGCGGGATTTTATACAGTAAGTATACCGCACACAAACGGCGGATAAGACGGTACGTAGTACGTACTACGTGCTACGTATGCTAGGGGAGGAGGAGGAAGAAGAAGAAGTAGAAGAAGAAGAAGAGGATAGGATAGTAAGTACGGTTTGGCGCTAGATGCCAAGTTGGCACAGACGCAAGAGAGCAAGACCCGGGAAAAATAAAAACAGTAGTGTAGATTATCTATTCATGCCCGAGCGAGCGTCTGTCAAAAGCATGGATGGCTATGTTGCGCGAACAGTAAGTAGCTCGTTCGTCTGCTTGCCTCGAAAGAAAGAAAAGTGGTTGATGTGATTGATTGTTTGATAGGTTGATGGATGGGATGGGATGGATGGATGGATGGACGACTCGTGCGAAACGACAAAAAATCTCTCGAGGTAATTGATTCAATCAGAATATCCGAGTCTGACACCTAATTGATTACCAGACCTTAGTTACTTAAAACCCCAACCAACCAACCAACCAACCCTACCTACTTCAAAGAACCAAGGAGCTAATTATTATATCTAGCTAGCAAGGATCACAAAACGTGTCTTAATTATCAACCGAACTAATACATACCACCAGTCCCTCTCCCCAAAAATCGAAAAAACCAACCAATAAGAACACAGCAGTCAGTCACCGATGACGACTTTTTCCAATCCCATCAACTTTTTTTTCTTTTTCCCTCTACTATTTTTTGAATCTTGAAAAGAAAATCGAAACATATCTGACCATAAAGACAATCAGGCTTCCGCGGATTCGTCAGAATTCTTTTTTTAGCGTACTTAAGTCGTGTTTTGGATAATACGCATGCATAATTATAGATGATGATGATAGTGATGATATCAGTAGCACTGGGTATTAGTGTGTGTGTGTGTGTCGCAGCATGTCATGCCATCGCATGATGAACGGTGACACCTTGACAAGAACATTCCACGAAAGCCTGTTAATAAGATGCGCAGTGGTATAGGCATAGGAATTACTTTGTTTATAAAAGCATCAACACCGAGGAGTAATGCCTCCTGTGCATGGCGCAAAGGTGTTGTTGCATGCAAGAATCTGCGAATGCTCCTGAAGGCGAAATGGCAGGCAAACATTTCGCGTGGAATGACGCGTTGAGTCACACCTCCGACCAGGCACCAGGTCTGAGCTCTCCATCCAGAAGATGTCGTTCCACAGACACAGTGAAGGGCCCCCCCCACCCCTGGTCGATAATATTATATATGGACTGCGGATTATAAGAGAACAGTGTCAGGGTCCGATGAGAGAGAGAGCAGGCTGCAGCGCAGATTGACATTCTTGAAACCTTTTTGTTCCCCAGTGCAGTCCTCCTGCAAGACGAGAACCGAGATTTCTACATCTGAAACGAAGAATGGAGAAAAGAATTGGTTGTGTATCGATAAGGCAGATGAGTAGGCCCCCGAGGAGGACGGCGGCGGTGGACCTAGACCCAGCAAAGCGCAGGCAAGGTGCAGATGAGGCTCAACGGCTCATGATCCGGGAAGCTAATAATTAGTCGAACGGGCAAAGGAAATAACGTTGGGCAGCCACAATTAGAGCCGTCTGGGTAGCTGGAACTGACTCGTACGGAGGAAAAGTGTTCCTCCAGTGAGGGCGAATTGATAGTGATCGCCGACGATCGACAGGGGCAATCCAGCAGGGCTTGGCATCCCAGGGCAGCGGCATCGGTGGGGGGGTGAGAACCGAACTGTACGCGGTGTATGAGTGTACCAGTTCCAGAAGATGAGACGGTGCAACGGTGCGAGGCCAGGTCACAGAACTTGAGGAGCGGGTTCCGGATGCTTAGCCATGTCCATGAGAGAGCAGTGCGGCTCGGCGCGCGAGTAGATGACCCAGAATGGTGCTCAGTTGTGTGTGTGGCACATGTACCTTGTGCAGCAGAAGAAAGTCTCCATCGGTATAGAATTCACGGCAGTATTACAAGGATATACAGCTTATGTTCCCAATTTGATAGCACACACCGGGTACAACAGTCGACCAGGAGAAGGTTGGTGATGCTGATGATACTGCCTCGGCAAAGACGTTTTGTGGAGACATACCTAACAGCGACGGCGATGCTTCTGCGCAGTCGACACGAGGGAGGAAAAAGCCATGTCTTGGAACGGTGACTCTTTTCGAACATCCTGCTCCACATTCCACGTGTGAGCGGAGATGCATGGAGAGAGGAGGGAGGAGTCCGGTCGACGATCCGTCAAAAAGAAGGAGATTCTGTTGGGAACGCTTCCACCGGAATGGTAGGGCCGATGCACCTTTCTGCAGTGCCGCTGCAGCTAAAGCCAGCCAAACATAGCCCGTCCGCCCGCCCACAATCCACATTCCCGCCTCCCCGGCCCCCGAAATCGATGTACTATTATGTACTCTCTCGTAAATAAATAAAAAAACAAAAGAGGAGGGACGCACGAGAGTTTGTGCTGCCTTGCCATTCAAATAGAGTTTGATTGTGGACTGACGGCCTTATCCTTGCCCGTACGACTTTTTCTTCTGGAATATGTCTGTACACTGAACATGGATGGCAGATGGGCTCTGGGTTGCATGTATTGCGGTCACATGATCGAGTACAAATAGCAAGCCATCAGCAGCCTGACTGGCTGGCTTAATCTTGACTCTTGAGTGGATAGAAGTGGGCGATGTGTCGGTTTCATTAATGAGAACATTGATTATCAGTCTCCACTGCGAATCTGTGTATACCTTGCTGATTACGTTGGTGTTTCGGTAGCCAGTAGACCTTCAAGTCGCGCATGTTACCGGGACTGATGTGGGTGGTTGAGATGATCGATTATGCAGTCTAACAAAACTGCGTGTCCGCAGGTGGACTCTGGACTGCGGATGCGTTCGTGAAGGCCAAATAAAGGTAAGGCTGCATGCCGATGGGGCGTCAAGGATCTTGACACCTGCACGCTGTAATAGCACCCAAGCTTGAGAATCTCTTTCGACCGTAAAGCCAGAAGAATCGAGCAACTGATGCGTCAAAAAGAATGAGTAAGCCCTTACGTTCCGTGAAAGCTCGCTCATGAAACCAACACAGGTCTTCCCATCGGAGCTGGTGTCGCGTTTAGCAGTTCGCCACGAGCAAGTGACGCGTCGGGGGAAAAGAACATCCATGTTTGTTACCACATGACACGAGTGTGTGCAGCATGCAACCCTGGTAGGCTTATTGGTATAATCCGGTGTCGTGAGACATTTGTATTACTGGAAGTCGTATACCGTAACCTGATACTGCCGAGAAATATTGGCCTGGCTCGCTCAGATAGAGTCTGACATCACACACACACACACACACACACACACACACACACACATGTGATTTTTTGTCTGAGCGGATCAAGCCGCTGAGTATGCCTGCCTCTTCATGTGCTTCCATGATCATAGTGCTAGCCAGACTATACATGCGCTGGAGAGCAGCACCGCCCTGCCGTAGTTACTGTTGTTTGACTGAAGCTGTGCCTTTGTCCAATCTCTTCCACGTTACAAGCTGCCTGAACAGGCGTCGCCAGATAAATGGCCCGATCGCAAATTCATGACAGGTGAGATCCCTGGGCCACACAAAAGAATATGCTGCAAGCTTCCAGAAGAGATAGTCAAGCCAGTAACAAGAGCAGGGGAGGGGTGCAGGTCATGAGTGTAATGAAAGAATTATACGGATGCACGATAGCGCCGAGCGAGACGATCATCCCCCTTTTTCAGTGGTCGGGGGGAAGGGCAGGGCCGTTTGCGCCTCTTTCCGAGTGCCAGCCACCATCCAGCCAACCAGCCAAGGCAAGAAGTCGAATCTAAAACCACAGAAGCGGCATACCGTGCGAGATAATAGCTGTGAACACCTTGATACCGTTCTCAGCAAATATAAAATTCCGGCAGGGTATGGTCGATTGATTACCATCCCACGTGGGTAGATGCAGAGAGCAGCTCGTCCAATACCATGTGGACCATGTGGGATCAACGGCCAACCGGGTCCACTTTGCGAGATTGTTTGGGATTGGGCAATGAAAAAAAGCACAAGAAGAATGTTGTTCTATAACCAGTAACGGCTTCTTTTGTTCTGTGATCCGTTGAGACCCACAACACGCAGCTTGTAGGCTGGCTGGTGGTGAAGAGAGAGAGAGTGTGTGTGCATTGGGTACCGGCGTATTGGGAAAATGCAGTGAGTGTGAGAAATGAGTGTGGAGCATGGGTGGAGTCTAGAGCCCGCAACGCTGGGTTAGCAATCGGGGATAACGACCCGCAGCGACGACTAGGAGTTGTAGGAGGATGATGGTCGTGTTCTTTCTTATGATCCAAACCTTCTAGCTCCCTCCCTGCCCATGAGCAAGATAGCCGTTTATGGGGCCAGATGGAGTGGAAGGAACAGCCACGAAGCTATTCCACAACTTAAATTCAATCTAGATGACACTCTACCAGGTCCGAGCCAAGGATGTCTACAGGATGAGATTGGATAGCGGCGTACGGGGGCGAGAATGCAAGGTACAACCTGACAGGAGTGAGAGAAGTGAGAGTTGTCTGGAGGCGAGACGTATGATTTCACAATCCTTTTTCGACCAGCATCGTGGGCTGACAGCGGATGCTTGAAGGACGGCCGGCAGACAGTGGCAGTAGCAGGAGGGAGGTGTGGAAGAACTGATATCATCAAGGCTTATTTTTGGCTCATGATGCATTCGGCTGGAGTAACGCGACGGATGCAAGGTGATCGTGGCCGTGGCCCGCAGCAGCATGGCAGGCTGGTATACATGGAAAAAAGCATCATCGGCATCATGAACAGGCAAACAACGCGCCAGCTTCGATGCAGGCGCATGGATAGGAAAAAAAGGTAGATGAGGATGCATAAATTATGATGATAATGAGTTTTGTTGGTGGTGGTGGTGGTGGACGAAGTGAATTGTGGGTGGCCCGTTAGCGGCACTCAGGACAGGGTGAGACGGGTTCTGCAGCAGTTCTGGGGGGTTGCCTCATTTGGGCTCAATTTGGGGGAAGCGGGCCTATGTTGGCTACTTTCTTGGACAAACGGGCTGACACGACGACCATCATGACGCCCTGGGCTGTAGGCTGCATAGTAGTAGTAGTAGTAGTCAGGTACCAGTGGACAGCCAGTACCGGTGTAGTATAGTGAGTATACTACTACTAAACAACAGATATGCTGTGGAACCGGACAGGACAGACACAGGCTGCCGCTGCGGGCTGCAAGGAGCCGCCAGTCTGTTGCTTCATTGGAAGTTAGAACACCCATTAGCCTGAACTTTGAGCTACTGTACAATCCGACTAAACTCCAACATCAACGCCTTGAAACATGCCTCCGGTTCCTGGACCCCCCCTGGAATTGTCCGAGAGCAGTCTTGCTCGCACTTTTTGCTAAACTTCCTGAGCAATCAAACTGCTTCTGCTGCCTGGAGGGCTCATCATCATCATCACCATAATCATCATCGTTTCTGCTTAGTGCCCATGCCGCGGCCGTCCATCGTCGCAGCTTGGATCTTTTGCACATCATCACCTATACTGCAAATTGATAGTCCAAACATTCCAAGACACTTACTTGCTTGGACGAAGCACTACAACTGTCTGTCGACTAGTATGCATGCGTCCGGCTCTCTTGCCGCATCTTCCAATGTTCCAATGCCGGCAAGCTAGATTACTACTACTGTACTACTACTAATACTGCTACGACCATCTCCTGGGATGGCCAACGTCAAGCCGGAATTGTTGTTGCCCAACGGCTCACCCTTGAAATGAAAATAAAACAAAAAGGCTGTGGTGGTGATGACGACGACGCCCAAGGTATAATAAGCTGTACAGTGACAGTCATCGTAAAGCGGGAACAACACGACGAGGCCTTGGGAGTGCTAAAGCGACCAGTGACGGGTGGAATGCGACGTCTCTCAATCTCATTTGACTCTCTCTATTATGGGCTTTGTGGTAAGGTGGGAGGGGGGAGGGGGGGGGTTAGACAAAGGATGGTGGTACGCTCGGTGCAGGGCGCGGACTGATCGCACAGGCACCGCCGCTTGGGGACACGTCCACGCCCTGACGGGAAATTTTAAAACAAAAAAAAAGCAGAGGCCTTCCAACGGACACAGAGTCAAATGTCATCTAATCCGGACCATGGGAAAGGGGCCCCTAGGACATATATTCTTTCCGTGCCCACGCCTATCCCATGAACTCTTCTAACTTTTGATATCCTTCCTGTACCATCATCTCCTCACCTCGATACCTCCGTCGTGCGCTGGTTTAGCATTTCTTCCTGCCTCGCTTCCATACCTCAAAACCTCGACCTTCAACGTTACCTCCACGACAACAATACTGTCGACGCCGCCATCTCCGTCGTCTGTAATATAACAAGATCCAAAAGAGGCACCTTGCACTACCGCGCTCTGCCATAATACGTCGATTCTACCTCTCACAAGCAGTTTCGCTTCTGCAACCGCATCCTCAAACGAGCTACCAATCTCACAGCTCACATCCGATTTGGTAATTTCACGCGCTCATCCGACGACCACCACCACTACTACTACAACAACAACGAAGCTTTGATCCTGTGTCCGCGACGCGCTTGGATTTCGCATTGCACCCAGTGAGTCAATTCTACAGCTATAATAAGCTGACTGCGCCGATGCGGTTGCTGAGTGGGGTGCGATTACTGACAATCTATAAATCCAGGCTTCCTCCACGCCTCAAACACACTTCATTCCAACAATGATTGTCAGGGTAGAACTCGCAATGCCAATGGGACGCGGCGCTTACGATACTACGGGCACGCCGAAACCACCTCCGCCTCCTCCGAAAAGGCGATGACAAGCTTCAAGCTACCGCACACACCTTTTGAGCTCTCTCACTGGTCGCGCCAAACCTTTTCCTACCCACATCTATTCGTCTCCTTTTCATACCATCCTATTCAGCTTGCGACTTTATGGAGAATACTGGGTCCGGCACGACTGCTCTTTCCGCCACATTGAAACGTTCCACACTGACAGCGGGAATGGCTCGTCTCGCATCGTAAGTCGCTACCCTTGATTCTTACAACGTGGGCAGCCTCGCTAACATTGTCCTTGACAGTCAATCTCCCCGCGTCGCAAATAACCCTGAACCCTTTCATCCTCCTCGGCACGACTCCCTGACCTGCCTGTCTCATTTGAATCCACACTTGCAACAATTTCCGTCCGCCTCGCCAGTATCGTCCTTTTAATCCCAGCGTCTTATTTTCCGTTCAGCGATTAATACCCTTGCGAGCGTCCGTTCAGCATCTCATTCGTCCTTTTCGGCTTTTGTATCACTACTAGATCGTCCTCCCGTCACTTCAACACTGCTGCGACATCTGCTTTTTCAGCACTTGTATATGGGGAAATCTTTCTCTCAAAAAGTTGGTTCTCTTTTGTTTTCGGCGTTTACACTATAGACTGGGAAGCTCAAGCTGCAACAATCAAAATCGGGGTCTCTTTTTTCTATATTTTCCTTTCGGCTTACATTTTCCTTTTGCCATTTGTTTTCTGGATAGACAAACTGGGATCGGCCAGAACATTTCCCCCAGCTCGCGGCTCGCGCTGCATATGAGTCTGTGGAGGGGAGCAACATTTTGTACAATAGCTCTCAGAGCAAAGAGAAAAGCGCAGAACAGGCTGGCCCCAAATGAAGCTTGCGCTTGGGAGGGAAAAAGAGAAAACTCGCGTACGGCATGTTGTTACGATGTTCAGTTTTCTTCCTACCACGGTTGGTGGAGCTACTCCTGTCTATCACGGCACCATGAGGATCGCGCTGAACACTACGGGGCTGTTCAGTCCGTGTATCGTTGCACACATACACACACAATACACACTTGTACAAATATCACGGTGGCCAGCCACACACACACCAGGGGGAGCAGGAGCAGGAGTATTTTTCACTACGTAACTAGCTTTCACGAATATAGACTATACCATCAACTTCTTTCCACGCTGTATAATGACTGTCGTCTAGCATAGCTGACAGACGGCAGAGCATAAATTTAATCACGAGACCAGCAGTGCTCACAACACAGTCAGCCGTCTCACCATGCCGTCGTTGTCGTTGTTGCTGTTGTGTCATCCCACGCAAACCAACTCCCAGGGCTGCAGCTTAGCTTAGCTAGGTAGAGCTACCTAGCTATGGTCGAATATGGTATCATTATCCCCACGAACTATTACTCCTGCCCCTCACCTCCGCTCCCGGCTCGTGCCCCAGCTGCGGCCGCGGCCACCGTTCCACCTTATTTCCCCCAAACCTGGTAGACCGATTGACCGACCGACCGACCGGCTGACTGACTGACTGAACAAACACTCTTCCATTAATTAGCTGCAGAACGTGCAGACTGCGCTTCTTTTCATCCTTCTTCAAAGAAGATAAGCTGGGATTACAGTCTGCATGAACTCATCATGTCTTGGTGCCGCGTGGAGACTGCGTTTGTGCATGCATGTCTTGTTCCTTGTCTTGTTCTATCGTGGTTTTTTTCTCTTACAGACTCTCTACCGTTTTTCTGGATTAATTATTACTTCTTCGTGCATGGCTAAATTAGTACATGGTACAGCATAGCACGGCACGGCACGTATGGCACAGCATAGTTCTTGTTCACGGGCAATTCTATTTTGCATTCTATTTGTATGCAGGCATGCAGCCTTGTCCTGATATAATAGCCTGTTTTTTTGCAAATAGCTTGGTTAGGGAGGGAGGTAGAGGGATGGCATGTGTGACGAACTACTCTGTAGTACCGTGTAGGCAGTAGGTAGGTATGTAAATGTCAGCATCCACGTGCCTGGTGCTCGGTGCCCGTCTGGTGCGGCGTAGCATGGATGGGTGGATGGACGGATGGAATGATGGAGTGATGGAGTGATGGAGTGATGGAGTGACTGAAAGACTGAGTGAGTGCGTGAGTGAGTGCGCAACGGGCAGATTATATTATCTTATATCATCCACACACACACACACACACAGCATTTCCCAGGTACAGCAAAGCAAGGCAAAGCAAGGTAAGCCAAGCCAGTCGATAATTATCAGCATTAGCATGCCTGGCACCGCAATCCCATCGTCTCACCTCATTTCCACAACAACAACACACACACCCACTCTCTCTCTCTCTCTCTCGCGCGCTCTGGCTCTGCCTCCTCCCTTCCGCTCCTGCTCACATCACCTCACTTTTCCTCGACGCTCGTCCGTTCGGTCTTCCGCACGATGCCGCGCGCGGGCTGGGATGGGGTGTTGTTCTGCGTGTGTTGTGATGGTGGGCGACCCGGTGGTGTGGAGTTGTGGAGGGATGTGGGAGGGTGGGAGATATACAATTCGATGGATGGTTATACTTGTTTCGTTGCTTGCTTGCCTGCCTTGTGTTGCTGGGCGTGACCATACACTCTACACGCTACATAATTAGTATGTACGCGTGAGACGACCATCGCAGCACCAAGACCGCACGCCGCTGGAGAATTCATGAGGGTTTCTCAAGCGTCCAGTGTATTTTAGTGTTCTAAACGTTTAAAACAAAGACTTACTGAGTAATCATGTAGTCAATAGTTTAGCCGAAGTAATATCCGCTACCCTTCTATCCGCCTCTTCTTCTTCTCTCTCTCTCTCCCTCTCTCTCCCTCTCTTCCTCCCTCCCCC